TTTTCGCCAGGAAGTCCACCAACCGGCTGACCATCATTACCGTAGCTGGGGAGAGTACCCCAGGCCATGCGTCGCCAAACAGGAGTTTTGCTCTGTTTGTTGAATCGTACCTGAAGATCTCGTGTCTCAATATCGGCATCGCTGCCGACCATTCTGGCGACGCTGGCACTCTGTTCGCCTCCGCGTCGGTCCCAGCGGCGCCAGAGATCAAAAATCAGACCAGGAACATGCAGCAATCGGCGGAAAACAGTGGTTTCGTCCGCCGATGGAGGCGATGCTCGAGGGCAGATAGCGACAAGTCCGATGATGTGCTCTTTTAACTTTGCCCCGATGGATGAAGTCGATGAAGCTATCAGAGCGGACAAAGAACAGCCCAAGCTGTGTCCAATCAAAACGACTTGCTGACCGGACTGCCGGTCTCGGTGCTGTTCAATCGCCTCGACCAGTAATTCAGACAGGGCCTCCACTGTGTATGCATTCCAATCTGTAGGCTCAAACTTGGACAGTCCGCACCCGGGTAGGTCAATCCCGAAGCAAGATCCAATATTAGATAGACTCGTAAGGAGGTGATGGAATTGTGCGAGAGATCCGCCTAGCCCATGAATAACCACAAGGAGCGGTACGGGGGTAGGTTTGGTAGGCAGTCGAGCAATGTGTGGATGAGGACTGTAGAACGTGCGGATAGCGGGATAGGTAGCGATGGAGGTAGTGTAAGAGTTGTATGTAGTGAATTTCCTGAGAATACCTGGGTCTGTTTTGTGTGCTGCAGGCTAGTCAGATCATAGAGTCGCAGCGGAAGATTTGCATTGCAAGACATACCATCAGAACTTTGCTTCTGAGGCTCAGAGAGCCAGTCCTCCTTGGGTTTATAGTTAGGATTGGTGCCATGACGCAACGATGCATTGCTGTCATAGTCTTCATCCTCGTAGTCATCCTCCGAAGAAGAACTGAGGGTCTTCGATGAGGACTTGGTTAAGCTTTTGCGTAAGGAAGGGCGCTGCGCACGAGAACCTCCAGACACCGAGCGCTTGCGCCTCACCAGAGACGACAACAGTCCACACCCCGCCATTGCGATCACACAGGTAGTCAAGAACACAACCTGACCCCAGTTCACGGTGTCATTGCGGTACAAGCCGCGGAGGAAGTTGGCGATGGAGGAAAAGGAAGCGTTTTGAGCAGTCGCGCGAACCGAGTGATAAAATCGCAGGACAGCCGCGATTCCCGTATTGTTGGGTTGGGAGGTCAAGGAGTCGTAGAGGGCCGAGATGGTATCGGACCCCATGGCGATTAAGTACACCCCGGAGGGGCCTGGACCTGGACTCTGCAGAGCCCCCAGGGTTCTCACTCACCACGCGAGAACGCACCCGATGCTCTTTGGATACAGCGCAAAGAGTCCGAGGCCAATAAGGAGGGCGAGATCGTCAACGTTGAAAAGTTAGGGAAGAAAAAGCAAAGAGAGGTACGGCTCAGCCACTCACAGCCTCGGGACGGACGGCGTGGGGGTGAGTCATCCACTGGTGGACCTCGAGTGACTTGAGTTACTATGGCAGTTACTATGGGTGTCGATGTACTATGAGTATAAGCCGTGTATCACATCTCCTTTTCCTTGTTTACCCCGACGCTATTTCTAGATATGTCAATCGAACCCATTCGGCTCGTCCGCGCCATCCTGCAGCATGGGCAGCTGCTGATTCTCTACTGGCCAATCTCAAGCGGGGCTCCGAAGATCCCATCAACAACTATGGATCTTTCTATGTTTTCTAGAAGACGGCAAAGTGGCTATTTGTGGATCGTAGAAACGTTAACATGCTACATACTATACTCAGGGGGCTTCTCATCCGAACTCCCCGAGCCCCTTAAAACAGATCGGTCATCGCTCCTTGCGACGCATCACTAACCAATCGGGCGTACTTGGCCAGCACACCGCGAGTGATTTGCGGTGTAGGGGGTGACCACTGGAGGCGTCTCTCCTCAATCTCCTTATCTGATACATCCATGGAAAGTGTGTTGGTCTCAGCATCAATGGTGACGATATCTCCGTCACGGACCAACGCAATCGGGCCACCCACAGCGGCTTCGGGCACAATGTGCCCAACAATGAAGCCGTGGCTGGCACCTGAGTAGCGTCCATCGGTGATCAGAGCCACATTTGTTAGCTTGGCACCCATTAGGGCAGCACTGGCCTTGAGCTGTTCCGGCATTCCCGGGCCGCCCTTAGGGCCCTCGTAACGCACAATGATTACAAGGTTCTCACCGCGAGGGATGCGACCTTCATTGAGGGCGTCGTTGAGCTGGTGCTCCTTGTCGAAGACGAGGGCCTTGCCGCTGAATCGGAGACCTTCCTTGCCGGTAATCTTGGCGACTGCGCCGCCTGGTGCAAGGTTACCACGTAGGATCTGGATGTGGCCGGTCGCTTTGATCGGGTTGTCCAAGGAGCGAATCAGATCCTGGCCTTCAGGCAGGGATGGGAAGGAAGCTACGTTCTCGGCGAGAGTCTTGCCTGTCACAGTGGGGATATCTCCGTCTAGCAAACCGGCTGCAATGAGCAGCTTCTGGACGGATGGGATACCACCGATCTCATACAGATCGGCCATGTAGTACTTGCCACTAGGGGACAGATTGGCAATGAAGGGAATCTTGTTGCTGACCCGCTGGATGTCATCCAGGGTGAGACTGACACCGGCCGTCCGGGCCATGGCCAGGAAGTGAAGCACACCATTGGTGCTACCACCCAGGGCCATGGTCATCACCAGGGCATTCTCGAATGACCGCTTGGTCAGCAAGTCCCGGGGTCTGATGTTTTTCTCCATGCAAATCTTGATGGCCTCCCCAACGCGGACACACTCACGCATCTTGGACGGTGACTCGGCAGGCGTAGAGGACGAACCGGGTAAAGAGAGACCCATGGACTCAATGGCAGTAGCCATGGTATTCGCTGTGAACATACCACCACAAGCACCAGCACCAGGGCAAGCGTGTTGTTCCAAGTCATCCATGATCTCATCCTGGGTCTTGCTTGTGTCACCGCCATCTTCTGGCTGGCGCAGGGTGCCGTAGGCGTAGGCACCCGCAGCCTCGAAGCAAGTCGAGACATTGATGGGCTTCCGGAGGTGCTCAGAGTAACCAATGGCAATAGTTCCACCGTAGATCATGATCGAGGGGCGGTTGTGGCGAGCCATACCCATCACAACACCGGGCATGTTCTTGTCGCACCCGGGAATAGCAACACAGGCGTCGTGGTATTGAGCACAGGTAACGGTTTCAACACTGTCGGCAATGACCTCTCGGGTCTGAAGAGAGAATCGCATTCCTAGAGAGGGATCAGCGATGTTTCTTCATCAAACTTGAGGTCTCTCGCAATCGGACTCACCTTCACTGCCCATAGTGATTGCATCCGAGACACCAATGGTATTGTACTGCCATCCAATCATGCCCTTTTCCATCACTGACTTCTTGACAGTCTTGCCCAAGTCCAGCAAATGCATATTGCACGGGTTACCCTCCCACCATACTGAGGCAATTCCGACGTGCGGGCTCTTGGCCATTGTTTCCTTGTCGGGGACACCGGCAGCGTAGAGCATAGCCTGTAGCAAGTTAACATTATCCATCCTAGTATTGTATATTCCGACCTACCCTCGCGCCGGGAAAATCATGATCCTTGGTGATTGTGTGGGAATAGCGATTGAGTGCGGGGGAGCCATCCGGATGCTTCGCGTCTGCGGGCAAAGAAGGGAAGTTGATGTACTTGGCCTCGCTCAGCGAAGACTCTGGGTTCGAGGGATCCATTGTGAAGTATAGTATGATAGAACACAAGACAAGAAAGAAAGAGGAATTGAGGAATAAAACACACAGCCGAGCTAAGAACTCGCACTCAAGTCCGACCCCAGTGGACCCCGCGTTCCTCGGCGTTCGACCACTCAGCAGCGGCGGATTGATCAGATCGGAGTTGCGCCTATTCTTCCCCAGTCCGGGGGATCTCCGAGTGAGGCTGATGATGTTTGACAGTGTTTGACTTGCTTTCTACTGCTTTAACATAAATGCAGTGCATTCCATGTTGTCGACTCGCTCATATGAATATATACCATGTTAAGTTACCAAGCTGGATGATAGATGATACAGTCTACTACTATATCTTAACCTGAGCTACAGGCTGATGTGTCTTCGAATATAACTGTTCACTCTAGTATATCATACTAAGATATTGATCTGACGCGCCTTCACTATCAAGCCTCTCGAGGCTTTTATAACAGCCTATAGAACATATACTCCCGCCCAAGTCATGGCGTCAAATACTTGCCCCCAATCATCTCATGCTAATCTCTTTGCGGATTGTACTTTGGTTCAAGTCCACGCCAACCGAGCCTCATGTGAACCTGTCATTTGATCGTCCGCTTAACTTTCCCTTTCACGAACCTTCCGGCTGTATTCTTTGCTCCGATGCTTCTTCGCTTTCTCCTCTTTTTTTTTTTTGCTTCAGATGTAGCGGGACCTTGACCAAACAGCCTCTGCAACCAGCCCATTGTGCCCAGAAGATCTTCTCTCTAGGGAACCGCGACTGGCTTTGTAGAAGGCAAAGGAACCTTTGGTACTTGCGCACACGTGGGCGAACGCAAGGGCGGAAAAGAGAGGGAAAGGGAATACCCTAGGATGTACATTGTCAGTATAAGAGTTCAACTTGATAATCCCACCGTCACTAGCACGAAGATGTACCTCAGTGAACCATTGTGGAACTCTCCCTAGCTCGTATGTTTGAGAAAAATGACTGTTATGGCCCCAAAGACCACGTCATAAGAATCTTGGCCAGAGATCAGACACGTGATATGCTAGGATTGAACGATGAGATGGATTAGAGGCTGGGCGAAGTCAACGTAGCTATTTCTCGGCTTTACTTTGGTGTCTTCGATACCTGTATTATCTAAGATATGTTTTCTCGGTAAAGTTAAGTAACGAATGAATTTAAATTTCTCGCTTGACAAACTCTAGATCATCCTACACCATTGTCAATCGCGGTGAACCACGGTAGGTTTCTCTAAATCATTATCGTTGAAGTGGTCAATACCACCAGGAGAAAGATCTTTCCCATGGCGGCCAATTTGGTGCCAAGGCAGGGAGAATAATGCATCCATTGATTCAAGACTCCTTCCTGCAGTCTCAGGAACAAAGAACCAAACCCACAGTAAGCCCAGGACGCAAACTGCAGTGCAAAAGAAAAAGAAGCCGTAATTCGTCATGGCAATGACCATGCTAGGAACAGCCTTTGTGTTGCCGAATTGGTTGGCAAAATGGATGCACATAACGAGGGATGAGCCAATGGCGCGCAGACGACTGGGATATATCTCCGCATTGACCAAATATTGGAATGAGTTCCAGCCCATTGCCCAGCCAAAGCCAGAAAGATAGATAGCTGCGATGGCGCCAATGCCGGCGCGTTTAGCAGACCCCGTAATGCCGCCTGTATCAGCATCAACATGCGCCGAGGCCGGAACCTTGGCCAGGTAAATGGCAATATAGCAGATTGAAACGGTTTGCAATAGGATTCCCGTGTAAAGGGAGCGACGACGGCCGAAGAAATCAACGAGGAAGAATGCACAAATGTAGGCGGAACAAAACTTAACAACACCAAGGATGCATGTGGCGAAAAGCTGTTCGCTTCTGCCAGTTTTACCAAGTGCAGCGAAGAAGCTAGTTGCGTAAATGGTGATTGCTGACGCGCCAGACCATTGCCCGAGTAGCTGCGACATAATGCCCAGCATCAAACGGTAGCGGTTTGCCGGGACCGTGACAAGTTCCTTTACTTTGCCGTAGAATGAAGAGCCTCGGGTGCTTTCCTGTTCCCGTTCCAGCTGATCACGGACGTCGAGAATTTCAGAACTGATACTTGGATGATCGATAGGGAGCTGACGTAGTGTACAAAGATTCGTAAGAGCTTCTTCATCTTTTCCCTTCATTACAAGGAAGCGAGGACTTTCTGGGACGGTCCAAGATGCAAGGAAGATGACTCTAGCGTCCAAAAATATGTCAGTCTGTGGGATGTCATGGGACAAGTTATAGACAGGAGAGTTACATACCCTGCGAACATGATATGAATCGATTGTGGAATAACCCACTGAGAACGCGAAGCATCCGAGATATTCTCAGAGCAACCCCAATTCGCGAAATAGGCAACCATGACACCGAAGTACACAGCACCAGCAAAGATATTTGTCAACATACCACGAATTGCCTTGGGAGCAACCTCTGCTAAATATGTCGGGCCAACCACAGTGGTCATACCAACCCCGAGGCCGGCCAAAAATCGGCCAGCGAGAATCTGTCCAATGTTGCCAAAGCTGGTAATGACAATCACGAAGCCGAGGCCCCAAAGTAGGGTAAGAGCTTGAAGCGACCTCACACGACCGATTCGATCACACAGAAGAAACGCCAACAGAGCACCGCCGATAGAGCCAAGTTGCACCATACTTGTGATAGTGGACTCACGGTTGGCGATCTCTTCAGCAGAACCTACTTCTAATGGAAACTCGTCTTTGAAGCTTCGCATCGTGATCATGCCACCAACTAGGCCCTCGTCAATTCCTCTACCCGCTCCAAGGATACCTATAATAATTTTCTTTTTAGCAACGTGTACCGAAATTCTACCGGTATACACACCGAAGACTCCCACAGACCAAAACAGCCGATAATTGAAGGCCTCCCGAGGAGTGTCAGCCAGCCCCAGACGATTGAAGAGAACCATGTTGGCTAGCACGATAAATACGCCTTTCAAGCGCAGAGGGAAAAAGCGTATTTGAAGTCTGTCGTCTGCAAATCGGATGAAGGAATATCGGAATGATTGAATGTACACCTTTGCACTTTTATATCCCCCGGAAGTGGGAAAAGACTTGCAAGCGACAATATTCCACGGGGGTTGACATGGATCACGAACTAGCTGCACGAACTCTGGAGGCTTCGCTTCAGAATTTAGACCACAGGAGGGGAAACGAGGAATGTTACGTAGCTACATCTGCCGACGACGCCCGCGGATTGGTCTGCTCGTGGGAATGAAGGTGCGAAGGTACTGGTAAACTGAAGGGTTCAGATCCCTTCCTGAGCCAAGGCAGTCAACGACCCCTCCTGTACAACACAGCGTGACCAAAGAGATAACGTCTTTTCTCAGACTATGTCGAGTCGGCCTAGTCAATTTAGAGGGTTCGACGGAAGTTGACCGAGTGTACGAGCTACTGCGATAACATGGCGTATAATTTCCATTGTTACTGCTATGTCCTCGACTTGGCGATGGAGATCCTAATAAAAATAAGCGACGAGATTTTCCGTGGAGATGGGGAACTTGCAGGGATGTTAATCTGGGGAAGGGGTGTTCTTCGGAAGTTGGCCGACAGGAGTGACCACCTCTGCCTCAAAAGCTTTGTTGTAAATTTTACTTGGCGGCTGTTGCCTCCCAGTGTGTGTTTCTTACCCTGGGAATATGAAGCGACGTTCAGGATACAGCTGATGTATTTGATGCTGGGCCTTTGTATTTCTCACTATGATAGTTTCTGTCTCCCATTGGGAGGGTGGGTGTTATGATCTCGACTTTGCGAGACCAGTCTCATGGCTAAATAATCTGAGAGCTTATTTGGCTAAGACTTACGGATTTGGCAGCAGCGCATTTGGACAGATAGCTGAAGCAGCAGACATAATCATACATATACTACTGTCTTTCACTAATAAACCACACAATCTTGACCATGCCATTGCTTTTGAGTCCTCCATGAGCATATCAGACATTGTTCTTGTCCAGCCTCCCATCTATGGCAACGATAACTTCTGCCTGCTGGATCCCCTTCCTAGCTGCATAAGTGGCACGAAATGGGCGCCCGAGGAGTACGAGTAGATCTCCAGTCAATCGATAAGTCTTTGACAGATAGTGAGCTTGAGGGTCTGCTACAACAATACGCCGACGCTATCAGACCGCTCAATTGGCCAGTTATCTGTTCCACTATATGCGATGGTCATCGTCGAGAGTATCGCACCTTAGCTGCAAGTCCCCGCCTGTGCATCGACCATTTCGGACATTTTATACTATCGGAGCAGACAGTCTACGCACAGACCCGAGACCCATACACTCTACCAGGATTCCTCGAAGAAAGAAACACCATCGCGAAACTTTCCGCACCGTACAAAATCGGCAACATGCATGATATCAGTGATCTAGAGCCCGTTGCCAGTGAGATATTGAAAGTTGCAGGGAAGATTCGAGTTGTTTTTGTAACTGATTGGCCCCACACAAGATTTAAAGAGGTGGGTATTGACCCATGGGTAGGAATGGTGTTTGACTGGTGTAGAGAGGATTCTTCGCTGGTGGAGCGATTATCCAAAAGAAATGCGGAGGACTTGTGGGCATAGAGAGATAGTGGACCAAGCGGTTATCAGGTACTATACCTGGGGAATATAATATAGCATTCATCTCACCAGGCCTCGTTTTTGACTTGAAGAGTCCGGTGATTTTAGGTCTTCTTTGGATACTGATTTAGCTTTATTTCGTTGAGACAAGCCCCTTTATAGCTGGAAGGACAACGCCTCAAACAACAGTGTCCTATTTGAGATCAGCTAGATTGGATTGGATCAAAATTTAGTAATTTCTTCTATAGCAGATTTGTAACTTGGGCGACGAAAGTGAGACCTCAACAAATCACGGAACAATGAATGTTCAGTCAAACAATAGACCTGTGAGTTTCCCAGCTAACTCTCCCAGCTATGTCCAATTAGTGCTTATCCGAATTGGTCATACCATCAATCTTGGCTCGACAGTTTTGGAACAACTCAGCCAACTGCTCAGGAGTCCTGCCAGTTTGCGGAACATCCACACCCTTCTGCACAGCAGGACGCTTATTAATCTCGTCAACCCACTTCTTCAGCGCGGGGAATTCAGACAAATCAATCTCCAAAGAGACAGGAGCATTTCGAACCCAGGAAAAGTTCGCAATATCAGCAATAGTGTACTTTGAGCCAGCGAGGTAAGGACTCTCTTTGAGGCGAGATTCGAGGACAGAGTAAAGTCGCTTCGTCTCTTCGATGTATCGGTTAATGCCATAGTCGGAGCGCGCGCCAGCGAAGAGACGGAAGTGGTTGGCTTGACCTATTGAATAGTATTAGATCGGCGCTGTAAGATGGCTTGATCTGTCACCACGCACCCTGCATAGGTCCAAGACCGCCCATCTGGAACATCAACCATGAGGTCTGTTCGACATGCTCAGAGGTTCCCGGAGCGTAGCTGATCTTGCGATCGGTGTCGTACTTGTCAACCAGATAGATCATAATCGCACCGCTCTCGAAGACACGTTGTGAGCCATCGAGGAGAGCGGGGATGCGGCCGTTCGGGTTGATCTTTAGGAACCAGCTGCAAGATAACTCTTATCAGCATGTTGTCACAATATGCGTTCCTCGGGACCTTACTCTTCCTTCTGAACATTAGTGCTGATGTTAATTCCCTCAGTCTTGTAAGGAAGACCGAGTTCCTCGAGGGTAATGGAGGCCTTGATGCCATTAGGCGTGGGCCAGGTGTAGAGCGTGATGTTGGAAGACATTGTGGAATAAGGAGCAAATGTAGATGAAACCTTGGGGAGTCGAGATGCTGCTCGTAAGCTGCGAGAGAACATTGGGGGGAAGATGCTTTTCTGCTTGCAAACCAATTCTATTATAGACTTCCCCGTCCATTTGTCAGCTCCCACGGACTTTCGGAGCTATCGGTCGGTTATGACGTCACCCATCTAAACACAAGTGCATGCATATAATTTGCACCTTGGACCCGTTTGTAATCAACCATGGGATTTGTAACTGATTGAATACAGTATGTAATTGATATATGTTGCAAAAGCAAATGGATGACCCCTGTTTTAGATGCAAAATATCCGATAGACGGTGAGCCTCTCCGTATGTGTTGAGTTGGATGATACCACGAGAATCTGCTTTCTCATACTCGATTGCCTCTCGAAGCTTCATGGACTGTGCGACGTCAGCGTGTGATGCGGCGAACAACATAGGACTCGGGATCATACCTCGTCTTCGGCAAATTCGGCGTAGTGTATGTCCTGCAGGAAATGTAACTGAGAAACGTCATATTATCAAGGACACCTTATATCGCGTATCTTGTACTTGTGTTTCTTAACATTACATTCAGTACAGATTGGAAAAGTCCGCGATAGACGAGGAACAGAGATTAGCAACCCATAGCTTCAATTAGAAAGACGCGCGCGCAGCTTTGCGATTTCGGACCAGCTTCGGCCTGCCTCGCTGGTGATCACACGATCAGAGCTCCGGCAAACCAACACACGATGCCTTCGGTGGATTTGCCGTTATGCCAGTGTGCGTGAGAGGCGCCGGCGTTCGCCATGAATCGGAGGTCAGCAATCTTACCGAGAATAATGCCGATATCGTCATATCGCTTCAGGTATCGGAGTCCGTATATCATACCTTTGTAGACTTTGTACGTATGTAAAAGCTTCATCGTAATGAGGAGGAGGTCAGGTCTTGTCTTCACATGTCTTGTCTTCACAGCTAGCGAGGTAAGAGACCCGAAGAGAGAGATGTATCTCTCATGACCTTCCTCTTCGGATAACGCGGCCTGATAGTTTTGGGGTTGTCTCACGGCTCCCCAGAGGAGCTCAGGACGTAGTCCTCATTCGTGGAGCTCGCGCTAATGACGTGGTCGAGCTCCCCCTCGATAAGCGCGGGGTCGGCAACGGCCATATTGAAGCCGACCCTAGACTCTTACATTCGGCCAGGGACGTGCTTGGCTGCTATATTAATTTCTGATATACATGTGCTAGTAATGTCAGATTCCGAACAGAACTTGGTACATTATAACGTAAATTTTGAGAGGTTCATACTCACCCAGCAGTGTAAGAAATAGAGAGAGGTGGAAGAAACACAGAGATAATTATATAAAAGAAAAAGCTATAGAGGGGAGAGATTGAGAGTCAAGGAAGAGAGATTAAAAAAAGATCGAATAGAAAACAATGTGGACGCGAGATTTGGTGTTGAGGCTCTTCAAATAGTGGGGCACGCGCCGAAACCTAATCCGGCCCCACCTTGGGATAGATATATCATGGATAAGTCCTAGCCACTGCTCACTACCTTCTATTTCATTGAAACTAGACACTGTAAAGCAGGACACTGCGAGGAGCATGAGGAAAACTCTGGGGTCGAAAGGGGTCACTACTGTTTGGATCCTTGGTAAAAAAAACACAAAGGCTAGATCAGAGGGATCCAGGGGATCAACAGCAAGAGTGATTCATTCCTCAAGGTAATACCGACTGAGATGCTGCAAGAAGAGGAGAAGAATACAGGGGAGCGGTGAAAGATGATTGGGCTTCACGTGCGCAGGTCATTCGGCTGTTTCCGTTTCGGGAGGGTTGTCAACGTGGAACCCATTGTTGCCCACAAGGAATGAACCCAGGAGGAATTTATGCTTGCCTTCGAGCTTCGAAGGAGTGGAAAATCATTCCGGCATGTTCCCGTACATTAGTGCGAGCTCTGGCACGAACTTCCAGAATGTCGACCAAAAGGGGAATATTTGCGAATAGCATCAAGGTCTACCAATCAAGCCAAAAAAAACAAAAAAAAAAACATGAGATAGAAAAAGAGGGCCCTAGCTCTCTTTTGTAATAGGTGAAGGCACAGCCAAGTCAAACCAGGTCTAAACCTGCTGTGAGGGAGGGGAATCCCGCCGGGTCAGGAAGAATGCTGTAACGCCGGGCTTGGACGTTAAAGCATCGCACCGCACGATATCTGTAAATGAATACAGAAACCGCCTTCCATGGGGCTCGAACCCGGGAGCTCTCCTCACAACCGTATCGAAACTACTTTCGGACGAATCTCAAAGTAGCCCGCACTATACCGCTGAGCCAGCGGGGCAAGAGTTACCACGTTCCTCCTTAATCCTGCTGGTAACAGGGATTTGGCTACATTTGCACGCTTTGCATTGCTAATAGATGTGTATCTTCTCTGTCCTCGTTTCTCTGCTAGCACGCATATTATCATCCCTCCCCCTCTGCACGGTTTGATATTGTTTTCTCAGGCTGCTTCGGAATTCCAGGTGGCCACGAATGGGTCACCACCCGCTTTTGGGTAAGTGGAGATACTGATAGTCTGTCACGTAGCCAAGCTAACAGACCTGGTAAGGCTACATTGATTGTGATGGGTGTGCTCTTTCCCCTATGACCCATGACGACGAGGTCTTTCATGACACCATTCGAAGGACTCAAGAAGCTTCCAAGGCTGTAACCAGAGAGACATACCTATGCTAGTAGCTTTAGTAGGCCTGTGGTACTTGCACCACAGAGACGATCCTTCTTCCTCCCCGAGGCGTAGGTATTACCGGTCATCTCCAAGTCATCGATCTCGTCAACGTCGGAGTCTGATCCGCTCACCAAGAGTCAGAGATCAAGCGTTCAGCACAGTGACTTGAGACACGTAGAGAAAGATGTACCAAGTCCAGGGCTGTCGCTGTCTTACCAAGCTCCTTGATTACGAATTCCTAGTGGAAGACCCGTGCTGACGCTGTCGTAGATGGAACTGACTTCGAACCTCCTATCAGCGGTTTTGTCATGGTCTGCCAAGTCATCTTTACCAGCGTCGGCATCTTCAGCGGTGTACCAGTCGGGCACCATGACTGGGCGGAGAACGGCTGCTCCGGGCTCATATCGCATCAGGCTCCTCAACTCCGGGTTCATCTGACCATTTTGGACACTAGCGTGATGTTCAAGTCATAAACAGAGATTAGGATGGTGTTCCTCGAGTACCATGGAGCTCACATCTTTGACCGTGATGGCAAGCTGGCGGCCGTTGTCTGTGAAGGGTCTCGTTGTGCAATTCGACGAGGCCATCAAAGAACGAGGAGAAAGAATCACGCGGATCATAAAATGGGCGTGAAAGGATCGTCGGTCGAGTGTATTTGGGTGATGTGAGGGCAAGATCAAATATGGACGTTGTGAGCACGATGAAACCACAAAGAGAAGCTGTGTGGGCAATAGACGCAATGATCGAAAGTCAAAGCATGTTCCTTTCACCTGGATGCAACGTACACATCAAGAAGAACAATTGAGTACCTAGATTGTCAATTAATGTAAGAATATAGCCATCCACAATCGAGAGGGGTGCAACATGCAGGCTACTCCCTTGCAGCAGGGCACACCAAACATAGAGCTATACACCGCTATCAGAGATAATAATGGATATTGTGAGCACTCACCAGAACACTTTGTTTCCGGAGGATAGGGGATCAGCATGATACTTGGGTGGTAGTAGAAGGATCAAGATCAAAGGATCAATCAGCAATGCTACCATGCCACATCCCCCAAACTCTGTATCAAAAACGTCATTAGTCAAACAACCATCAATGCAGTCCAAGTTAACACCCAAAGGCTTTGCATCTGTCATGTCAAATGCAGCAGTCATAGGATAGATAAGTATTCCCAATCCGGAACCGGGGCGATATGCATAACGGACTAGCCAGTTTTCGGCATTGTCTTGCCTTGAAATAGAAAGTATGACAATGACTCGGAGGTTGTTCGGTCAATGCGTCATGACTGGGGTAGAGCGAGAGATCAGTCTATCCCCAAAGCCACAAAGGGGTGGACGGATTGGGGTAAATCGCAGTCGATCCCCACATGGCTTTGCCACGAGCTTAGACTGCGGGATGGGGTTCCCCACGAGCCTCAGCACGCCGGAAATGGCAGCTTGCGAATGATGACGCGGTCTTTCCATGTTCCGTTTTGGTGAGAGCAATCATTCGCCCCATGTATGGGGAGACGTCGGAGTGGGGTATCCCGATTCAGCGCCCGTTTGAGCCTTTGCGGACGTCTAGCTCCGTAAGGCTAAAGGGGCACACGGCTCGCAGAATACCGGCATGATTGAGGATCGGGCACGGACTCTTGCGAAAGAACGGCAAAAAGGTTCTCGAACAGGGACGAGAATGATCTCGCCAGGCGTCGCTTGATATTTCCCGCACGATCCACGGGTTGCCGGACTGTGACGCTCCGAAGCATTCTGAGGTATCAAAAGAGAAAGTGGGTTGCGGTATCGAGCTTAACCCAATGCAGATCGACAGTCGAAAATGTACCCCGCACAACCCCGGATTTCCACTGATCTTTCACTCAAAATGGTGATACGATACATTGTGATTGTACTGTAGTTGTAGTTACCTTCTCAAGTTGGACTGCCCGGATGCGGTCGAATTCATTTGTTTTCTGCCACGTGAGAGTTCAAGTCTCAAAGCAAAGCGATATTGCAGGGATTGGCTTTAGCTAAGCCTATTTTAGCTTTATTTAGCCACCACCCAAACTTTCTAGCAAATCAGAGACTTCAAAGCAGTCCGTCCGTACCTTTATGTTACACTAGATTGTGGCTTCGGTCGCCTGGAAACGCCATCCCGAACGCGCGGCGATCCTGATTTCGCCTTCCAACTTTTCACTGGGAAGCCCATGGGGATTTTGGTCAGACCAGAGTCAAGTTGGATGGTTGGATGGTTGAATGGCTTGCAGAACTAGAATATGCATACATTTTGCCGCATGAGCAATTGGGAGAAATGCTGAAGCATAGAAATACTCGGCGAAATTAAGTTTGCCCTCGGCCTCAAAACGGGCTTGACTTTCTTGACCGGGATCCCGGTTGACTTGGGGCGCCACAGCGAAAACATTTTCACGGGCCACATGCAAGGCAAGTGGACCACTTTACTCCAGATGGGTTTTCTGTGCCGATGTAGCATTCATGAGGGTGTCCGGGTAAGACTTCCTGGAATCGAGATTTCCCCATGGGCACCCCGCAACACCCCGGATATCCGTTTTGGGAAGTAGATCTGATATATCTCAACCCAATGGATTTAGTCTAGCGGCACAAGATGCTACCTTGGATGAGTATAAAGGTGGGGACTTCCCCTCAACAGGGACAGTCACTGTGAATCTCCTTGTCTCTGAAGTTTGACTACTTCTGAAGTGGTTGAACAATTACTATACAGTTACTATTCCAATTCTTTTGTTTCTTACCCCAAGGCTGTACGAGCAAAACGAGTTAGGCCTTGTCCACTCTAAAGGACTTGATTCTCCCTAGAGGTGAACCTGAGTTTGGTATCCTCAATTTTCAAGATGGAGAAAGAGAGCATCAGCCAGGTGGGCAGCGACCAGCGGTGAGTGTTGCAGATATAACTCACACATCTTTATACTGATCTTTTCTCTAGCTCTAGCAACGATGAAAACAGTGCCGAGAAAGGATACGTCCAGCAAGTCGACCTTCACAACAATGTGTCCGCCAAGTATGTTCACCAAAGTACTCGCTTGCAACAATGCTACACCAAGCATCAAATAACTAACACCATGCAGAATCAAGAACCCACTGGCCGACTTGACCAAAAGCCAAGTCCTACGCGACGTCGAGGAGTTTGCCCAGGAGTTCAACGTGACGGACATTCTACCAGAACTACAAAAAGGAGCTCTGGTAGCCCGTTCTCCCACTGAGTTCGAGTCAGTACCAGACTTGACCGAGACCGAGCTGACCGCACTGCGTGACGAAACCCTTCACAAGTGGCGCCAGCCCAGGGCCCTCTACTTCACCATCATTCTCTGCTCTGTTGGAGCAGCAGTGCAAGGCTGGGACCAGACTGGCTCTAACGGCGCAAATCTGTCATTCCCCGATGCATTTGGTATACCCGAAACAGACAACCCTAACGCCTATCGAAACCAATGGATTGTCGGCGTCGTCAATGCTGCTCCTTATATTGCCAGTGCTGTGCTCGGCTGCTGGCTCTCTGATCCTTGCAATCGCATTCTTGGCCGCCGTGGAACAATCTTCATCTCTTCCATCTTTTGTGTCCTTGCACCCATTGGCTCAGCAGTAACCCAAACCTGGGAACAACTCTTCGCGACTCGTCTGCTTCTCGGTCTTGGAATGGGACTGAAGGCGTCAACAATCCCAATCTTTTGCGCCGAGAATACACCAGCTGTTATCCGCGGCGGTCTAGTGATGTCCTGGCAGCTCTGGACAGCATTTGGTATCTTCCTCGGATTCAGCGCAAACCTTGCGGTTAAAGATACAGGTGCTCTCTCATGGCGTCTGCAGCTGGGCTCGGCCTTTATTCCCGCTATCCCCCTCCTCATCGGTGTTTTCTTCTGCCCTGAGTCACCTCGCTGGTATATTCGACGTGGCGAAATGGACAAGGCGTACCGATCTCTCTGCCGTCTCCGTAATACACCCCTGCAGGCTGCTCGTGATCTTTACTACATCCACGCCCAGATCAAGATTGAAATGGGATTGATTGGCGAGAGCAACTATGTCAAGCGCTTCATCGAGCTTTTCACTATTCCCCGTGTTCGCCGTGCAACTCTTGCTTCTTTTACTGTTATGATCGCCCAGCAGATGTGTGGTATTAACATTGTGGCCTTTTATTCATCCACTGTCTTCTCCAATGCCGGTGCAAATGACACCCAGGCTCTCTTTGCTTCCTGGGGCTTCGGCTTGGTCAACTTCTTATTTGCTTTCCCCGCCATCTGGACGATCGACACTTATGGCCGTCGGACTCTGTTGCTATTCACCTTCCCGCAGATGACATGGACACTGCTTGGTGCTGCATTTTGCTTCTGGGTCCCCGATGGAAAGGCCCATTTGGCGTCTATTGCGTTCTTCGTTTTCTTGTTTGCTGCATTTTACTCGCCTGGTGAAGGGCCTGTGCCTTTTACGTATTCGGCCGAGGTCTTTCCCCTCTCTCATCGTGGTATGTATTATCTCTTCCTGATTGGTTCATCGAGATACTGACCCTTGATTATAGAGGTCGGCATGTCTTGGGCTGTGGCAACCTGTCTAGGATGGGCAGCTGTGCTATCTATCACATTCCCTCCTATGCTTAACACAATGACAGCTACCGGCGCATTTGGCTTCTATGCGTAAGTTTTGAACTTTCTACTTGGTGCTATCATACAGGACAAGGCTAATGCTCGCTCTTTAGTGGTCTAAATGTAACTGCTCTCATCATGATCTTCCTCTGGGTCCCCGAGACAAAGCAGCGCACCCTTGAAGAGCTCGATTACATCTTTGCCGTTCCTACGCGCGTTCATATGAAGTACCAGGTTACCAAGGCGCTTCCTTACTGGTTCAAGCGCTATATTTTCCGCAGGAATGTTGTGCTGGAACCTCTTTATAAGTTTGATACCATTGCCAGTGGTGACGAGGTCATTAAGGGAGTGCAGACGACTAGTGTCGTATCTGAACATGAGAAGTCGTAATTTGGACTTGGCCCTAGTGTTAATGTTTTATATGACTTTTTCTTTTTTAGTCCTAGTGCTAGACTTTCTGTGAACTTCCTGGATTTAGTTGAACAGTAAATAACTACAAATTTTGGCCACTATGACTGGAGTACCTGGTATTGCTTTTAAATCTCTGTTGAAGAGACTGATATCAAGTCTTACGGTTTGTATGAGACTCCACTGGTTCGACGGATCCATGGTTGCCGGGGAATCAGGTGATGTGGAGCATGATGACAGTTGAGCATGACCTTTGCTGTATACTCAGCTGAGGTATCCAAAAGGAATGCAAAAGACAATAGTAAAGCTTTGGGTCATGAACACGAAGTCACTTGGCACTTTATCGCAGTTCAGCAGGCAACATTAAGGTGTATCACGTGGGGTTCGGGGTTGTCTGCGCAGACGTGATATGTTTTGGTCCACTTCCGCCCCTCATCTTCCCCCAAGCTCACAGGGGTCCTGACTTTCTTTCTTTCCTGTCTTCCCATACAGGCGCCCTGTTTGGCATTCCTTGGTCATTTCTACCTCCAACTTGCGATCGTGGACTTCAACTTATTGGTTTCCGCACCTGATACCCCCCACCGGTCTCCAGAAAGCCACATCGCCGTCATCGTGACCCTCCTTTCGAACAGCCTCCCAATACAAACACCAGCAGCTGCAGTGGAGCTCAGAGGACTACTGTGGGCTGCTGGGTTCCTCCGAGTCGAAACCCACACCTTGACCGCCTCCCTATAGCCTAACGCTCGCCTCTCAAGGAAAAAAAATAAAATTAAAGAAGGAAGCTCTCCGCTTGTTCTCTATCCGGCATCAGACCCTTTTCTTCTCCCTGCCCGAATTTTTTGTATTTCTTAGTGGGGCAATCCAGGCCCTTGCACCTTCGTCGGACTCTTCCTCTTCATAGTACGGCCCACCTGTTACCCCTCCCACAATGCCTTGTTTCAAGGGTCTCGCCGTGAGCATCCATACGCCTGATGGGCCGATTTCAGAGTATTCGATTCAACGCCAGTCCCGAGCTTCGCGGATAGCTTGTTTCATCCCCGTCCCTCCACCCAAACTCCCCGAATCGGGGACCGGCAAGGCGGAACAATCAACCTTTGCTATTTCAATCACCCTCCTCAACCCCGGCCAAGATGTTCCCTACTCAACCCCAAAGCCGACCGCAGACACTCCCTCGCCGAAACCAAAGGTCGTCGGTGGGTTGCCCGGTCAGACCGGTGATCGTGGTCAATACTCCGGAGCGGTCGCACCCTACCAGGCCCTGACGAACTCGCCGAACGAGACTGTTGCTGCATACATCTACTTTGACGGCAGGCAAAAGGAAGAAGTGGCTACACTGCTGCGAAGGGGCGAAGAGACCTGGGTCAACTCGCGCTGGGTCAGTGTGCCGAACACGGAAGGCGGGGGGATTGCCGAGCGTGAATTCCTGTTCCGCGAGGTTGGTCTGGAACGCTGGCTGAATGGACTAGATTTGGAAGGTAAGGATGCGGCAGCCAAGATTGAACGGCGCCGGCAAAAGATGGAGAAGCGACGCATAAAGCGTGAGGCCGAGGAGGGTGAGTCCGCCATGGAGATGGAGGCCAACCACCCCGCCAAGGCCAAGAGCATTATGCGATACGGAAATGATGAGAAGTCGCCTCTTGAGGATGTTTCGGACGATGATTTGTCTTCCGACTCTGACGACGACGACCCTATTCCGGAGACAGCGGGACAGATCAAGGTTGCTTTGTTCCGAGTCCTGGCTTCGGGAGAGATCAAACGTGGAGAATACTCGCCTCAGTTTGATGCACATGACGACGAGGAGGGTGGTGGAGAGAACAATGGCGGTGGTGATGCCGATGTTGACCACACGACGAGTTTCGCCAAACCCAAAACACTCGACCCTAAGACAATTAGCACGCAGACAGTCACTGGCATTGACCCTACTGATAAGCCCTATGCAATTTTTACTTTCATGTATCGAGGCGAACGTGAGTATTCCTTGTGTCTTTACTGTTGACTATTTTTAACATGTTCACAGGCCAACTGCAAAAGATGGGCATCTTGAAAGATTGCAAGGCACCCGAAACGCCTGCTGCCACGAAGCGCAAGTCACTACAAGCGGATCTCGCAAATCTTGGACCTATCAAGGCTGGCGGATCTGTTGGATTCCTCAATTTCCGGGAAGAAGCCAAGCTGCGCAAGGGCAAGAAGAGCGAAGATGACATGGATAGCGATGACGATGATACGGACAATCCCATTCTTGGAAAAGCCGACGAAGAAGAATCCAAGGATGACGAACGTTTCTTGTCTCCGGATGATATTAAACGCCAGGGAGAGCTGGCAGAGAGCATGCGAAAGATTCGGGTAGGTACCACACCAACTATGCATGTGTCTGTCGCTAACAATTACAAAGCTGAAGCGTCAACATTCGGCCGAACCACCTGGAGGCAGTGCCGGAGATTCTACAGATACCCCGGCTTCTGGATCCGGATCTACGCCCCCGGCCGAACGCTCAACAACACCACCCAAGGGCGCCGCTACAGCACCAGCGCCTTCCGACTCTCAACCCGCCGCGGAGTTGTCCGATGGGCTCTTTGGCAGTCCATTGAAGAAGCAACGTGCCAGTGTCTCGACAGCAGATGAAAACGCCCTGAGACGTCGAATCGCCGAGTCCTCTGGTCGAATCAACGAAGTTCTGGGGTCTTCAGCTCCCGAGTCGAAGTCAACTTCCACCGCGACATTCGGAGACAGTCTCAGTCTCACACCTGAGATGTCAGCAGGACCTCCCGTTGAAGAGGAACTGTAGATCAATGAAACAAGGGCGAATATGCTTTTGCTGTTGAGCTCTGGAAAGCACTCGTATTTGCCAGGGGTTGAGTTGGGACATTTTCGCCATATACCTAGCCATGTGAATGCTGTTGCTTTCTTTTACAATTACGCCGTTATGTCCACTACCCACACTACAGGGAGCATGCCGAAGGAGAATATATTTGCTGCATCTATTCAGAGCAGCTTGATTATACATCACCCAAATTACTCTGTAAATTTCAATTTCGTAGATTTGAATTTCAGCCCTACACCGTTTGCCGTTTTCTCCAAATTTATGCTCGGCTGCTTTCTCCCACCCTCAAACTTTCTCCTTTCAGACTACGATAACCTACCCATGATCAGAAGCTGCAAATACGCATTGTCTACATTACGGGTAGCTCAAATCGGTAGCTTTCCCCACCGAGTCCACCATCCCGCAAAACACCAAAACCTCCGATCATTCACAGCACCCCAAACCAACCCAATCCGCCCAACAATCATGTCACTTGCGCGCTCCAAAGATCCTTTAGTCTGGATTGACTGCGAAGTACGTCCCAATCCCACCCGCCGACGCATACATCCATATCCCAACCCCCACTAACCAAGCCCAGATGACAGGCCTCGACGCCGAAACCGACCAAATAATCCAAATCTGCTGCTTCATAACGGACCACAACCTAAACCTCCTCGACACTACCCCCTTCGAAACAATCATCCACGCTCCAGACACAACCCTCATGAACATGTCACAATGGTGCATCGACACGCACGAACGCACGGGCCTCACGGCCGCCGTGCGCGCCTCGACCACGACCGCCGCCACCGCCGCCGACGCCCTCCTTGCCTACATCACCGCTCACGTCCCCACGCCGCGCACTGCCCTACTGGCCGGGAATAGTGTCCACGCCGATAAGGCGTTCCTGGTAAAGGGGCCTTATGCGAGGGTGTTGGAGCATTTGCATTATCGCATTCTGGATGTTAGTTCGTTGAAGGAGGCGGCGCGGAGGTGGGCGAGTGACGAATTTTTGGCGGAGGTACCACTTAAGAAGGGGGTCCATCTTGCTAAGGATGATATTTTGGAGAGCATTGAGGAGATGCGGTTTTATCGGGATCGGTTGTTTGGTAGTGTTGTTTAGTTAGATGGGGGTCTACTTGCGCGCTATTGTTTTATGTCTTAGACAGTGTGTCTATTTCTGTAGTTGTTGAGTTTGGGGGATTTGACCCCTTTTTTCTTAGGTTCTATTGCTTGAATACCCATTGCCATTGCCATTGAGACTTGTGTATCTTGTACTTCGGAGTGTTTTCGTGGCACGTTGGGACCCCGGGAATAGATCTGCGGGGCAATTTGCAAGGGTTCAACAGGTTTCTATGGACATGAGAGAATGTAGATCGAAAGCAGCTGGGTATAACTTATGTTAAGACCAGTAGAAATGTGGGAAGTGGATGTACCTGTACCTAGTCCTAGTACTAACTTGGTACTAGTAGTATGTAGCTACGTTCTAGTGGGATGATAAACACATGACGACCCCTCCCGTCATTCGGTGAACTTCCCCTCCTTCATTCTCTCTACACTTTTTTCTTCCAATTCATTCCATCATGTCCGTCCAGACGGTGTCTATCCAGCCTTTCACTGACCAGAAGCCTGGAACGTATGTTGCTTGCTGCCCTGCAATTGATCCAGCTAACCTCCTCCCAGCTCCGGCCTTCGCAAGAAGGTCAAGGTCTTCCAGCAACCCAACTACTCTGAGTCCTTCATCACTAGCATTCTCCTCTCCATCCCTGAGGGCTGTGAAGGTTCCTTCCTTGTCATTGGTGGCGATGGCCGTTACTACAACCCTGAGGTGATCTCCAAGATCGCAAAGATCAGTGCCGCCTACGGTGTCAAGAAGCTCCTGGTGGGACAGAATGGCATTCTCAGCACTCCCGCTGCTAGCAACCTCATCCGCGTGAGGAAGGCTACTGGTGGTATTCTGCTGACCGCCAGTCACAACCCCGGTGGTAAGTAATGGAGACAGTCTTGATTGTTTGGACGCTGACTGACACTACACAGGCCCCGACAACGACTTCGGTATCAAGTACAACTTGAACAACGGAGCCCCTGCCCCCGAGACCATCACCAACAAGATCTACGAGACCGCCAAGTCCTTGACCTCCTACAAGTACGTTGACGTGCCTGATGTCGACACCTCCAGCATTGGCACCAAGAGCTATGGCTCCCTCGAGGTGGAGGTTGTCCACTCAACCGCCGACTACGTGACCATGATGAAGGAGATCTTCGATTTCGACCTCATCAAGGAGTTCCTCAGCTCCCACAAGGACTTCAAGGTCCTCTTCGACGGTATGCACGGTGTCACAGGCCCCTACGGCGTGGACATCTTCGTCAAGGAGCTCGGCCTGCCCGCCAGCAGCACCATGAACTGCGAGCCCAAGCCGGACTTCGGCGGCGGTCACCCCGACCCCAACCTGGTGTATGCCCACGAGCTCGTCGAGGCCGTCAACAAGAACGGCGTGCACTTCGGTGCCGCCAGTGACGGCGACGGAGACCGTAACATGATCTACGGTGCCAACAGCTTCGTCTCTCCCGGTGACAGCTTGGCCATCATCGCCCACCACGCAAAGCTCATCCCCTACTTCCAGAAGCAGGGAGTCTACGGCCTGGCCCGTTCCATGCCCACCTCCGGAGCTGTTGACCGCGTGGCCCAGAAGCAGGGCTTGCAGAGCTACGAGGTCCCCACCGGCTGGAAGTTCTTCTGCAACCTGTTCGACAACAACAAGATCTCGATCTGTGGCGAGGAGAGCTTCGGCACTGGTAGCAACCACATCCGTGAGAAGGACGGCGTGTGGGCTGTGATCGCCTGGTTGAACATCGTCGCCGGTGTCGCCAAGCAAAAGCCCAACGAGACCCCCAGCATCGCCTCCATCCAGAACGAGTTCTGGCAGACCTACGGCCGCACGTTCTTCACCCGCTACGACTTCGAGAATGTCGACAGCGATGGTGCCAACAAGGTCGTCGGCACCCTGTCCGGCCTCGTCGCTAGCGGCTCCTTCGTCGGCTCTAAGGTCTCTGGCCGGAAGGTCACCGACGCCGGCAACTTCTCCTACACCGACCTTGACGGAAGTGTCTCCAAGAACCAGGGCCTGTACGCCAAGTTCGATGACGGCAGCCGTATCGTCGTTCGTCTGTCCGGTACCGGCAGCAGCGGCGCTACTATCCGTCTGTACGTGGAGCGCTACGAGGCTGACCAGTCCAAGTTCGGTCTCACTGCCCAGGAGTACCTGGCTGACAACATCTCGCTTGCTCTTAACCTGCTTAAGTTCAAGGAGTATGTTGGCCGTGAGGAGCCTGATGTTAAGACTTAAGTTGGAGGTTGTAATGTGGAACCTGCTGGATGGGGATCACCTTTAATTGTTTTGCCGTTCCGTCTGAACGAGAGAAATGATGATCGAATAGCAGAATTAAAAGTATATCAAGGATGGCATGAGATAGAGGCTGTTATAGTATAACTGAGCCTCTTACGAGCTTGGGCCTTGAGCATTGTAGTTTATAGATCACCATCATTCATATCTCATCATCGTCATAAATCATAAATCATACCACAATCCATCTTACTCCCAACCATCCGCAGAAACCCTCAATTTCTCCCCCCACCACTCCCCCCAACGAACAACCCTCTCACTTCTCCTCGCCTCCTCCGCCGCAAAAACAACAGCATGACTCCGAACCGCCTCTTCAAGCGTACAACCCACAAACCTCGCCTGCGCCTCCTCAACCCCAACCCTTGAAACCTCAACCGCCTCAACAGCACTAACAAACTGCCTCGCAAGCCCATAATCCCCACCACCATGCGACTCCTTCCTCTCAGGCGGCGGCTTGGGCACATCAATAACGGTTGTCTCCCCACTGGCAAAATCATAGATTGAGATGCTATGACTGTCATACGCGATCTCACCCTTCGTTCCATAGACCCGACCACGTCGTTCACACTGTTTCTCCGTTGGCGCTATCATATGGAACGAAGCCGTTTTCGCGAGGCGGTGCGGTGCGTCTTCCTCGTCGTCCCAGGTTATTGTCACGACTTGATCGTCGCAGACGTCGTTGTCTGCTTCGTAGACGCAGCGTCCGTACCATGGTCTCGAGGCGATTGTTGAGTCAGGCGTGGTTGTATCGTAGTCTTCGGCTAGACGGGCGAGGAGGTGTGATTCAGCGGCCTTGGAGCCCTGGACTCGGAATACATCTTCTATATCTGGGGCGACGATGTCGACGGGCCAGGCTGTGTGTCCTGTTGACAGGTGGCGGTCGTTGTAGATTCGGACTGCGCTGTAGTTGCACGTTCGTTCGATTGGGCAGGTGAGGCAGTTTGTTGCGGTGCCTGCTGCTTTTGGTTTGCGGGCTCGTCGGAATTGGGTCATTGTTCCGGCTGAGGAGATGGTGCGTGGGAAATGCGGTTTGTGGGGGTTTTCTGCGGCGGTTGTTTCTGGGGATGGTGGGGAACAGAGGAGCCAGAGGATGAAATCGATGTCGTGGCAGGATTTCGTGAGGAGGGAGCCATCTCCTGCTGAGGTGGTACGGCGCCAGTTGCCGCGTACGTAGCTGTGCGAGAAGTGCCACCAGCCTACTGGTTCGCAGTGTTCTAGGGAGACTATGTCGCCGATTATATTGTCTGTTACGAGGAGTTTGCGCAGGAGGATGTTGTGTGGGCTATAGCGGAGGACGTGGCCGATTGAGAAGATATTGGATGGAGCTCGTGGTGTTTTGGTTTCGCCTTCTGGTGGTTGCAGGGTTCGGTAGACGGTTAGGCAGTCTTCTAGGGAGAGCGCTAGTGGTTTTTCGCAGAGGATATGGAGTTTGAGAGGGGCCAGGGCTTGGACAATTCCAACGTGTGTTTCGTCTAACGTGCAGATGAAGACACCGTTTACGCCTGGAGGTGTGTTTCCACTTGCGCGTGTCTCATCGTTCTGTGCCTGTGCCCGCCGCTTGGTCTCCCATTGCACCCATTCGCGCCAGTCTGCGAATTGTTGGCCTTCGCTTGGGGCTCCCTCGCCCCAGATGTAGTTTCGTCCGAATTCACTCCGCTTGAATGGGTGGGGTTCGGCGACAGCGTGGATTACGCCTGGTGTTGCGGTTGTGACGGCGCGGGCGTAGGCATTTCCACGGGATCCGGCGCCGATGACAAGGAAGCGGAGCTGCTTTGGCATGGAGGAATCGGCAATGGTGTCGGTAGGGGGTGGAATTGGTTCTTTCATGTTTGTAGGGATGCGGGGATAATTGGAGTTGAATTCAGGGCGTAGAGTTGGTTTATGGAAAATGCCGATGATTAGACTCAACTGACTCTGATCAAACTAATATGTTAGAGTCAAATAAGCCAGAGCAGCCATATATATAGCCCAACGCGAGTCCGAGAGAGACGTTGCAGTCGGCGTGTTACATGCGGGGAAACATCAGCAAGATCGGCTGGACCCTGATTGGCTGCAACTATAGCTTCATTGTATAACTTATTCCGTTTTCCCTACTCTATATCGCTTCTTTTCTACTGTCTGTATTCTCTTCCTCGCTCTCGTCAAAAATCATCGCAACCTCTTCCAAAGACCGGCCCTTCGTTTCAGGGAAGAGGAAGTACACAACCCCCAGGAATACGACCAGACAGCCTATATAAACACAATAATACTTCCACTGAAGCGCAGTAAACGCCACAGGATTCACATATTGATTGAAGAAGCATGCAGCAGCATCGACCGACAATGTAACCGCAAGACCCTTGGCACGCAGTTGAAACGGTAGGATCTCAGCCGGATACGAGATGAAAAGAGGCGCATACGCCATGTCGTAGAAGCCGAAAAAGATAAACAGCAATGGCACCACGGCTATCCCTGCAGCTGCGAGGTGCTGCTCGGCGAATAAACCAGCAAGCAGTGTGGCAATGGAGAGAAATAGCAGCATTCCTGCTGTGGACAGGAGCCAGAGGATACGACGACCGTATCGCTCCGAAGCCACCGCTCCTGCGGCTGAGAGGAGGAAGTTCCAAGCTTGGAGACTCACGTTTACGGCGGCTTGGTCTGCTGCTTTGGTAATTCCCACAGAGCCGAGAATTGGTGCGAGGTAATATGATAGGATCCCTGGATATGTCAACATGTGGTCTCTTACAGCTTCGGGCTTCTTACCATTTCCAGCCCATTCTTGCATCAGTCCAACCAATACACAAATCGCCAATCGGTGCATGTCGCCTTTTGAAGAGAAGAAGGAATTCCAGTTTCTAGACTGGGCCGCTTCGGCATTGATGGTGTCGCAAATCTGACAGAATTCATGCTGAACCAACTCATCATCTATCCGTCCATTGGCATGATACCTGGCCAGAATAACCAAAGCCTCATCTTTCCGACCTTTCGACACAAGCCACCTAGGGCTCTCCGGCACAAAGAACACCAAACCAATCAATTGACTGATCGGATATGCCACCTGTAATAAACAAGGAATTCTCCATGACCAGCTGTTCGTCAGGGCGATAGTTGCAAATGTAACCGCAGCCGAGCCGATTCCCCCCAGACACCAAGTCGCATTATAGAAAGCGGTCGCGGTCTGTCTCTGACGTGGGTGCGCAATCTCAGTTACCAAGAGAGGAGCAGCAGTTTGGGAAATGCCCATGCCCGCACCTGACAACACCCTCATACTGAAGAAAGCCCAATGATTTCTAAAAATGGTCTGAATGATCGTTGCGACAATGACAAGACTGCATCCGAGTCCCACGCAGATCTTGCGCCCATGTTTATCTGCAATATAGGACGCTGGTACGAATGCTAAAAAAGCTCCCAGAGAAGTGCCGGCAATGATAAGACCAATTATGTTGGGGTCCAAACCGCCAATAATTGTGGCGACTATTTTTTGGTCAATATCAATCTCATGAACTCAATAGAAGCACTTACATTGAGGTAATACCAGCAGGCTGTTAACTAAACTTGCGATATAACCCGCCGAAGAAGCAGTAGAGAACATAAACAGAATTCCAAGATTCAGTTTCCGTAACCCCTTGTCCTTGATCCAGTTTTTATCCGTGTTGTTGGGCAGAAGCTTGAATGCTTCCAGAGGAAGCTCCGTTGGGGGAGCCGTATCAGTCTTCGCTGTCATGGCGCTCTATCAATGTTGACGCTGTACCAAGTATAAGACGAGAAAGTGTAATCTGCAGAATCCAAGCCAAGCCATTTATACAAACTTCAATCATTACTATAAAACCTGTAGCAGAACAAGGGATTATCCACATTCCTCCCCCTAATGAAACCATCCGACTTTCGCAGGTTAATCCTCGGCCTCTCGATGAGATGACTGGTGACTAAAGATGGAATGAAGGGAGGAATGTCCGATCTAACTACCTATTCAGGTAGTTTGCCCAGCGTACAAGAGTCCCAAGAACACGGATCCATACTGCCAATCATGCACAAACTAAACGACCTACAGTGCAATACACTGCTCCTTGCAACAACATGGATGCCACACGTGAGACATATCCCATTCAAAATTCATCATCATTCATCACTATCCCCAAGCAGCGACGCATACCGGTTGCCAAGCCCACAAAACCCTTCACACTGCTCTCCAACATCCCGCCCTTTGTGCAAGACTTCCTCAATACCCCACGTTACGCGTTCCGCACCGACTCTCGCGCCTTCAAGATTCGGTGCCGCGGGTCCAAGCCGGAGAGATGCCATCCGTCCTGTCATGAATAGCGGCACGTCTTCACGCCATGATAGGTCGTTTGTTAAACAGGGGAATCCGGACTTGACTTCGATGGGGTATTGTTCGTTCATTTCGCGTAGTAGAGGCATCTCGCGGACATCGGTGCGTGCGCCTGTTGCGAAGTAGATGTAGTCTATTGGGGGGAGGTTGGGGATTGGTGGGTCGGTTGTTAGGGTCCAGGTTTGGGTTGAGGGGTTGTATTCGTGTGATTTTATTACTGTGCATGGGTGGAGGGAGGCGCGGTGTTTGGCGGCATGTTGTTTCACGATTTTGGTGTAGCGTGGTGTCATGCTGCCTCCGTTGCGGGCAGTTTGAAGCATTTCGAGGCGTTCTACATAAGTTAGTTTATTTGTCGAATATGGGGGAAGGGACATGTAATCGAATTAGGGCTTACCTTCGTCGGTATCGGCAGACCAGAAGGCTGCTTTTTCCCAGTTTTTGTATTTGCCCATCCATGGCAAACTGATATCGAAATGTTTGACTATATTCGTTTTAGCTTTGTGTTCGTAAGTCCACTGTCCATCTAAGCATATACATACCCTTCATCCCGGACCTCATAATAAACCACACTTTGGTGACTCCCTTGCGAACAGCCATGTCCACAATCTGAGCTGAAGAAAGCCCACCCCCAACAACGACAACGTTTGTCTCCTGCCGGCGCTGGATCTTGTCCTGTACATTAGGACTGGGGAAGGTCTTAATTTCCATGCTGTGGCAACATCCAGCTGCACCCTCTTGATCATTTGCTGGCTTCCACGGATAGATCTTTGAAACTCCTGCACCGCCAGGACCGATGGCAAGCACAACAGCCCGGCTGTAGAATTTCTCTCCAGTAGATGTGGAAATTGTGAAGATCTTCTCCGAGCCATCAGACACATAGTCATAAGAAAGTCCTGTAGCCTCGCGCTGCAAGATCTGTCCCGGCTCATTGAGTCCATACCGATCAATGATCGAAGCGCAGTAATCGGCGAACAAATCCGTAGAAGGAGAGAAGTAATCTTTCCGATCTCGTTCGTCGATCTCGCCTCCGATTGGCCTATATGCTGTCAGAGAGACATACCAAAAGGAATCGAAACCTTTTAAGTAAACTTACTGAGACTTTCCCCCTGCCTTCTCTTCTTTTTCTTATGCTTGCTCATCTCCTTCCCAACACAACCTGGAATCTCCCACAAATCCCCCTCGCGCCCAGTCTCCTGAGTATAAGCCAACATCCCATCCCGATCACCAGGATCAACATGGAAGAACATCGGACTGCGAAGCTGCTTAATCTCTAATGTCTTGAAAGCATTATTCCATCGTTGCATCCATTTATCTCCCGATCCATCAAGTACTAAAGTTGACACAGAGGACGAGGTCGATGTAGTCGAGGAAGCGGAAAGTGATGGAACAGAAGATACAGAGTCTGTAGACGCACGCCGTTGTCGATCTTGGCCTTTGTCTTTGCTATCGCTGGGACACATCGTCTCGCAGTTCCATTTGTTTGCCCGAACGCCGTTAATCTTGCTGTGTCGGGCTTGTACGAGGTTCATTCGGCCGGTGTGTTTCTTTATCCAGTGGTAGCGTTGGTGCTCTTCGTCAGTGAAGACTGCCGAGGGGGTTTCTTCGCCTAGTCGTGCGGCGACGGCGAGGCCACAGGGTCCTGCGCCTATTATTATTACATCGTGGATAGGGGCTGGTTGGGGTTCAATAGACATCTTGGGGTTGGTAAAGTTGTTGTGGATATAGTATATTGAGATATGAGGGCTGGATAAATGAGATAAAAGGAACCCTTCGAGATTTGAAAAATGGGGATACTCTTTCTTTTATATTAATCTATTGGCATTGGCACTCCTCACATTTACTTGGCCTTCTACAATGTCCTCAGTGTCACGAGATGGCCATCGAGGTACTCTTCCCCAAGGTCCTTAGGGCTTGCATGATACAATACTCAAACGGGACAAGACCCATACTCCACACTCAAGGCGGATCTGACAGTCTATTGGAAGCTGTCAACTGAGTACCTTGGGGTTCAATGGCGATCATTGGAAATCGCATCAAAATAATGAAAATATTCAAATTAACTCAGTAAAGAATTATATTCAGGATCTGAAGACCCGACAAATTGGTGATAGCCACCCTTATGATACCATGGTTGAAGTGAAGGCAACTACACCTTCTGCGGAAGGTGTAATCTCATTCAAACAAGTGTACGGTGAGAAGAGTAGACAATATCAAGATATCAACGAGGATTGATTTACCCAATCAATCTGGTGTTCCCTTTCTTATGTTTTTTGATATCTGGCGGCGCTTTACCAACCAACGCCAGCCATCTCGAGATGATCAGGTATATATTTAGTTCGATGTCATATTTTTTAATGAAGTCCCCATCCGAGGTGCATACCTCCTCTATGGCAAAGTACATAGAGGAATACAGGCCGGTAGAGTACATGCGCCATTCATTCCGCGGCATGACTCCAATACGACGAAAAAGTGGGATCTGTTGTATGTCATGCTCGATTTTTTGGAGTCCCGAATAATGCGGGTTTAGGCTGGTATGATAGTAAATCGTCTCTGCGGAATATGATAGAATATGCCTGGATTTCACGGCCCATGCTCCTCATGGAAGTTTCATTGCTAAGGAAAGCCAATTTGATGAAGTCTTACATAGCAAAGTCAGCTTTAGTCTAGATATTCTGAATATAATCTATGCACCATAACGAGCCATTGGGGGTGCTGATGAGCATTGCGAGGGTTCTCGCGTGGAATGACCTCACCATTGGAGAACGGGAGATATGCGTTTCATCTCCGTGGACAGAGTTTAGAACGCGGTTGTTCCAACGCGCGCTTGAAGGATATTTCCAGGAGCAAGTGATGACATTGGTCTGATGACTTTTCCCGCGGCCGATGAAGCTGAACGGATGAGACCTATCGCGAAAAGAACCAAGCAATGACGAACGTGGAGATGGGTGAATCCATAAAGGGAGGAAAGATCAACAAAAGGTTGCTGCAGGGACTCTCGATGTGTGGTTGTGGCTGCGTGCCTGTAGACGAACCTATGCGGATGATAGGAAACCGACAAACTGTTCATTTTAATTGAGTGTTTGTTATAGAACTGCTCTATGGTATAGCGCCTATCCTACCAGGTAACTCATTAGACGGTCTATTAGAACTCGAGTTCCTATAGGGCGATTGTACAGAGCGGGCACGGCCCGAGGGAACCTTATTAGTCATACTACTTACGGCGTACCTTTCAAGGTTGGAAGTAACTAGTTAAGTTATAGCTATTTATTAGTTTAGCAAACTATGCATGCATGTCCAGAGGTTGGTTCATAAGTCAAGCCCACTTTAGCTGTAGCACCGAGGATAATATTTTCCAAACTAACCGAGTCTTTTTGGCTGTCCTCATTGTTGTTGATAGCCGATACTCAAGTAGTATTTAGTGCAATGTTATGGTCAACATGATTACAGGAGAAATACTATACGTAGTTCACAGTATATAAAAGACCTAAAGGAATTAAATTAAGCACAAAGGGGGAATAGCAAAAGCAGCAAATACCACCACACAAAAACACCAAACCAACGCAAAGAGCAAAAACAAAAACAGATAATAAGACACGATAAGTAACAAAAAACCCAATAGACCATCAAATCCAACACAAACACCAAGACCAACCAACGCCAACACTTATCCAACACCCATCAGATGATTGCCAACACCAAACCATATCAATCCAAACCCCTTCTATTTATGCCACTTCTTAAGCTTCTTCCCCTCCCCAACCCTAGCCCTCGGCGCACCACCTCCCTCCCTCCGATGCCAAGCATCCTGAGGCCAAACCCACCCCCTCACCCTCTTAGCATCCCTCCGCTCCCCAATCTGCGGCGGCGGGATCCAATCATCCTTCCCCTCAGGCAAGACCCGCTGCCGCGTCATTGCACCCGGCCCGCCGACGTTGAGGTGGGCGGATGGCTGGTGCGGTAATGGTTGGGATTTCGAGAGCATGAGTAGGAAATATAATGCTAGACTTGCTGTCATTGGTGTTGAGAGGGCCTGATCTTCTTCGGAGGTTTCGTCTGGGAAGTGGGAGTGGGATGATGATGGTGAAGAGGAGGAAGGAGACGAGGAAGAGAACGAACGCGCGCTGATGGGCGTTGCCAGTGCCGGCCCGTCACGGGAGAGCGTGTGTGCATGTGCGTGTGCATGAGTGCGCGGGTTAAAAGCAGCCGTCTTGAGTGGGATAGTAGCAGCAATCTCGAAGTATCCGAAATAAGGAACGTCATCGCCATCGTCGCAGCCAGCTCGAACGCAGACTAGTTCGATTTCTGTGATTATGAATCCGTACCGACAGGAGTGTTCGCGCATGCAGCGTTGCAGGTGGGCGAGGCCGTTGAGGTATTCGACGCGGCGGTGCGGTGCTTCATTGCGCATGCCTGTATTCCAGCGGTCGAAGCTCTTGACTATGCCGACTAACCGGCCGCGAGGGAGACCGGCGCTTGTCTGTTCCGTGTCTGAGGCGTAGTTTGCTAGGAAGTGCGGATGGCCGTGGTTTTTGTGGCCTGTGCTGCGGACGTCTGGCGCTGCGTAGAGCTGGAGATGGTCGGGCCCTTGGGAGACGGCTAGGGCAGCGTTGACGCGGGGCGCGTAGAGGTTTGTGATCATGTTCACTAGGGCGGGTTCGGATTCTGGGGCTAGGTGGGCGAAGGATACTGCCACTGGTGGAGTGAGCTCGGCTGGGATTTCGGTTTTCAGGAGCTGAATTAGTCGACTGTCTACTAGGTCGAAGGTTGCTAGCGAAAAGGAGGTCCAGTTTCGTAGGTTGCGGATGTCCCACCAGAAGTAGTCGTGCATGCCGCGAGTTGGGACTACGCTCACGTTGCGGACTAGGTTGATTGGTGGGATCGGCATTGTTAGGTAGGAGAGGAGGGTCGTTGAGTGTGGTGTTGGTGGTTCTTGGGGACTCAGCAGGGCTGGTGATGGCTGTGCGGAGGCCGGATGGAATTTGTATTGGGGGGTTGGCACTGTCAATGGGTGTGCGCATGTTGGGGTTTGCTGGGCCGCTGGTCTCTGGGAGTATGACGGGTAGACCACGATAGTCGGAGTGATTGGAGTGACCGGTGTGGTGGGAGTGGTTTGAGCATGCATCTGAGGCACATATTTAGGAAGCTCACGGTAGGTTGGATATCCAAATCGAGTCAAAGTGGCAGTGTCGACGCCAGATGCTGACACGGAGCGTGAGTGGCCACCGACAGCTTTGCGCTTGTGAGACGGGGTGATAGCCACAGGCGATGACAAGGTAGAGCAGGTGCCATGGGCCATTGGGGCCGGTGAAATAGGGGACGCCAATGTCAAGCGGTCGACAACATCCCGAATGTGACGGTTAGACCGAGTAGTTGTATAAGGGACAAAGCCAGGAGGGTTCCGTGTATTAGACAGAACCCGGCGGGAACGAAGAGGTCCGCCAGCAGACACTGGCTCGATGACAACATCCTGAGGTCTGATCTTTGGCAAGAGGGCCGGACCATGATGATGTCTGGTTGGCGAGGTGGTAGGACTAGTGTTGCCGGTGATAGTTGACCAAGGCGACGACTCGCTTGAGTAGACAGACGAGTTGGACTCATGGCGACTATGACCCGAGCCGGTGGACCCCTCAAGAGGAAGACGCGGCGGCGTTGTAGGCCGATAACGAGCGTACTGCACAGACATGATAGACAAGTAGTTGTCTAACTCGATCTTTGTCACAATAACAAACGAATGAGAGAGTGATGAGGATCAAATCATCAAGGCGAAGAGCTTGGATATTAAATGGTCTTCACAAGGTCTCAAACAGCCAAGCATGCATATAAAAAGATCGACTGACGAACTCTAGCCGATATAGAAAACATGAAACATGGAGAAGAGCCCCATTGTGACGCCTGCGGAGCTTCAGAATCTTTTTTTGGGATCCTAGTCTCCGATCAAGAGGGACGTTCACGCGATGAAACGCGAAACTGCCGACATTGTGCCTGAAAGACAGGCATGCCGCGCGAAGAAGCACTTGAAACTGCAGAGACGGAGGTTCCAGTCCGGTATAGTGCCGTTTCATCGGACAGTCGCGCGTCAAGATGTTGCTATATTTTGCACTTGGGTCAACTTCATTCTTCAGATGCCTTTCTTGGGTTAGTCTGCTGCAAGATCTGAGAGCAGTTCTAAATTCGGCAACAATTAAGTCGCATTTTGCAGGTAATTAGCGGACTTGTTGGTGACCCTCCCTGCTTCAGCACTCGCCGAGTCAGCGGCTAGGGAGTCCCAAGAAGCAACAGGATAAAAATAGCCTTTTGTCTGTGTGTGATTCAAGGGACCAAGGAGGGGAAACCGTTTGAGAAAGGTAATATGGGTAGATGCGCCAGTGGCCGAGCGTGATATCAAGGTCAGCGCCTACAGATGTACGTTGAGTCTCAAGTACGCGCCGATCGACGGCGTCACATTCGGTGATTGGACGATTTTTCGAAACAAGCAAAGAAACGTCCCATAATTAGCAATGATTAATGCAGTTGATCAGATCAATTTGTTCGTGCAAAAGAAGGGTAAAGGAGTAAATCAGGGAAATCGGGAATTGGGGTAAATCGCATAGGCGCGCAGGGACCCCTGACGTTTCAACCGAAGACAGTAACTTAGAAGATTGTATATTATTAACTTAATGTCCATTTTGATTATCTCATAACATTCATTGGTGGGGCCGAAAAATAAACCCAAATAGAAAATGAAAAATGCAAGGTTTCAAAACCTGCGTGGTCTAGGTAAACAAAACGCTTGGGGGAATCTCTCTGAACCGTCTAAACAAGGATCAAATCCAACGGCAAAGGCAATTGCAGAATCATGAAAAGCTTTTTAAGCCTTGATCTCGTACTTGCGGCGGAACATGTCATCCACCTCAGTCAGGTAGTACACACCGGAGCCGATGGTCTCGACGTTGCCGGCGGGCTTGAAGTCCTTCTTCAAGTGAGCGTGCTCACGGAGCTTGCACATGGCATCGTAGGCAGCAGGCTCGAGAACAGTGCGGGCATTGAGGCGGTTCTGGAGGTCCAGCTTCTCAACCATGTTGGAGACATCGCCAACAATCTTGGCGCTGAACATGGAGCTGGCAAGACCACTGCCGTAGCTGAACAAGCCAATGCGCTTGGGCTCCTTGGGGTCGAAAGTGACGTTGCTGAGCAGACTGGCCAGGCCGCCGTAGACGGTAGCAGTGTACATGTTGCCACACTGGGTGGCAACCTGGAGACCAGGGTTGACACGATCAGCGAAGCGCTTCTTGGTCAAGCCCATGAAAGTCTTCTCAACAGTCTTGTCGGACAGAGACTTCTCGTAGTCCAGATCGCGGAGCTCGGGGGCGACCTCGGCGAAAGCGGGGTGGGAGGGGTTGGCGAGGTAGTCGTTGTAGAGCATGCGAGCGTAGGACTTCTGGACCAGCTTGCAGGTGGGAGCGTGGAAGAGGATGTAGTCGAAACGGTCCAGAGGAGACAGGGACTCGTCAGCAACACCGTTGGTGCCGTTAGTCTGGGCCTTGAGGGTCTTCTCGCGGGCATCATAGGCCTTGTAGCAGGCATCGACGGCCTCGGTGTAGCACTTAAGGGAGAAGTGGCCATCGACGACGGGGTACTCGCTGGTGAGGTCGGGCTTATAAAAGTCGTAGGCGTGGGTGATGTAGGAAGCACGGAGACCGGGCTCGAAGACAATAGGGGCGTCAGGGCCAATGACCATGGCAACACAGCCAGCACCACCAGTGGGGCGAGCGGCACCAGCGGCGTACAGAGCAATATCACCGCACACCACAACGGCGTCACGGCCGTCCCAGGCGGAGGACTCGAGCCAGTTGATGCTGTTGAAAACAGCGTTGGTACCACCGTAGCAGGCGTTGACGGTGTCGACACCCTCAATGTTGGTGTTGCCGTGGGGAGCAAAGAGCTGCATCAGGACAGATTTGACGGACTTGGACTTGTCCAAGAGAGTCTCAGTGCCAACCTCGAGGCGGCCAACGGACTTGGGGTCGATGTTGTACTTGTTCATGAGGGAGGAGAGGGTGGTAAGGCACATGGAGTAGATGTCTATAAATCACGCTCGTTAGTTTCCTCGTTCTGTCTTCTTTGTCGGATGCCTGACATACCCTCGCGGTCATCACAGAAGCTCATCTTGGTCTGGCCAAGACCAATGGTGTACTTTCCAGCACTGACGCCATCGTACTTCTCGAGCTCGACCTGGTCGACGCACTGTGGAAAGATTAGTATCTCACCAGTAGTTCAATGGCAGCGTGAGCTCTTACCTGAGTAGGAAAGTAGACCTCAATGGCCTTGATACCAATGTTCTGGGGACGAGCAGCCATCGTGGGGTAGAACTGTGAACTTTTGAATAGCAAAGAGAAAGAAAAGGGAGGATGGTAAAAGGCAAAGGTGAATAAAGAGAACAGACCCCTGGACAAGCAGCTTAAATAAATAAAAGAGGGAAGCGTACAGTACTCGGATCTACAGTGTACGATCTGTCACCGTCAACTTTTTTCCCCTGAGTGGGGAGGATCGACCTTGGGTCTTCCTTTGGACCGGATACTTATAGATCTTTAGTACTGTGAATAGTGAACACTGTAGTTTAGTTGTTGTTAATGGAATATGTAGCAAGATATGAATAGGTATACACATTCACCAATTGTATATATTCACGATATTCACATGAGGGCAGTGTTTGGATGAATATTTGATCCCAGACGGATGGCAACGGTGTAGAACTCAGTCTTATCTCGGATCTACTTTGATCCGACTATATTGGTGGACACTAGAGATCCGCTTCCTTGTTGGCCGTGTACTTAAGCCCGGATACTCCGTAGTTTTATAGAAGGAAGTGGCATCATTCGGAAGTGCTCAGATCTCTGGCATCTATTATATGGGGCTATGGGTACCTATACTTATATTGGAGTATTGGGTATCTACCGTAATTTCAGTACTAACTTATACAGTATGGTTAGAATGGAGAACATAAGCCACATTGCTTTTCAGGTGCATTCGAATATCACCTAAATTATATATCACAATATAAGTTATATCTTACTCCTTTCTCCAGGTGGTGTTGCCAATGCTAACGCCAATGCCAATGCTTCGTAATGCCGAGCGTGGGTCACTCCGGGGGCGTCTGCCTGGATTCAATCTCTCCCTATCTCTTCTCTCCAATCTGGAAACTTGAATATAACCCCTAACGGCATCGGGAGGATGTCGGACGTCGCTCGTTTGCCATTTACTTCTAGATCATGATCGTCTTGATCTCCGCATTCGCGCTAAACACCTACCACTGCTCGCCGGAGCCCCGTACCATCCACCATGGGCGACGAGAAATATGATTATCAAGCCCAACCCATCCCCTCGTACGAAGAAGCCACCGGCCAACCCTCCTCCTCTCGATCCGACCTCGGCGAAGGAACAGATTTGGAACGACAGGGGCTTCTCGGTCGCGATCATGCCTCCACACGAGGCTATCACCCGCCGACGGTGGAATCGGCGCGCACCAGTCTCGATGACCTAGATTCCTCTGCCTCACACTCTGACCGGGGATCAACCGATGAGCTTCGACAGGAACTGGATCAGATGGACGTGGATGACTCCGCGTCTTCATCCTTGACTGGCCGTTCCCGTCTAGGCCATCGGTTCTCCAAGCAGCTATCGAGTCTGACCCGCACGCTATCCGCCATCCAACGACCCTTTCAGCGATATATGCCCAGTTTCCGCTTTACGATAAACCTGGGCGATGCACGCGCCCGTTTCAAGGACCAGGGCTGTATCATGATGCTACGGCTGTTCGCTCTTTTACTCGTAGTCGCCCTGGTCTATGTGTTCTTTATCGCGGATATCTTCAACATCAACAGTCGCATGGTCATGGGCACGTCGTACAGTTCGGCGTCAGTCGAGAACTTCATTCAGGGTCATATCAACGAGACGAACATTGCCGAGAACTTGCGCCGAGTCACCAACTACACTCATATTGCCGGGACAGAAGGCAGCTTCGTGCTATCACAATGGATTGAACAGGAGTTCCACAAAGCTGGATTCGATGTAGTCTCGCGGGAGGAGTTCCAGGTATACCTCAACTATCCACGCCAGGATGGCAGGAGGGTGGCGATTATTGATCCGCCCAATCTCGCTTGGGAGGCTAAACTCGAAGAGGACAACGCCAAAGACTTGGTCTTCCATGGGCATTCCAAGTCGGGCAATGTAACAGGGCCCCCTGGTGTATGCCAATTTTGGATCTCGAGATGATTTCAAGGCTCTTGCAGAGAAAGGAATCGAATTGAAAGGCTCAATCGCTCTTGTCCGTTATTACGGGACTGAAACCGATCGCGCTTTGAAAATCAAGGCCGCTGAGCTGGCCGGCGCGGCGGGCTGCATTATCTACTCCGATCCCTCTCAGGATGGATTCGTCAAGGGCCCGGCTTATCCCGAAGGCCGGTACATGCCCAGCGATGGCGTCCAGAGAGGCGGTGTCAGCATGATGTCGCAGGTTGTTGGAGATGTCCTCAGTCCTGGGTTTGCATCCACCCCGGGAGAAAAGCATCGTTTGTCTCCTGAGGAGAGCACTGGGTTACCTAAGATTCCCAGTCTCCCTCTCGCCTGGCGTGATGCCCAGCATCTTTTGCAGGGACTCAAGGGACACGGTTCCAAAGTACCAAAGGAATGGGTTGGAGGCGTGCCTGAAGTCAAAGAGTGGTGGACTGGAGATCAAAATTCTCCTGTCGTTCATCTGATGAACTTGCAGGATGAAGTCGAGCGACAACCTATCTACAATATCCATGGGAGAATCCTCGGTATGGATGAACGCGACAAGAAGATCATCGTTGGCAATCACCGCGACTCGTGGTGTATGGGTAGCGTCGACCCCGGAAGTGGCACTGCTGCTTTCCTAGAGGTTGTACGCGCCTTTGGTGAGCTGCTCACCTATGGGTGGCGCCCGCTTCGCACTATTGAGTTTGTCAGCTGGGATGGAGAGGAATATAACCTCATCGGCTCGACAGAGCATGTCGAGAATGAGATAGAGGAGCTGCGTGCCAATGCCTTCGCGTACTTGAATGTCGATGTCGGTGTCTCTGGCTCCAAATTCCGTGTCTCGGCGTCCCCCGTCTTCGAGCGCAGTGTGATGCAGATTCTTGGCCGTCTCTCGGATCCCTATGCGAATGCAACACTCAAAGATCTCTGGGAGCAAAGGGGCTCAAAGATTGAGCCACTTGGTGCTGGCAGTGACTATGTTGCATTCCAAGATATTGCAGGCACCTCAAGCATTGACTTTGGGTTCGAAGGTGAGGCTTATCCATACCATAGCTGCTACGAGTCATACGACTGGATGGTCCAAAATGCCGACCCCGACTTCCAATACCACAAAATCCTGGCTCAGTTCTGGGGGCTTCTTTTGCTTGACCTTTCAGAAAATCCCATGCTACCATTTGACGTGGAGGCTTACGGCAGCTCCGTGACTGGGTGGGTTAAGGACTTGGATGGATTCGCCAAATCAAAGAAGGCTGAGGTCAACATGGAGCCCATGTTCAAGGCCGCAGCTGAGCTCCAGGCCAACACTGCACGCTTCCAGTCCTGGAACAAGATCTGGCACGATACTGTGTGGGGTTTGGGTGGATATGAAAGCAATGTCATGGCCGTCCAGCGAGTGAACCACAACGCCCGAATGGCTAGTCTTGACACCAATCTGCTTGACCTGGACGAAGGTGGCGGTGTAAGTTGACTTCTCTCCTTAGTCTCACTCGTGACTATAGCTAATAAACCCAGGTCCCCAACCGCACACAATTTCGACACGTCATCTTCGGCCCAGAGCTGTGGTCCGGCTACGACGCGGCCCTCTTCCCTGCTATTGTGGATAGTATCAACACGGGAAATTGGACACTGACCCAATACTGGATCAACCGGGTCGCCAACACCATTCATACCGCCAGCGACAAGCTGCTTCACTAATGTATTTTACCTCAGCCCCTCTCGGCCTTCATTACTCTTTGCAATATCTCAGCCATGCCTGACGCCTCGGATTGCTTTCGTCATGTTCTATACAAGCACTGTACAGCCCGACCCCTTGTCGGGATGCCTCATACGCCTATACCAACCATGCATGTCAGCTCATACCGAATTTGGCGGATGTCACTTTTGTCGGTTCTATTGGTCGCTTTTCTTACATGTACCTATTTTCTCATCCTTGTCCCGAGGGATTGGCGTTCATATGGGAAGATATCACATTTCGTATTTAGCTTATTACGGTTTAGACCCAATTGCATTGTCTACTCTGTCCTTCAAGTGCACAGCATATCAGCCAATAGCCCTAATGTCTGCTGACACTACCTTCCCTCCTTCCAAAATCTCTTCCGGGGTATCATACATACATCCAAACAATTTACAGTCATACACTAGGCAACCCAGACTCAATTCCCCCCAAAAAAGGATGATCCGCCAAACACTGCCAAAAGCCCGCCTCAAAATCCCACAAATCAACCCCTAAACCCCCAGCCCACTCATCATCACCCCCTCCCCAACACCACCAACACCCTCACCACCCCCAACCCCAGAATCTGCCCCCGAATCCAAAAACCGCTGAATAGTCCGCGTAGCCTTCTCAAGCAACGCGAAATTTGGATCACCCGGCCGAACAATAGTCCCAATCTGCACCTCAGCAACAAAAACACTAAGATCCTGCACAGCGCGCGTGCGCGCAGATCTAGAAATACACTGCTTCAGCATGGCGAGTAACATAATCCCCGCAGCGGGGAGGCCGTAGTACGCCACTTTCCAGATTAAGCCTGTGCCGGAGTTTGTAAGTTGGTCGCGTAGCAGAATGATCTCAACGACGAGTGTGAGCATCTGCCCTGCTGTGGAGATTATTGATGCTGAGGGTTCTGTTGGTGATTTAAGGAGGAGGAGGCTGTGTAGGAAGAGGACGTGGAGGTGGTGGAGGCGGACGCTTGCTATGAAGTCTCGTTCGAAGGGGGATTGCGTGCATTGTTTTAGGCTGGTTTCTAGGCGGAAGTGGTGCGGAAGGGATTGCCATTGGGTTGCTGCTTGGGTTTGGATTATGCTGTGGTGGTTTTTAGTTTAGGCTCAGGTTTCTTCTGGGAGATGATAGATGAGGGGTGACGGTTTTCTTACCTCGCCCGCTGTGCGCATCCTGGGTCATGCTTGTCTTGAAGTAACTCCCATATCTCCTCTTTGAGTGAAGCACACAGTGCTGACCAGCGCGTGTCAGCTCCGTATCCGGCTTCTGCGTCGACTGACCACTCTAGTGAGTTTTGGGCGTTTCGGCATGATGGGATTTGGAAATGGCAGAAACGTTTGTTCATTCGTGGTGGGCGGCCGAGGAAGATTGCTATGTTCTTGTCTGCGGAGTAGATTCGTGCGAATGCGGTTTTGCGGAGTTCCTTGAGGAACTTTGGTATGCCTGGTTTTGCTTCTATGTTTTCGTGGTAGCCCAGGGCGAAAGTTGAGGATATTGCGTCGCCTAGTTTGCGCCAGGAGTGGTAGCCTTGACGTGTGTTAGTCGGTTGTACATGTTTAGGATCTGAGTGGGTTTGTGCTTGCTTTGGTCTCCATCGACGTAAGAGTGGACGATGAAGTTCTCGTATTGCATTATCAGTTGAAGGTCGTTTAGACAGTCCAGTGAGAGGGATATCTCCAATGCGAGGTCGCAGAGTTTCGTGCATAATCGTCTGAGGGTATACTGTTCTTGCTCGGTGGTATATAGAGAAGGAAAGAAAGCAATGTCGATGGTAGCCCGGGTGACAGCCGCGAAAAAAATGCCCAGGGTTTCCCAGCGAGAATTGTGATCTAACAACTGGGCTGAAAAACTAGCGAGGTCGGAAGTTTCATCGAATTGCAACGGCTGGGCTGAATTATGCAAGAGACGTCTTGCATAGACTAAATGCCAGTTCTCGTCATGATATGTGAACAGTTGGCTCACACTCTGGGTGCATTGCGCGACGAAAGGCTCTGCTAGTGCTAGATTGGCTCCTTTGGCTAGCCAGAACATGACGAGGTCTCTCATGGCGGGTAGGTTGTATGTCGTTAGAAGGTGTTTGAGAACATCTGCACCTTGTAGCACCAGATGGTTGTCGCCAAATAAGCTCGAGTTTAAGGCTTCTGGTATAGCCTGGTGAGCTCCAGTGTGGTCTCCGTCCGGAGTGATGTGCTTGAAGATGGCGGCATGGCTGGACGACCCAAGATACCCTGGGTTCGGATATGGATTGCGCCTTGGATTAAAGGATGGTGATTCATCTGAACCGAGGCTGTGGTATAGTTAGTCAATCGGAAGTCAATCAAGTCCAGTATAAAACTCACCTATGCTTCTCAGCCCTCTTCCGCTTAAAGGGCGTGGTTCTGTAAATACATATCCCCTTTGTGGTACTGCATCGCGTACAAACAGGCTGTTTATGATCGCAAGCCAATTTAGCCTTTCTACAGGCCTCACAGGCAGCCAGACGCGACGACATGAGGTTGGAGTACAAGTAAAGTCCGAGTAAAAGTTGGAGCGGCTAACGGCGGAGTAATCGGAGAGTCGGCGTATTGATAAGATGCGGGGAGAGAACATCTATAAATACGGAGTACTGCCGGACCCTTTCAACTTCACCACAACACTCTCATCATGGCTCAAGATACGATCAAGCTCGGAGATTACCTCTTCACTCGACTCCGCCAGCTGGGCGTCGAGTCAATGTTCGGCGTGCCTGGCGATTATAACCTCCGCCTGCTGGATTTCGTCACTCCGGCTGGCCTGCACTGGGTGGGTAACTGCAATGAGCTCAACGCTGCCTACGCGGCAGATGGATATGGCCGCATCAAGGGCCTGGCCGCTTTGGTCACTACCTACGGTGTCGGCGAGTTGTCCGCTTTGAATGGTATTGCTGGTGCTTATGCCGAGAACACGCCTGTCGTGCACATCGTCGGAACGCCCCCGCGCCCGCTTCAGGACGCGCGCACGTTTATGCACCATACCTTCTCCGATGGAGATTACCGTCGTTTTGCTGCTATGTCGATACATATCACTGCTGCCCAATCCCGCATCGTTGATTCCACAACGGCACCGGAGAAGATCGACTGGATCTTGCAGCAGGCATTGATCCACAACAAGCCTGTTTACCTTGAAGTCCCGGATGATATGCCTGATGTGCTGGTATCGGCTGCAAACTTGAAAACGAAGATCACTGTTCCAGCTCCTCCATGCTCGGCTCAGGAGCCTCAAGTACTAGCTCAAATCTTGGAGCGAATCTACCAAGCTGAGCGTCCCTTCATCTTGGTAGACGGAGAAAGCACAGGCCTCGGCATTGTCAACCAGCTCGATGCTCTGATCAAGGCAACTGGATGGCCAACCTGGACATCCGTCTACGGCAAGGGCCTAGCCGACGAGCAACTCCCCAATGTCTACGGCCTGTACGCAGGAGGGTTCGGCGACGATGCCGCAAAGGCATACTTTGAAGAAGCAGACCTAGTCCTGACATTCGGTCCACACTACAGCGACACCAACAGCTACTTCTACACAACAGTGCCGAAGCCTAAAGTGGCAATCACATTCTCAGGAAGCAACATCCAAATAAAAGACGAGACATTCCGCGACATGTCAGCACGTAACATCCTCTCGCGCATCCTCGAGAACCTCGATTCAACGAAACTAGTCAAATTAACCGGCCCCCCAAAGACCAAGCTCACAATCGACACCAACACCCCAGACACAGATGCACTAGTCCAAACCAACTTCTACCCACTAGTGAACCCGCTCTTCAAAGAAGGCGACATAATCCTCACAGAAACCGGCACAGCAGCTCACGGCGGGCGAAACTTCACTCTACCCAGCAAATCCCGCCTCTTCGGCGCTGTAACATGGCTCTCTATCGGCTTCATGCTCCCAGCAACACTAGGCACAGCCCTAGCCCAGCGCGAGCAAAACGCAAACACAATCAGAAAAGCACAGACAATTCTCTTCATCGGCGATGGAAGCCTCCAAATGACCGCGCAGGAAATCAGCGTCATGATCCGGGAGAAGCTCAACATTGTTATTTTCATTATTAATAACGATGGCTACACTATCGAGCGGGTTATCCACGGCCGCAAGCAGGCGTACAATGATGTTCCGTTCTGGAGACATGCGCATGCGCTTACTTATTTCGGGGCTGAGGAGGAGCATGCGGCTGCGAATACGTTCCAGGCACGTACTGTTGGTGAGTTGAAGGGGTTTTGGCTGATGAGCGGATTTCGAATGGGAGTGGGGTGCGCCTTGTGGAGGTATTTATGGACAGGGAGGATGTTCAGGGGGCTTTGCTCTATTTGTTAAATAAGCAGCTTGCTCAAGAGAAGGTTGATGAAGAGGAGAAGGAGAAGGGACAGAAGTAGGGATGGATTTTCTGCTTTTGTCTTGCTCTCTCTTTCTAGTTGGAACTACTTAGAAATCTAGATTGTATCTACGTCTTAATGCATTCATGGAAATATCATTTGTTAATGGTTAATTGTATCTTACTATGATTAGGGCATATCACTAGTCCCACAGAAGAAGAAAAACACCCAGGAAAAAGAAAGAAGAAAAAAACCAGGCTATTTGAACGCCTATTCCCTATGCTCCAGAGCCGCCATGCACACCAGATGAGGCGTGAAACTAGAATAAATGAAAAAAAAAAAAAAAAAAAAAAAGGTAGAACCAGATAGTGAAGGGAAAAAGACATCTGCCTGAACATGTCACGAGACTTCTATCAATGGTCCGTCGCTGTGTGGAGAGGCTGGTTCTCTCATGTTGCATTCGGTTTATTTGCGGAAGCTTTCAACGCCTAGTGTTGGGGTTTCCACCACGCGATCAGTGGGGACGCCTTCATCACGTCGGCGGGCGAAGAAGCTGTCACATTCCGAAACTATGTGTGCCCATTCTGCAAGGGCACGGCCTGCATATTTGCTAGGCACGAGGTGGTCGTGGGAAGGTTGAGAAGGGAGTTCGGGTAGAGGGGAGTTTTTAGTGGTTGGTGTTCTTGGCCATGTGTCAGAGGTGGGTTGTGTGGGTGTTTCATCGGGGTTTATGGGGTCCTCCGGGTCCTCTGGTGTCGTTGTCTCGCTTTCGATGTCCGATGGAGATCGGTTCTCGGATGCTGTGTCATAGTCTGACTTTGAAGGAGACCGCCGGTGCTCGACGTGCAATTGAGAGGCCACGGGGAGACAGGGGGTGAAGAGGCGTTTGTTCTTGGTAGGCCATTGAGGCCGATCCATCCATTCCAAGGAGAACTTGAAAAAGAATGGCTGATGCGGAGTCTTAGGGCGGACAAGCTCGTCCACGCTATTGGTTGGAGTCTGCTCATGATCATCCATACACTTGCTATCAGATACTATGGTCAGATCTGTGCCATTGGTCTCAGAGTCTTCAGAGCTCCTGCTACTTAGATCACCATCACCAGAACGTGTGTTGGAGGAACTGCCAAACATGGCCTTGAGAAGGCCCCATCGTTTTTGGCGGGTTGGCCATCTCCGTTCTGCGAGTCCGAAGATCCACTTCGTCGGTGTGACATGACCTGATTAGAAGGAACCGGTGGAACGACTCGGTCAAAGCTAACGAATAGATTGGCCGGAGAGAGTTGGTTGTCACATCGAATGATGATAATTCTTCGTCCTGGGGCCGGTGTGCAGGGGGCAGAAGATAGAGGAGCGGTCATTCCCTCTTCCGCCTTGGATTGAAACCCAATGTAATACTCCCAAACCCGCAAGAGTCGGTCTGAAAGAGTCTCATATATCATCGAATCAAGTGACGACGGATCTGTATTGAACCGTCCAACCCGCCAGCACAACAGACGGTGGAAATACGCTCGAACCATTGGACTCCAGTGGTTGAAATAGTGATAGAATATCGGTTCGTGTAACAAAAAGTCCAGACATAGAGATGCTTTCCTTTCTTCCGTCGCGGTCCATGTACCCCAGACACAGTAGAGGAACGAGAACACTCGGACCTCGGTGAGCGAGTTGTGGCTCTGCATCATTTGTCGACAGACTTCAAGCCAGAAGCTCCAATCAAACAAGTCCGTCTCGATTGACTGAGCATAGCGTGTGATTATTGGAATGATCTCCTCCAGGAAATCACACAGCAAGAAACACGCATTATGGTCAAAGAGGGACATTTTCTGCGCAGTAGCTTTAATGATACCGCAGAAGGATTCGGCAAAGAACAATCTGGCACGATTCGGTTCCGCGGATTGTTCTGACAGGAAATCCCGGAGTAGAATAATCAAACGATTCTCTGCCATCGACCGATGACTGTTGCTGCCACTCCGAAGATGGTGAGTGGAAGCCGAAGCATCTGGTGACTCGATGAAATCATCAAATGTGATCGCTGCAGCGGAATGTGGATCAGGTGCTTGCTGTGCCGACTGCTTGTAGATCGTGTCTTCTAGGACAAAAAGAAGCTGTGCATGAACCAGCAATAACCCAGGTGCCAGAATCCGCTTGCCTTTTTCGGTTTCCGGGGGCAAGTACTCGGCATACAAGATATGAATGTACTTAACAAATACAAAGAACAAATCCGTGTCACGCCCAGCCCAACGTGATACCCATGGGCGATTCCAGGTAATACCAGTGGTGTTCAATGGCGCTTCTGGCTTCTGTCGTAGATACCGCAACAGGGGTGCTTGTGAGTGGAAGGCGAGAGGACGAAGTGCAGGCGGGAAGCATAGGGCAAGTTCTTGGGTGTATGCAGGCGTGTTTTCTGTTCGAGATCCGGCCGATTCTACCAGAATCCGTCGAAACATACCAGGAGGAGTGCACCACAACCGAACCAAGATATCCGGGACTCCGGGGCAGAAGAAAAAGGCGTACGCGCAAGCCTTTCCGCAGAATGCCACCAAACTTGCTGGCGCATGTCTCATAGACATTCGTTCAACCACAAATGCCATCTGGGACAGCAAGTTTTGAATAAAGATATTACGAATGTTGTGGTGGATCGATTCAACCAGGAATTCCGATCCTGATGAGGCCGAAGCGTCAGACGTTTCCGACACTGAAGTTGACGCATACTTCAACGAATCTGTAGGCCCGCTGCTTTGCCGTGCCATGGGAAATGGGATGCGCCATTCCGGTCGAGTCATGATGCCCACCACAGCCTCAAGAAACACCGGTCTGTCTGTCCCTGAAATCGACTGATTATGCTTGCCATTGAGCATCTCCAGCATTCCAATCCACCATTTGTTGAGAATATTGACTCGCCGGTCCAAGTCCTCTGGCCGGAGGTTCTTGCAGGACGCGTGTAGATGATGACGACCGAGGAAAGGGAGGAGTGAAGACCGGATAACGTTCGCTTTCAAGGAGCTCGATTTGGATTGGAACCTGAGATATGGTCAGTAATAGCAGCAAAAAGTACGCTGGCTTACGTACTTCTGGTAGTCCGCCTCCAATCCACGAAAGACACCCCAGAGCTCATCCTTTTTCCGTGAGGAGTCCCCGCCGCTGTTCGCATACGCCGCAGCCGTTTCTGCGGCCCCCTTTGGCATCGGTGGTAAAACCGGTGTAGAAACTGAGAGTGACGTTGTGAACTTTTCGAACGATGACTTGTGTTGTAGAGAATTCCCCAAGGGGCTGCTAGGAGAGCCAGGGCTGTCTTCAGGGCCCTTGGCCACTACAGCCACCATGGGGCGACGCGGGCGTTTGTAGAGAATCGTTCGCCTGCGGGAGGGCTGTGACGGGTCATCGTCTGTTTTTCGGCCGGATCGAGTCGGAGATTGTTCTTGTTGCTTGGATCGTTTGGCCGATGGAGAAGGGGAACGAGAGGAAGAGCCCCAGGGTTTCCTCGCCAGGCTGACTATCCTCCCAGACATTGAACGGCTCTTCGAGGGCCGCACAGCAGGCTCTGGAGCCTTCGTTTCCGGCACATGCGGTTCTGAATCCTTCAAGTCCTCTGATGACGACAATGTGAAACGTGAGACGGTGGCTGGCTTGTCCTTGGAGCGCTGAGAGGTCCGCCGAAGGATGTCTTTCCCCGCAGCCACACTTTCCTTGGTTGGCGATTTGGACAACGCTGGCACAGCATAGTCGGAAAATGTGCGTCTCAGGCTGGGTTCTGTCGTTGTCTGGCTTGGAAGGTCGGTATAGCTGGCAGCACGAGAGAGCTCGGGGGTCTGGTCATCGGCGAAGCTGGGTGTCGGTGTCGGTGTCTCGGGAGAGGGCGAAGACATTGTCTTGGGGGAGAAATGGGTGATGGAGAGTTATAAGGTGGTCATTTCCCCTTGGATCGGCGGAAGCTCGGCGTAGAAGAGACCAGCTCCTCTGTGCACATGTATTCCGAAGTAGTCAGGTGTACATAGGGCAAACAAAATACAAAGACAGGGGGTGAGAAGAAGGCTGTCAAATATTAGGTAGATCTATGCGCTTAGAAGGGCGCCACTCCGATTGAGCAACGGATCGGCGGTTATGAGAATCTCCCCAAGGCAGGGTCCGAGTTGGGGAAGTGAGGGAGGGAAGAGGTCCAAGGGAGGAAGTTAAGAGATATAAGTCAAACCGGGCACCTCTTACCACATATAATTCTGTATTATTCATATCTCTTAGATTAACCCGTTCCATTTAGAGTGAGACAACTCGAGTTTTCTACTCCACTTTCCCCGTCAGCTCGAGTCCTCGGTGCAGTTGACTTTCAGCCCCAATTGCAAGGTATCTACAGGCGATAAGCCAATTGCATCTTCTCCGGAAGATAAAATGGCATAATCCACCGAGTGGTGTTGTACTCTTCTGCTCGTATCCCATTCTTCCTACGTGTACAGGAATGTTCTAGGAATGTTGCCTCTCATACATCATCCGCCACTATTACTTTATATCTGTCCCGCATTCTCGACATGTCATGTTTTGCGTGGCCTTGCCTTGAAATCGAATTGTCCACCAGATTCGAGGCATGTTGTTGGTGTATCGATCTATACGCCGTACTCCCGATGTCTCTGCTCAGGGTCTGAACCGTAAGACGCTTAAATAGAGCCTGATACGTGGCGCGGATATGCCATACTTTATTTTTTGGCCCTTCAGATGTATCAACTCGATTCCAGGTACAAGTGCCATGCCGACACTCCATGGATCACATTGCACAAGCCCTTGGCCAATGTGTTCATGACGCCCCCTGCTTGGGAAAGAACCGAACAAGTTTAATGGTTTAATAGCGTCTGCGGAGACTATTCTAGTGCAATAGTTTTGTAATAGTCTTGTTTTTTTGCTCTTGGACATCTCTTGATGTCCAGCCTTCCCGGTCGATCCCCGCAGGGATATCGCTGGATATCAACTTGGGGACGGGACACACTTGCCTCTGAGAGGTGTTCCACAGGAATGTGGAGAGCTGACACGTCAGATCAAGCGCAACGCTCTTTAATTCTTGTGAACATCTGTTCATGAAGTGTTGATCTATCCGTTGCAGCGGTGGATTTGAATTAGTGCCAATAGTAACTTTTATATCGACGCCCACATATGTGTTTGCAACGACTAGCTCGATACATAAGGTTTCTTCTCTCTGAGATTTATTGTAGATCAGTCGTCTCTTGTTCCAAGCCAAGATTCAAGTTGGGTTGTTACTGACTCGTACATGTAGTTACCGGCTGAATCGGCGACGACGGCTCCCAACCTCTTAACAAGTTAGGTCATGGTAGAGGCTTCCTGGCTTGGCTCTATTCTCTATCTCTACGAGCAATAGTGTTTACCCCACGTGGTGATCAGAAAAGTCAACAGTCCATTGCTTATATTGTCCAACTATATCAATGCTACCGACTCTACTGTTTGCACCATATATCAGATATGACAAGACCGTCAAGATGACCCTAACGTGAAGATCTGATAATCACCCAAAGCAGTCTTCAGGACCACCCAATCTCTCAGTTTAGGGCCATGCTCCTCGGAAGTACGAATGTGATATGGGCGAGAAAAAGGAAAAAGAAATCTCAACGTTTCCAATGTGGTCTAATTTACAAGCTTCAGGACCCGAGAGGCGGCCACATTAGTTGCAGCACGGGCATTGCAAGCCGTCCCCCCATATCTCCCCAGACCTTGCTAAAGAAAAAAAAGGGCGCTTAGTGGGCGGCGGGAGCCTCCTCTTCCTCCTCGAACCAGCTCTCCTCGACGGGGGCGGCCTCGCCGGCGGCGGCCTGGCCCTCGACTTCGACCTGCTGGGATTCGTAGGCGGAGAGTTCGCTGGCGAGGTTGGCCTCCTCGGGAGACTTGGGGGCCTGAGGAGCGCTGAACTTGTGGACGTGCTCATCAGCGTCGTTGGCCTTGAGGGGAATGGGCTTGTAGGCCTTGAGCTCGCGGAGGTAGAGGTCCTGGACGGGGTCGGCTAAAGATGAATGCGGGTCAGCGATTGCACGATCCAAGGGCAATGGAGGGATATGTGCACAAGGGCAACGACTATCCCGATCGAGAAAACATACCCTGACGGATGGCGGAGGTCAGGAAGGTGCGGCGAGCGACCGAGACCTGTTGCCGAGAGGCACGGGAGAAGAGGGTGCGCTGTGTTCGCGTTAGCTGCTGGTTAACATGGCGGAAATCATTCAATCAGGACTCACCGAGGCCCGGAGAGACTGAGACATCATCTTGACTGAGGAGGTGTAGATGAGGGATGAGGGGTGGTTCTCAAGGATAGATCTGATCCGTCTTTCCGTGAAGTTGGAGGTTCAAACGACTTCTGTTCGGAAAGGTGGCTTGGCGCTGACTCAGCCGGGTCATGTGCATCCGAATCTCTTCACATTTCCAGTCGATAACAGCGCAGACATCTGTGTTGTTATTATTAGGTGGATAGATGACTGAATAGACTAGTAACAATAGACGTGAACAAAGAACAATCGAGAACAAACATGGTTGACTCATTCGCCAACTTGGGATAATTCAGTACCACGTGACTAGCTTACCAAGCCCGATTCGGACTTCTTATTCATTCTGCTACTCTCTTCACCTCACTCTCATTGTCACTCCCATCTCCCCCGGTCCTTGACTTCGTGTTCTCATCCTCAGCCTGTCCCCATTTCGTGAGAGACCTTCTTACGGAGACCTTGACTGGTTCAACGCGGCTGGACAAGCTGAGGCGAGGTTTCTGTTCCACTTTCGACTCGAAAGCGCAGACTGGTGAAGGCTCTGTTCTGACTGGGGGGTGATTCTTCGAAACCCCGAGGGGTCTAGCCGGTAAAAGGTAACAATGGCCTCTTCGTTCCGGTTGTGCATGGCTTTGTTGGAGGCTTTAGCCATTCAACTCTGCTATGGTTCCTTGACACAAAGCACTCGCTCTGAGATCTTGGACTAACATCACTGTGCGAACAGTGGCTTTGAGGAAATCGCTTTCTCATCTTTGTTCCTCTCTTGAGAGGTCCTTTACAGGTGGCCCTCTTTCTTTAACGCTCTGCAGCCGCCAAGCTGTATTCGCCGCTCTTTCTTCGCTATTATAACCACAAATACAACCTTCGCAGAACCCCAAAGATCATCGCGAAAAGACGCACCGATAGATTCGAAAGTTCTCTGAAATCGCAAAAGATGGCTACTCCTGCCGTGAAAGCTGAGGCCACGGCTCCGTGGAAGAAGAACCTCTCCGCCCACCTCCTCTGCCCCGAATGCAAGGAGGTCCCTCCCAACCTGGAATTCCCCGACTCCCACGAAACCGTTTGCGGCTCTTGCGGTCTCGTTCTCGCGGACCGCGAGATCGATGTGCACTCCGAATGGCGTACATTCTCGAACGACGATCAGAACAACGATGATCCCTCCCGTGTCGGAGACGCTTCGAACCCTCTGCTCAACGGCGCCCAGCTGGAGACTACCATCGCCAGTGGTGGCACGGGCCACCGTGCCCGCGATCTGTACCGCGCGCAGAACAAGCAGTCGAACGAGAAGGCGAACAAGCAGCTCATGGCCGCTTACAAGGAAATTGGTGCTCTATGTGACGGCTTCAACATCCAGAAGACCGTGGCTGATACAGCCAAGTATCTCTTCAAGGTGGTCGATGATGCCAAGGCATTCAAGGGAAAGTCGCAGGATGTCATCATTGCCGGGTGCATCTTCATCGCATGCCGTCAGTGTAAGGTCCCACGTACTTTCACCGAAATCTTCGCCGTAACCAAGGTTACCCGCAAGGAAATTGGCCGCATCTACAAGGCTCTGGAGAAGTTCTTCACTTCTCAGAACATCGAGCGCTACAACGCTACCGTCCAGAGCGGTGGTGTCGCGGATCCCAACGAGGGCTATACAGCCACCACCTCGACTAAGCCCAGCGACCTCTGCAACCGTTTCTGCAACCTTCTCGATCTCCCATACCAGGTTACCAGCGTTTCCATTTCACTCTCGGACCGTGTCACTGCCTCGGGCTCCTTGGCTGGACGTTCTCCCCTGTCTATTGTCGCGGCCTGTATCTACATGGCTTCGTATCTGATGGGTCATGGCAAGAGTGCCAAGGAGATCTCCCAGGTTGCTCACGTCAGCGACGGAACCATCCGTGGTGCCTACAAGCAGCTCTATGCTGAGCGTGAGAATCTCGTCGATAAGGATTGGATCAAGGATGGAAAGGGTGATTTGGGCAAGCTGCCTGTCAGCTGAGGAACTTAGTGACTTCACAGTGCACTGTGCCATTTTCATTTTTCATTTTATCTGATTCTTGCTGGAGATTGGTTTTGAACCAGTAAGGGACAGTCTTAAACTGTACACAGAAATCTAGATCTACTCTTAGCAATTGATTTTCTATGAACTCAATCATCTGTAGACGTGGTAATACATACCTTGTCTCTTACGACACGAGGTTCCGAGAAGTATCAATAAACTTTGCAACGGCATAATATATTCTTCTACCCCTGGGGCTACTACTTACCCCTTATGAAGCCATGTTCATACTCCGAGGCCTACTTCAATATATGTCTTGATTATTTCCTCATAATCAATTTGTGTAATTCATACTGGCTATACCTACTCAATACATAAAACATGATAGAAATACAAGACCCAGGTCCAAATGCATGCCTCAATCTTTAAGACAACGCTATCACCTAGCATTTGGCATCTAACATACCCCAACAAACCCGTCTCCAGGTTAATTCTCAAATTTACTCTCCGGAGACCCCTTATCACTCATATGATTATAAGGCTTATCATAACGGTCCTCCATCTCCTCATTATGACGCTTAACATCCTCAGGCAAATCATCCTTCAAATGTCCCTCGTCGTCGGCAATCGGTGACTGGTTCCCATCGCGCAGGGTTGGGCGTGCTTTGTTTGAAGGGATTGGATGGTTTGGAGAGGGCGAGGCTTGGTCCTGGCTTGAGGGGGTGTCTTGTCTTGTTTTTGGGCGTAGCTTCGGTTTTGGATTTGAGTTTGAATTTGGGTTGTCGGTCTGGCAACGGAAGAAGAAATGATCTGGTTTAGGCGGAGGAGTGAGGTTCCGGGTTGGAGGTTGCCTCGAAGGCGCATGAATGTGGCCATTTTGGTTGGTTTGGATGGATGATGATATGATATGGCTGGAGGTTGGTAGTTAGTGGTGGTTGTAGGTGGATAGTGTAGGAAGGAGAATGCTGGAAGTGAAATAGTCACCCTATATGTGGAGAACCCCAGGATGCCCCGAGTTGCTTTACAGGTTTCCATAGGATTATCATCAGGGCTGGTATGACGTGTGGCGATGTCATACCGGACATGCCAAGAGTTTTGATACCTCAACCTTATATCTTATTTTTGTGTTAGCATTTACTTATGCACTGTAGTTGAATAGAATAAAAGTAATAATGTCCAATGGAAATTGGTATCTTTGAATACAAAGCCTCCTGAAGCCGGGCGAACAGCCCAAAACCCCTCCCAATCCATAAGCATAAACATTAACATATACACCAGGCCCATTTTCACAGGATGCACCTTTCTATACCCACAAGGAATCTTCGCACGCTGAATAGCTGAGGATGATTAGAAAAGAGACAAACAGAAAACAAAAGAGAGTAATAAAAGCCCAGTGCTTCAAGCGAGCTGGGTAGTCGTCAAATCAATTCACTGACGTGTGGAAGACACATTCCGACTTCCCACATTGACATCCTGGGTGTTGTGGATACTGGATAAGTCTGTGGTAGCTGGAGTCATTTCAGAGAATTGCTCGGAAGACTCGCCCTCGTCATTACCACAAGCTCCTTCTGTGCTAGACACATCACTGATTTGGCGCCGATGATGCTGCGACCAGATTCCACGGGAGTTGTCGCTTGAACCTTGTCTTCTGGTAGAAGCATCGAGTGCACGAGATGAGGGGGAGGCACTTTTTGATGCGATCTCTCGTCTTTCCGTTTTTGGACTGGGGAGTTTTGCTCTGAACGGAGGTCCGACGCAGGTGGTTTTGGAGGAGCACCAGAATCATGGGTTGTGATTACTGGATTCTGTGATTGCGATTGCGATTGCGATTGCGATTGGGATTGAGCTTGCAGACTCTCTGGCGGAGTCCAGTGGTGGAAGGCGAGAGGTGGCGGCTGACGGTAGTCCCAGGCCCAATTAGGAAGAGGTGGGAAATGAGGAGGTGCAGTAGTCGTGTGTCGCGCACCAGAGGTCCGGGATTTGCCTTGGAGCTCCATGGATCGAGGCGGATGAGAGACAGGGCCCATGATAGGGAACGATTGTCTGAAACCTGGACAATTGTGTGAGCAATATACATGTGGTCTTGGAATTATGACTCTTGGAATTTTCAACGCTGGCAACCTTTTTCACAACCGCTCGAGCCGCGGCAAATTGGGCTGCGATTGCTGGGTATACGCTTATTGAAAACAATGGATGTTAACTCACTAGGTGATTGCTGTACAGGCTGTGCTGGCGTTTGCGCTGGCTGCTGAGCCTGAGACGGCGGCGGATTCATGGAAGACACAGGTCCATGATAGGTCTGCTGTTGAGCCTGAGCAGACAAAGAAGGTAAAGGAGGCGGTTGAGATTGAGCTAAGGCTTGAGGCTGAGCTTGAGATTGAGATTGAGCTTGAGATTGGGGTTGAGCAGTTCTAGTAGCCGTCGACCACTGTTGAAACTCCATATTGGAACTCAGCTGCGGCACCGTAGGAGCATACTGAGCTGCAGCAGAAGTATGCTGAAAAGCCGCAAAAATCCATGGAAGAAAATGCGGCGGCATACCAGCCCTCAAACAATCAGCCAGCATAGACTGCTCAATACGACGCTGTTCCAGAATCAAACTCTCCTGTTGCGTCCTCTCCTCAGCCTGCTTGCGACGATCTTCCTCAGTTTTGGCTCTCAGCCACTCGGTCATCTGTTCGCCCTGCCATCCAGCTGGTGGGGGAGGAAGGGGATTCGGCAAGCTTGGTGGTCGTGGTAAGCGGTGCAAGCCCGAGGGCGGGACCAGGTCATTCTGAGTAGATCCCATTAAAATACTTGGGAAACGGTATGGCGCATCCAGCGACGACTCGGGCTTTATTGGGGAACGCCGGGGTCGTTTCGGTCTTCTGCGAGGATCATGAAGGTCGTTCCCGGTCTGGGATCTGGGAGTAAGCTTCATGTTGGATTTGGCAGCCGCGAAGGGCTGAACGGAATATTACATATGGGTTAGGAGAGAAGAAGGGGAGATGTGAAGATGTGAAGGTGAAGATTTGAAAGCAGAAGCTACCCGATTAGGAAACGACGTACTCTTTGGGGCTTTGCCCCATATACGGGGTACGTAATGCGCAATGCGTGTTATAATTGTTGAAACGAGGATTGAAACAGGAGACACTTGACCTCCATTTTAAGATCCTGAAACATCGCGGGTCGGACCGTGGAAAAGAAGCCAATTGCTTGAAGAAGAGAAAGAGGCCAGATCGCGGAGTATGGGGCCTACATTAGGGCTAGACAGATCGTCTATAGAGAGGGGCAAGTATAAACAATGAGTAATTTATACCGACTACGGGCATATTATTTTGCACTTAGCGGCTTATAATCGCAGCCCAACCCTCGGATCATACTACAATTCCAAAATGTGCGAATAAGCAAGATCTCAACAGTGGGCCGGCGCCAATGGCACTCGGCATATCCAAGCGGGATGCGCAAGCGCTGATCCACTCGATCCTTTTCGGCAAGCTATTTTAGGCTGCAATTGCGAGGCAAAATAGCTGGGATTGGGATATGTTCAATTCATACACTTACAGGTCAGCCAAAATGGAAGAAAGCGGTGCCAAGTGCGAGAGATGCATAGAAAATACACAAATAAGTACCGTCGGCTCGACTTACTCCAGAATCAGCATCTAGCTATACTTCATTAGGAAAATATGAACACGACAACGCATCTCCACGACCCAATGGGGAGCACCGATATCCCTTTTCAGAGCCGCACGCTCGCTTCGTATATTTACTGGGGACATGTCTCGTATTTCGACTACGATCTAGTCTGCGTCATAGCTTGGCAGTGGGATATGATGTATTGTCTTTACTTTACAGTTCATGTTCATGTACGGAGTGTACACCCTGGAAGATCTTGCACAGATCGGATTCTTGGTCTTGGATACATAACATGAATGCAGATCTAAGTTCTCAATTCCTTGAATCTGAAACGAGATCTCCCCCGAATCAGATGAACATGCCCTTCCACAGAATCCCTTCACCTCCACCCGACATGTATTCCATCTGCAGGGTGTCTGCGGTGGAATCCACTGGCATACCTGGTAAGCTGACGTGCTACCCACTAAGCCAGTAGCGGAGGTCAAAAAAAAAGCCATGCTCAAACCCTGTCCCAACACGTTAAGCCAAGACAACCCAACAGCCAACAGCTCGCGGAGCGGCTTCGCCGACAGGAGCGAAGCGAGAGACATACATACTGATGCCGTCTACTGTGCATTGACTAAAGTTATACTAGACGATACTTATTGACACCAATGCAGATACAGATGCAGATGATATCCATTTAAATTATATACCCAGCGCAACAGATGCCAACGTGCAAGCCCCGAATCGCACATTTCCCGCAAGCGAAAAAGCGACAGCGAAAGCCAAAAAAAAAAGCGCAGGGTATCGGCAATCGAGTGGACTAGTTCATGCATCGCCACGATCAAATCGGCTGAGAACCTCTGGTGGAACGGTGGGGATGTACTTGCGTGCTCGTTCGCGATTCGTACCGCCGAAGCCGGCGCCGTAGCTGATTAGCATGTCTGTGCTGGTTGGGAGGGAGAAGGGGAGGAAGAGGGTCGGGTCAAGGATGACGGCGTTGCCGCCACCCGGGCGTTCGTCATTCCTGATGGCGACCATGCTTGCTGGTCTGGAGGAGGCACCTGCTGAGCCCGGGGAAAGACCCGGGTCTGGGGATGTGGGTGCGTCGGAGGGTTGGTCCTTTGGTGGTGTTTTTGGACGACCGTCTGCTGCGTCGGACGCAGGCCCGGCTGCGGCTCTTTTCTTCTCGTCTTGTATTTTTTGTTGCTCGCGGAAGATAACTCCTGGGTCGCGCTGCATATCAAGGAGAAACTTCATTGCTTGCTTGGTGAGACCCTTCTCGCCGACTTCTGGGCGGTAGGACTTGACAGCGTGAAGAAGCTGGGCAGGGGTGAGTTGCTGGAGTTGGAGAAGGGTTGTCACGAGCGATTCGTGGTCGTCGCCGAGCGAGGAAAAGCATTGCAGCCACTGGAGGAGTTGGATAACCGGCGCCAGATGTCGACGGGCGGCTTCGATTGTGGTCTCTCCGGTGCAAGATGTAGACCCGTTTTCATAGTGCTCTGGTTGTCGGTTATTGGAGCGCGCCCAGTCTTCTAAAGTTGACACGTTCATGCGGATCTGCATTGCCTTTGTGCGCGCCAGGTAACGTTTCGTGCTCATGATCCGGTTGAAGATCTCGGCACTGAGCCAGTAAAGAAGTTGGGAGAGGATCTGTGTTGCGATCACGGAGTGGACGTCGTATAGATCAAGTACAAAAAGGGTCGATGAGAGTAAGGAGGTGATGTTTCGGGGCGAAACCTGCGCTCGTCGGCGCGGAGATGGAGGCCGGAATCGCTTCTCGGCAGGTTCAGGGGTTTTATTTTTGTTTTTGCGGAAGAGTTTCCATTCGTTTTGGAAGGCAACATCTTCCAGTCCAGGGATGGTCTCATGGTCCAGCATAGCCGCATCCAGGACTTTGTTCATTCGACGCTCGGCGTCACGAATGATGAGAACGAAAATCTCATTGATCAACTCTGCCAAATGGAGCTGGAACTCGACCGTAGATTCTACCAGACCGCCATCCTTCTTGAGGTAATGAAGAAGTAGCGTGGCATTTGACAACCAGAATGCTTGCATGGTCATGTCCCATTGGTAGCGTTCGACGACGTCATTGATCTTGTCCATCGCCGACGTCAACAGCGTTGCGAGTAGCTCCGGGCTGGCATGATAATGCGCATAACGTGCACTGAGGAAGAGGAGATTTGCAGGCACTGGTTTTTGAGATGGAGACCGCTGGGGAGTCATGTTGGTGATGATGATATCCAAGATGCGCTCCAGTTCATGATCCTGGAAGACAAACATCTGGTCATTCAGACACCGATCCCAGACGAATTCCTGTTGCTCTTCTTCTAGCTCATCCTCATCAGATGGCTGTGCGAACTCGAGTTAGCCCACGCCCATGCCAGGTAAGTACACGGGTACTGTCCAACTCACCTCGAATTTCTCGTCAAGCCCCAGACTGGACAAATCAACTTCCAAATTGATAGCGCTCTCTTCCATCATCATTCTCCGCTTCATCTCAGTCTCAGCCAATTCTTCTTCAAACCGGCCATGTGCCAGCCCAGCATCATAGAAATCGTCCTCAATAGCCCCAGCACCAAAATTATACCCATTTTCATGCAGATATTCAGAGATTTCACTCCCAGGCTGGGCAAAATCAAGCGCAGTACCTCCAGACGAAGACTTAATATCCGGCGAAGCCCCGTGATCAAGAAGAATCTTCGCAATAGTCTTATGGCGGTTCGTCATAGCCCACATCAGCGCACTCCACTGATTGCGATCCTGCTTGTCAACGAAAGCCCCGGCATCAATAAGCGCGGCAACGACCTCTTGATGACCCTAAAAGAAGACCCGTCAGCCACACGTTCACTTCCAAACCAAACCAAATGCAAAAGAAAAGTAAAGAAAAGAAGGAAAGGACCCACAAAACAACTAGCATAAATCAACGGAACAGTCCCCTCCTCATCAGGCATATTAACATCAACAAAAGGCCTAGCATTCCCACGCACGAGTTTCCGCACGCGCTCCACATCCCCATTGCTAGCCGCCATATTCAAGCTCTTCTGCAGTATATCGCGCTTCTCATCATCGGTCAGCTTCTCATCAACGGCAATGGTCTCCTCGTCCGCACTGAGAGAATCCACTTCGCGATGCGCGGCTTGGGCGGCGAGCATTTCCATCAGTCGGGCGTCGCTGTCTTCCAAATCGCGCCCGTAGTGGGCTCGGAGCTCGTGTTCTGTGTCATGTGTGTGGTCGTCTAGTGTTAGGCTGAATGGGAGGGGTTTTGCGGCGACTGGTGTTGTTAGGAATTGGGATTGGCCTGGTATTTTGGGGAGTTTGTTAGTTTGGAGTTTTAGGAATGTTTGGGTGGTTGCTGGGTATGGCAATGGATATGGATATGGATACGGGTGTATCCATCCAGCTAGTCCGGGGACGAAAGCTGCGCGTTCGTTCTCTTCTTGTTGCTCACCTTGCCAGGCATCGTACATCTCAGTCTCCGCATGGAAAACAGGAACAGAGCGACGATCATCCAGAGATTTCGGTAGGTCGTCAGGGAGCTCCTGTTTCGGTTCTTGGAAGGCGATGTCATTATTGGAGCGGACGGAGTCCTCTGAACCCCCGCGCCGCGGTTCGGTCGTGTCCATCGTGGCGGGCTGGCTGTCCGGCCTTGAGGGGGGACATCAAAGGGGTCGGAGTGGGTGGGATGGAACGGGCCCTTGGGGATTGTGGTCAATAAGGGTGTTCGCACCCGTGGATATTGGTTGTTGGAGAGAGATGTGGTGGGTTGAGGTAGGTGGTCGGGAGCCGAAAATGGTGTTCCGTTCCTGGATGATCGATATGACGCACTTTGGACTTTTTGGGAACTTTGGGTGAAACGGGGTTAAATTGTTTGTTTTGGGGCTAGAATCGTTTTGGTTTAGCTACTATTGTATAGAAGTTTATTTAAGAATAATTTGAATGCTGGTTTCATTTGTACTATGGAGTGGTATGACAGTATGTTGGTACCTGTGTGTATTATAAGTTGATCTGCAATGCTAATTCGAAAAAAAGAAAAACGCTATCAACGAAAGACAAAATCAGCAAATGCCACGCTCGGATGCAAAAACGCTCTGAAATCCAGGCACGACATAGAAGGCACGTTCAGGCCAAATAGAGTAGAGTACATAGGGAACATCGATCCGACGACGTCGATGATTAAGATAAAGAGAGCAAACCTTAGCAGGCATGCATGGACAGATAACTGCCATATAAAGACCGAACAACATCATCGAAAGAAATATAAGGAAATCCAAAGAGAACGAAACCAGATGCAAATGCTGGGAACAAACATGAGCAGAGGAACAAAGCAACCTCTGAAATAGGGGGTATAAACTATCCAATCACAAGCACAGAGATTGTAATACATAATGGACTGGGCCAAGATCCCAGATCCAACAAATCAAATCAAAAAAAGGATGGTGGTTATTCAAGTGCCTTGCTGCGAGCTTGGATCTCCTCCTCGGGGAGAGATCCAATCCACAAGCATCGCTCGATGATACCCTGCACGGGCTGGAAACGGTATTTCGTGCTGGCGTCAATGAGACGAAGCAAGCTTTTAACGATGCGAGCTGCAGTGCGATACCGCTCGAAGTTGACCAGTAGACCACCGTCACTACTGCTGATCTGGGCGGGTTTCTGAGCGTTATAGGTAAGGTCGTGTACATATAGACCGATAAAAGGAATGCATCCTTCCTGCAAATTGGCCGTCTCCATCTCGACGCGCAAATCATTAAAGTTGCGCACCGGCTGGATGAGACACTCCATATCTTTGAACAACCGCTTATCCTCCAAGGGGATAAGCTGCCACGTCTTCTGCAGGCGCGTGCAGTCAGATGAGGACAGGGCGATGGCGATCTGGAGCATGGTGGCGTAATTGCAGATGCGACGTGCATGCGCGGCGGTATGGATGTATTTGACGATTGTGCGGGCTCGCTCGTTGACGTCGCGGGTCAGCACGATCTCGGATAGGATCCATTTCACCATAAGGTTGAAACGGCCGACGACTAGGTCGATGCCTTTGCGTTCTTCGGTCGTCAGGAACTGGACCCAGTTTAGGATTAGGGGGAGCCATTGCTCCATTTCATCTCGACTAGGTCCCGCCAGTCGATCTCGCTTAGCGCGGCCATTTCTATTACGGTTAATTGGTGGGCGAGGACTTGGGATTCGCAGGCGAGAACAAAGGGGACGTGGTCGGGCGGCGCGAGGATGGTGATGGGGTTCTGGGCGGGATGGTGGTTTTCTGAATTGAACAAGACATTGCTTGAAATCTGCTGTATATTGATCGGGCGTTGAGCAATGCCTGTCATATCTTTGTGCCTGGGGGATGTCTCAGGCGTAAGAGGATGAGTTTGGAACAGAACTTTATCCATTGGCGAGGCGCAGGACGTGAACGAGCCCGGATGTTGAATAGTCATAGGCGGGGAGGGAGGGTGCGCCAGGGGGTGAGGTGGAATCTCGACAGTTGATGAACTCAGACTGCGAGTATCGGTGGACTGTCGTGCACCCATAGCTTCATTCGGATCAATGATATCGACTGACATTTCAGAGGAAAGAGCCGACAAGCGCTTTGGAGTAACCTGACCGTCACCAAGTAATCCTGACGTGGGAACGGTTGAGCCGCGGGGAATCCGCCGCATGCTCTCGGTTTCGTGCACGATCTGAATCGAGGGGTGCGAGGAAGCATTATCGGACATATCCCGGCTGGAAATGAGATTGAGCGGAGCATCATACTGATCGTAGTGCGCCGGTTGGCTTGTAGGCGGTCGTTTCATGGACTCATCAGTCAACCCTCTTTCAAGAAGCGGGATGGAATTATAGGATTCTTCAGACTCGGTCACGGAGTCAGAGTATGGCCTCGGTGGCGCCAGATGACCGCCAACCGTAGAATACGCAGACTTGTCCGTCTGCCTCCTCCGAGTGAGAACATCCCAACCAAGTTGAGCCTTCGCCGTGTCAACGCCATGCGGGGCCAGGGCCTGTTCTCGGTGAGAGTGATGCGCACCAGCATCTCGAGAAGCCTCAGCTTGCGCAAACGTGGAGTTCCGATTCGCACTACCAGGCCCATTCCACTTGCCCTCCAGTTTCAACAGCGTAGATTCAACACCACCATCATCGTCATCAGGAATCTGCGCAAACTTGGCAATAACTGACTCAAAAGAACGTCTGAACTTCCGAGAAGAACGAGGCTGGATGAGCGAGAACCGAGGGTTGGGAGGGATCAAGGTGGAAGGAGGCCTAGAAACATCACTCTCAGAAGGGGCAGTGTCCGCTATGGAGGCATCCCAAGATCCAAACGAGTCATGGGCTGGGTGGTCCTCGAGATCATCCCCAGTCTGCATTTGACGCAGGTTTCCACCTCGCCGCCTGCGAAGAGCTGGCCCCAAGTGCTTTCCATTCTGATCCTGCGTTGCTTCTGATCCAGTAGTCGATTCTGCTGCCTCACTGCTCTGTGAGTAGCGTTGTCTTGATACGCCGCTCTGGAACGATGCGTACTTTCGAAGCCGTAAAGCAAGAGAATTCTTCTTTATCGACGGCGTAGAGCCGCGTGTAGTGGAAAATGATCTCCGTGGCGTGAGAGGACGCGCAGGAGGGAGATCGCTCGAAATAGCTGCTCCCGGTTCGTCGGCGTTGTAACAAATCGGACGCAGATATTCCCCTTCCACCGGTATGGATTGAGTTGAAGGCTCGTATTCTGTCGGCGCCGTAGGCTCTGAAGCGAGATCATCGGGATTGAGCGTCGGTTCCGGTGCTGCTCCTGTCATGAACGGTAGTTCAAACCCGGTATCATCCACAATGACAATCGACCCACTACCCATGGTAATTCCACTTTTAAGCTTCGACTCAGCCCTGGGGGTTTGCATAGGCGAAAGATTAGCAGCGTTGGACGCAGGCTCCTGCAGCGTCATTTGGAAGTCGGACGCAGGGGGCACCTGTGCATCTTTCGGTTCATCCTTGTTCATAGCTTGGCGATATTGTTTCAAGACTTGATCACAGAGTATGTCGATCCGAGCAGGGCGCTTTGGAACAGCAGCCAGCTTCCTTTCGCGGTAGTACTCCGAACCAAAAGCCATACCGGTTGGCATTGCAGATGTCTTCCCCCGGGACGGCAAAGAAATAGCCTCGGACGCATTCGCAATGCGAGCAGAGACGCTCTGGCCACCATTTCTGGTATGCAACGCTCGCTTGATCGAACCAATGATGGTCCTCACGCCGGAGTTAGCAGTCGGCTTGGGTACATCTGGCGTGCTTCGACGATCCGGGTTCGTATTCTTTGATGGCGGAGGGAGAGGAGGCGAGTCTGGCGCCATCATTGCCATGTATGATTCCGCGGGGGGATACAGCTCTCCGCGAATTAAACTGACGGGATCCAGCATCTCCTGCGGCGCAGCTCCTGTGTCTGGCTCCGTGGCAAACATTGGCAATCGATCATCTCGAACCGAGTCAGAGAAGCTTCCGCTTCTTTTATGGCTATGTGTGTGATATGGGTGTCGTGTTACCATGGGCGAGATTGGGGACATGGGCGGTTCGTGAGACGGGGTTTGGGTTTTGATTTTGGTGAGGCCACCCAATATAACAGGGCGTGGCGCCTTGCCTTTCGAGGCAAACATAGACTGGCGTCGCGGTGATTTGGGGGGAATGAGCATGACAGTGCCATAACGCTTTGTTCACTTTTCGTGGAGAAGGGAATGCTTTGTGCGGTTGCGGCAGAATCGTTTCGATCATGCGCCGCGGCGTGGGGAGAGCTATCGTGGAAGGTAGTATCGGCATGGGGAGTCATGCCAGGAAGGGGAACATTTTGGTGCAACTCATCGGCATTGGGTAAGTTGATCTGAGCGCTTCCAGGTACAATAGGAACGTCGGAGTCATTGTAGGCACGAGCTAAGTCAGGAGAAGACCAATAGACCGAGCACTTGCCATTCCAGCATCGCTTGAGATCAATGAGAATCTTCCGATCACTCGTGCCGCCATGTTCGCGAGCCTTGACGTTTTGGTACAGTGCGTTGATGGTATCACAAAAGTGGGTCCGGAGATCATAGTTCGTGACGAAGTCATCAACAAAATAATTCAGAATCCAATGACGCAAAGCCGCAAAAGTTCGAATCCGAATAATGCGACCATCGTCTTGTAGCCGATTAATCGCCCATTCTAACCTCGCGAGAAGAAGAGCCAAAAGGTGGGAGGCGGAGAGGTATGAACGGAAGGTTAGGAAGAAGTCCGAAACCAACTCATAGTCCATAAACGATTCAGAGGATATTTGCGCAACAATTCGAGCAGGCGTAGCAGCACTGATATCCTTTGTGCCAGGAATATATCGAACAACGGATCCATCATCCATATCATATACCAGCGTTTCGTATATAGATGGTTCAACCGGTTCTTTCAACTCATACACCATCGAGTTCCTCGGAATCGGCGAAGCTCGACTCAGATCAATCGCAGCAGTACCCGAAAACATCGACACGGCAAAAGACGGCCGATGCCGCGAGAAAGAATCACGGGCGTAGGGACTCTGTCGCAGACCTGGCAAGGGGTCCGCCATGCCCCCAAGCAAGGTAGAGTTTCGAAAGTTGTCCGACATAGGAGTTCGCGAGTAGACTGAGCTTTGCAGCATTGCACCACCTTCGGCATTAAACCGCGGCTCCCCAAATCGAGCACGAGGAACAGGAACCTCCAGCGCGTGGGCTGAATTCTCACCTGCGGACCTGGGTCGGTCCTCCGATCTATCAATCACGATCCGCAGCTCACCCCGCTTCCCAGCACCAGCGGTCGATTGCTGCTCGGAGAGTGTCGAGAAGGAATTCGGTCTCGCGCGGTGCTGACTCGATAGCTCGGGGGCAGGGGACTCGGATAGGACGGACTCGGGATGGGGGACTTCGCGCGGGCGTAACTCTGAGAGCTGCGAGCTCGACCACCTGGACGGGTCCTCGCGGACGGTTGCATGGCGCTGCGGCTGAAGGAGATTGGGGTTTGCGGTCTCGACAGGGGCGAAGGGCTCGGGCTGTGGGCCTTTTTGCGGCGGATTGGCAATCGGTCTGGGAGTTCTAAATTAGCAATGCACATACTGTATGTCGCACGGCAGGTTATAGATTGGATTTACCTGAGGAAGATTTTGCCATTCTGGCCGACGCTTCCTACTGTGAAATGCCCGGCCTTCCTTCCGGGTGGACGCGCCTCTAGCGGCCCTCGAGTTGTTTGGGACCGCTGCAGCTGGTGTCGCAAAATCTCATGGCTGTCCTTGGCGCGAAGGCCAGCCGTTTTCTCACGCGCCGCCTTCAGTTCTAGATTTCGTTTGATTATGTTGCCACCCTGGGCTACTGTATTCGCCCGTCGTAGATTCGACGCATTCTGGGGACCTGGTCGATTTAAAGGCAGTTCGTTGATATGAACCTGCGGACCCAAGTAGGCCTCCTTGAACAGCAGATCAGCAGGAGGAAAAGGCTCCATGGCGATCGCGAAGCCTGATCAAAGGCTTTGCGAAAGCAGCCAGAGAACAATCCGACGAAGTGGCATGAGGTAAAAGGGAGAGAGAAATCGGACAGCTCTGTTTGGGTGGAGTAACCCGACGCGGCGGAACAGGGAACGGTTCCCCTTTGACATAACCTCGTCCAATTGATATTATTGCTTCATTTTAATTTCTTGAATTTCTTTAATTTCTGCAACGATGTAATACTCCACACATGGCTCAGCTGAAAGCTGCAAGTGGGCTCTAATAACGAGTATGATAGGCCGTGGATTCCCGGTGAACGCGATAACTGTCTAAGAACGAAGTATATGGTTGGCTACAGCGCCCGTTATTCCTCCACCCGGCATTGACGCGAGGATACGCAGAAATGGTACTTTGACGCCCAATATGTCAAGCGTTTCACTTAGCCTGTGTGACCTCTCCGATTTTAAGCAACGCCCTATTCCAGCGCAAAATTGAGCCTTTCACATGATCGACTGATCGCCTCATTCCTGGGAAATAGTTGGAGACTGTATATCCACACATCGAGGATCGTTCAACCCAATCTCGCTAAGTTCCCGAGTCGCGGTGAAGGTGTATTTCTCCGAGCTGCCATTCCGGCTATTCTCTGCCGTATACTTCCTCTGTTTACCGCCACTTGCCATAACTTAACTGATCATCCCACATGTGCGTACTGTACATACCTCGGTAATGATCCATCACATTGATCAGAGTTGATATATGTCTGGGAACCCGGGAAACCCTCCCAAGTGACCAAGTGAGGGGCTCAGACCTTGCGGATCTACGGCGGTAGATCCGCTAGAGGCTAATTCTTGCTTTTGCCTTGTTTGGAGGGGAGGAAGATCCTGAATCCTTTTGACATTGCTTGGTGAATGAGAGGCTCGTTGCAGGGGTTCTGCACTTGAAACTTATTAGAGGTCTGTCTCCGGTCCGGCGAACCTAAAGACGCATTTTTCACTGTAGGGTGTATCTTGAAGGGCCAGGATATGCGTTGGATATGGAATCCACAAACGGTCTCATGACCCGTGGGTGTGTCTAGCGTTGAGCCATGGATGTTTCGAAGATCGCCCGTAGACTTGATTTTGGGCACGCGGGGTATAGATTCCAGGCATCAAGGCAGCCTTGGTTAATGTTGACGCACTTCATGCAACTCAAAATATAGTTATTCTATACTTCCAATGATGAAGCGCGGCCGGGGTGCTATGGGTGAGTTTGTGATAAGTCAGGAGGGCAATGAGACGTGCATCGGAGAATGCTCATGACACGAACAGTGCAAACAGTGCATTTGAGGGAACGCGAGAACTGGAGAATCCAAACAATGAAATACCATTGGTAACTATCAAGAAACTAAATTATATGTAAACTACCAGAGTTTGCAAACCGGCCTGCGCTCCGGGCAACTAAAGGCGTCCCTGAACTCCCGGGAGTTTGCCATGGTTTCCTAAAGCGGTCAGTAAGAGCACAGAAGCAACAGAACACACAAGTGACTTACAATAATGCGAGCTGATTTAGGCGCATGGGGATCGTTATAGATCGCCTGCTCAGCCGCCTCCTTGGTCGTCTTCCCGCACCACCAGTTACCATACGAGATAAAGAACAACTGCTCCTTAGTGAAGGCACCCAAGCCAGGGAGAAGGAGGTCAGGCTTCGACTCATCGTGCTTCTTCCATGCATGGAATGAAGCGGTGAGTCCACCTGCATCGGCAATGTTCTCGCCCAGTGTCAATCGCCCGTTCACGTGGAGGACCTTGCCATCGGGGCCTGTGACGGTGTAGTTGGAGTACTGGTCGATGAAGCATTGGGCCCGCTCTTCGAAGCCTTCGACGGTCTTGTCGTCCCACCAGTTTGTATAGTTTCCGTTCTCGTCGTAATGACGACCGGTGGAATCAAATGCTGTTGTCTTGTTAGTCAAGGCAAACGCAATTTTACAAGGGATTTGACAAACCGTGTGATAGCTCGTGGCCACTGACAGAACCGAATGCACCGTATGCAAGATACAGTGGGGCGGATGGTCCATAGAATGTTGGGGGCTGCATAATGCCGGCAGGGAAGACAATCTCATTGCCAGGAGGGTTGTAATAGGCGTTGACTGTCGGCGCACTCATATCCCACTCATCACGGTTGGTAGGCTTTCCAAGCTTAGACCATTCATTGTGAAGATCAAATCTAGCCACAGCCACCTCATTCTCGAAAAAAGTATCTTTCGACACTTCCAGCTCGCGGTAGAATTTCTTGACGTCCTCGGGATCCATAACATCAGGGCTTTTGGTAGGGAAGCCGATCTTCTGGATAATGTTTTCAACCTTCTGGATACCAAGCTTGCGCACGTCCCCAGACATCCAGTTAGTCTGGTCCAAGGTGAAGACGAATCGCTCCTTGATATCAGAAACGATTTGGTCACCAAGCTTCTTGGAGGCCTCGGGGAAGGAATCAAGCACGTAGAATCGGCTAAGACTCCATCCGAGTCCCTCGTCCAAGCGACCAAGACACTTGCGCCACCGGTCTTGCTTGGCCTGAGGTTCTTTACCGGCCAGCTCATTCTTGAATCGTCGGAGAGGTTCAATCGCGCCATCTTCGATGGCGCTTTCGAGGGCTTGGATAAGCTTCCACTGCAGGAAAAGCAAGACCGTTTCTCTAGGGGTGTCCTTTAAGATTCCAGACAATGCCTTCATATAAGAGGGCGATCCAACAATCAAGCGGTCTCCTTTGTAGTCATGTGGTGCAAGAGATGTGATGATATCGGCGAAAGAAATTTCTGGTACCAAGGCGTCGGTCTCCTTGATGCTAAGGGGGTTGTAATATTTGGTGACATCTTCCTGAGTCTGTGTATCCGGAGTCACATCGGCGAGCTTGCTCTCAAAAGCAACAACATCTTCAACGACTTTGTCGTGCCCATCTCCAGCAAATCCTTGGATGACTTGCTTGAAAGCAGAGGTATAGTCAGCCACAGTCTTGGTGTTATTGTAATATTCTCTTGCGGGAAGTCCAATTTCCCGGGGAGGAGTAATAAAGATGACGACATTGTCAGGGTCTTTGTCGTCGGGCTGTGGATAGTCAGTAGCTAGAAATAGACGGGTAGAATTTTCAATTGGACTTACACTAACACCCGGGGAGGCCAGGGCCTCAACACCGGCGTTCAAGAGATACAAGATCGCACTGGTGAGGTGCTCCTGAGCTCCCTTGACAAGTCCAGTCTTAGCAGGATAGATCTTCTTCAGTTCATCTAAAATATCAGCCAAAGGCTTAGTGCCCCGTTTGTTGATGGTAGGCTCATCCAAGCAAGCATCATAAGCAGCTTTCAGCTTCTTAAAATTATCAGCGTCGGCTGGCTGAGGCGCTTCCGAGCGATCCAAGATATGACGGAGTCGAGTTTGCGCATTCTCTGCCATGATTGTGCCAGCAAAGATCGATCCCTGGTCGGGGCGCATGTCATGATTCTCCCGCCATCCACCACAGACATATTGATCAAAATCAGTGCATGGATCTATCTTCTCGTAATTTGGATCTAAGTTGTACAGGATCTCGGATGCAGCATGTATGCATTCTTCCGATTGGCAAAGTGGGGAAGCCGCGGGGTGCGCGGATGGCGTGTTGATGGATGGGGTGCCTGATTATTTAATCGGTAAGCAGTGCACTGTAACATGGAAGAGGTGCCATACTGTATGGAAAACCGAAGTAGTAAATTGCCAGTCCGGTGATCACAAAGGCGCAGAGCCCTTTTCGCAGGAACCGAGCTAAGCAAGGGCGTCCTTGTTTCTTGTTGTGGCGGCAATTAAGGCGGCTGGGAACGAAGTCATTGCTCTCAGTATCATATACCTCGATCACATCCACAAGCGGTTCCGTTCCGGATTTCATGTCGTCAAACGAGTTGCTTGAGTCGTGTTTCTTATGGTTACTGATGAGCTATTAGTGGAGCTCCGCAGCTGCCGATCAGGAGATGCATGATGCATACCTGCATGGCGGAGCCATTCTGGGGCTTGGAATTTCTGGCTATCAGCCAGTCCGGTGGTTTGAAGAAGAGAGTGCAATACCTAATTAAGACTCAAGTGTTTGAGAGCATGAAGGGAAGTCTGGGGTTAAGATGGCGTCACTCGGACCCATCCATCATGACTCAGCGGGCCGCAATCCTCCCCGAGAGCGTCAGGTGACTATGTATGCGGTCACGTGACCTATAATACTTTTGTACCTCCTAGTCTTCTAAGAGTGGATCTAATTTTCAGTGGTAATGTTATATAGCTCGTAGGCTAATGCCAGACGAAATTAAGCATTTTTTCAATGTTGCTGGCTCAGTCATCCGGCCTCCAGATATGTTCAGTCAGTGGTTAGACACGAGCCACGGCTTGATTGTAAGCAATGGTGGAGACTTACAAGGCAAGCTTGCTGCCAAGCTTTACATATCAACTTGCTGTATGGACGCACAGAATAGCGCTGGGCTCTCTGCAACGAAGCAAATGTGAGATGCAGGAAGATGTCTTAAATTCCAGTATGTCTCATTTGCGGAGCTTGCTAGTACTCCACGTTGCTAGTTCCGGTCTCTTCTCTCTTTCATGCCGGTATCATAAAGGGCCCCGTTTCAATAAACGTACTTAACGTGTTCTTTACACCAATATTCACGTCAGTCTAATCTATCATGTGGCTAACGCCTTTTTTAACATATCCAGATCCAAGTCTGTTGACGGTGGCGAAATTGCTGATGTTCAGGGAGCATTGGGAGAGAGTGGGTGAGTTGGTTGATGTCCCGAAAGGCCCATATCTGTCATCTTTAAACAGCTTTAAGAAGGCAGCGTCTTCCGCCAGAAAGCTCTAATCTCACACTCCAAGCAGCAGCATATGGAGGCAATGAAAAGATGGTTCTCGAACTCTTGGATCGGGGCGCCGATGTCAACGCTGGTGCCGAAAACAGTGGCAATGTCCTCCAAGCCGCTTCGCATAGAAGCCGTCGAAGGGCGGTGCAGATACTGCTAGAACGAGGTGCGGATGTTCATGTCGAGGGTCGAACTTATCGCAATGCCCTCTACGCAGCATCGTTTCTAGGCCATGATAAGGTCGTACAAGTGCTAGAGGATAAAGGTGCTTATGTGAATTCTTTTGGAGGGGTGGAAGAGAACTGTACGTTGCATCGCATGAAGGCCATGAAAAAGGTGGTGCAGATTCTACAAAGCCATGGTGCGGCTTTCAAAGAGTGAGGGGCAATATGGTACTGCACTTCAAGCGGCATCATTTCGAGATCATGACAGGGCGGTGCAGATGCTCTTGAACAAGGGTGCCGACATGAATTTACCAAGAAAACATGGCAATACATTATGTCTTGCATCACGAGCCGGTCACGACAGAGTGGTTCAGATGCTCGTCGAACGAGGTGCTAGGTGAGGTTATACTAATGGACAGGGTGGTATTCTTGCTTAGGCCTCTGGTCCGGAGAATGTCTGGCTCGCGACTACACTCGTTCTCATCGAGCGACAATGGTGCAAATTTGTTACCCAATTAACAGCGTCCAAGTTTGGCTATCCTCGCGAATATTAACACAACATATAACAGCAGGCAATGCCAAGGTAAACACATACCCAGAGTACAAGAGCTATCGGTTGCATGGCCGTTTACGTAGCACTTATCCTCCTCAAAGTAGTCCCAACCACAATTGACGGCACCATTGTATGTGATACATTCTCCAGACTTAACGCAAGTGAAGTAATACCCGCGTGTCCACTCCTTGGAGAGTTGTACCACAACTGGGTAATTCGTGCCAGGCCCAGAGCGGCAGTTGACATGCTCGCTGTAGAGAACTCTGCACAATTGACCCGATCGACCGAATATCTTTTTACCGTCAACGACCTCGCTCTGCTCAGCGTCAGCGACAGGAGCGGCGCTGAGACCGGTAGCGAAAAGGGCGCTGAGGAGAAGACTCGTGAGCTTCATGATGGGTCCAAATGATGAAGAATTGCCTTTCAAGATTTTCCAAGGGGTGATAAATGGATCCCAGTGACAGAAGGGTTGTCGGGGACAGTACTAAATTTATAAGAATCTGAATACGAGGATCTCCGGCGCTATCCCGTGTTTTTGGAAGGCCAAGCTCTTGGCCGCGGGACTTATTTTGGATCCCATCGTGAATACGAACTATTGCAACCTCCCTAAAATAAACAAACTTTCTGCTACCACGCGAAGCAACCCCAGTGACAGTTGATGAGATGAAGATGGTGTGGGGGTCCGTCAAGACGTGCGCCACCTCGGAGTGTCGGGTTTGATAATCCATGGCCTTTTTGTTTTATTTTCTTGTTCTTCGGCTTCCATTCATAAAAGCTCAAGTCGGTTGTATCTCGAGGTGAAAGACTCTTTGCCTCGCTCTATCGCCTTATTTTGACTTCACCTGGTCTCTATGAAACTGAAACCAGTGAAAAACATACACGCACCGCCCCTCAGACCGGTACCTAGCAACACTAAAACGGAAAGGGAATGCCAAGAAGTGGCAGAGGAAATCCAGAAACTCGAGTACCGAGGGATGTGAACAGGAGCGGTATTGTTGTGCGAGACACAAATTCTCCCCAACATAACCACCAGGTACTTTCACCAGCACTCCTTTCAATGCCACTGCAGAAACCCCGATGCCGACACAGTAGCAGTCTCTAACGCCTTCATCCCTCCTCCATAATTGGATCTTGCCGGCCACGTGGACATTACTTAAATGGTGCACATAGCCTCGACCTCTTAACTTGCCTTCAATCGTGATAGTTCAAGCAGGCTAGTTAGTTCTCTTTACAGAAAACTTGGGAGGGATATATTCCAATTGCCGCACAGATAAATGCCTGGCTCCCCACCAGTTGCATTGCCTTGGGATCAAATCTGAAATCACAAACATGTAGCCAAAGAAAACATCAAAGACTCCGAGTCGCGTCGCCTAAACCGTAACGCGAGCCCTTTTCAGAAGCCGATGGCCAGGGTGAAATCTGCCTAGCCCCAGACCCGATATTAGATTTGAAGGTGTGAGATTATCACCCCGGAGTCCGCCACGTATGTAATTAAAGAATGAACCAAATACTCCCAATCCAACCGAGGCCGTTTGATTTGGCTACACAATGCACTAACCCCCCAATGAAATGTATCCCATCCTTGTTCAAATTGCCTCTTTAGGGGCTTTCAGCCGCAAGCTCTCACTTTCACAGGAAGGTCACTGCACAGGGTAGTGTTTATCAGCGCTAGCATGAAGTAATACTTCACACTGTTAGGTTACCTATTCTTGTCTCAATAGGGTTCTGCGGCCGACCGTGCATCCTTCGAGAATATTTTCACTTGTACAGATCACGCATCGGTATCTATTCCTAGCATGACAACCCTATCTGCTCTGATGTACCATTTGCTTTACGGCCCCTAGTAGAAGGCCATGACGCTGTTCGACATGTTGGGCTTATTTGGAGCGCGAAGGTGTCTATATAAGATAGAGTGAGCTCTAGTTTAATCAGATATAATCACGGAGTGTCAGAATAAGATTGTGAATACCCTATACTCAGTCAATTGTGCTTTCTATTCGATCATGCTTAAAAGCTCTTTCCGGCTACTCGCTTGAAGCCTCGTGACAACCCATGCGTATGAGTACGATAAGGAAGTTGTTGCCGCTTTGGAGGATGATTACAGTCGAATGGACTTCTACCCAGGCGGCGGAGGTACTAGGGCAGAGCGTGAGATGGGCAACTCGCCGTATAAGGCTTGTTGTGCAAAGCAGGACCTGAAGCAAATTGTGTTTGAGGTATGCCACGACCAGAAACACATGTTCCCGAGTTTAAGTTGCTAACTCGTCTCGTAGTGCGAAATGCCCGGTGTGACCGATTTCGATAATCCCGCTTATCCGCATATGGAAAGCGACTCAGGGCATCATTGGATGATTAGTAAGTGCAGTTGCCAATCACAGAAGGCTACGAAGGAGTGACAAAAGGTCCGTTAATGCTCGACAATATCCTTTGTGCATTCCGAATGTCGACCTTCGAGGCCTTGGCGGAGGTTGCAATCGATGTAATTACCAGCGCAGGCAAAATCCTGGCAGGACTCAATGCTGCCGTTGTTGTGGCGGAGATTCTCGATGAGAACTCGTTGGCCCCACAAGAATATTTCAAAGAGTCCGTTGGAAAGGTCTGCCATATGAAGGCTGGAACTTCAATATGCCACGGTGTTTGGCAATTTGAAGGGAGCATCAACAGCGCGAGGCGTCAGCAAACGATACATACAGAAAGACATGAAGCTCTGCAAAAAGCTTGACAACGACGACTGTGGTTTCATTGACAAGAACAAGGACAAGCACAAGGACAAGAACAAGACCGCTACTAACGACAAGCAGAATCCTACCACCACTGAGAAGGACGAGCCAACCAACTGTGAAAAAAAGCTGGATCCAACGACCACCGACACGGGCAAGGACAACTGCAAACGCGCTGCCGATGGTGGTGGGTGTAGTACGAAGCATGATTCCACGATAACCAAGTGGCATTCCGAGCTCAGAACTATCTCGAAGACCTGCTATGAAAATCATTGGTCGCAGGATTTTTACAACTGTTACTCGGCGGGGCAAAACCATGCCCATATTGACAACTGGTTCACTTGCAGCGAGAGCCACAATCACGACGAAAAACGGAAGAAGCGCAGCGCTGTGACTCAGTGGAAGAAACAGCACTTTTCTGGCAAGGAATAGAAGAAGTTCTCGTCAACTGACTCCTATTCATTCATCCCAGTATGCTCCGCTGTCCCAGAACCAGCAAAGGAAGTTAGTGATAAAAAAGAGGCACGGAGACCTTTATCACTTCCTACGAAGTCACCTACACACGGGCAGACTTCATAGGGATTTCAAGTGGAATGGACATCTGGGGTAGCCCAATGCGTCCAACAACTAGCACCACGACGAGAACCATATTTAGCGGGCGGTGTAATACATCATGGTAACAAGGCAGTCGAGTATAAATATCGATGAGGTCAGTAGACTCGCCAGTAGAAGGAGTTCGAGGTGATCAGATGGGCCATTATAGTCTGATCATACAAAATGGCCCACTGGCAGCCACTCGGGGCTAGAATTGCATAATACGATACGGGTATTCCAAACTAATCCGGTTTACGATGCAAAAATGTACGCAGGAGTGCGTATAGACGCTAGCTCTGCCTATCATTAGTGATAAAATATCACCTCTGAGGATAGACAAAGATCAATGACATCACCCTGCCGCCATTTAAAAGCTGAGAGGAGCAGCTCCGGGCTAAGATCGACCAGCCCATACGATGGGGCATACTAAGCTTGGGTGACACAAGATGCATGCAGAACGAGAAATGTATTTAATGTTACCCAAGATAGCATGAGGCACTGGAAGAGACAGTCATACACTTATTTCGCAGTTTCACGGCATATGTCCCGCATATCAGTTCCCTCCAATCGTTGTTTCTCTCCAGATTGACGATCTTTTATATCTGCAAGCAAGGACATTTATTACACCTTTGACGCGATGCAACTAATCTAGACCTATCATAGAACTCTTGAGAAGGGGAAATTCTATGACACCCTACAGTCACTGCTGGACAACCAGGTTAGATCCCCTGTGTGACCTGGCAAATTTTAAGGCCCAAGCGGAATGCGTAATTTTTATCATACTTAAGGCCCCTCGTTTCAATACCCGAGAAGAAACTAAACTATTACAACATTTATGATTCGACCACAGCAATCAAATCAAACCTAGGGCATAGGTATTTTGACCCAATTTCAAGATGGATCTTGGGGATTTCAACCCTTGTGAAGAACTGATACCGGCCATCGTGGACCATCACGGTGCCTCCTATCCGGACAGGATCTATGCAGAATATCCAAACACCAATGTAACTTATGATCAAGGCTATTTCAAGGTCACATACGGTGACTTAGCTAATGCTGTCAATGGGGCTGCTTGGTTTCTGACCAAAACCCTTGGTCCGGGGGACAATAAGGAAGTGTTACCTTACATCGGCCCAAATGACCTGCGATATTCTGTTCTGGTTGCAGGTGCTCTAAAGGCGGGCTATGTCGTAAGTGAAATCCTTTCTGACTTTGGACGACGTCTTACTTAGGTCCAGATGTTCTACACCTCACCCCGCAACAGTATAGTGGCGCACCAAAGTCTTCTGGAAACCTTGAAATGCAAACATTTCCTGTCTTCTACACCTTGGCCATCAGCCGTTACTACTATTGCAAATGCGGTGAACGTGAAAATAGTTGGGATTCCAAGTGTTGATGAGCTGCTGAAAATCGAGTATCCCGTGTTTCCTTTCGTGAAAACGCTCACAACTAATGGGTCGGAGAACCTATTCATTGTTCATACGTCGGGCTCGACTGGGATTCCCAAACCAATTTACTTCACTAATGAAGCTGCCGCAAGAAGTATAAGAATGATCAGAATGGACCCGCCTAAGTCTTTTGATGGACTCTATCCCATGACACTAGGGAAGAGATTTTTCATAACTTTCCCTCCATTTCATGTAAGACAATTCCAGTCGTTGGGTATAAAATATTTTCTAATGCATAATGTGCAGGTCACTTATCTGATTTGCAATGTCTTTAATTCCATACCATTCGGCACTGTCATGGTTGCTCCGATTTCTGCAACTATAATTTCGGCACGTGGCATAGTCGAGGGAATAAAGCAAACCCCAGTAGATGGAGCCTTTGCCATTCCCTCGATAGTCCAGGAATTGGCTCAAGACCCAGAACTCCTTGAATTCTGTGCAAAGAATTTGGATATAATTGTCTACGGCGGCGGAGACCTGCCTCAAGATATTGGAGATCGGGTTGCTTCAAAGGTCAAACTGGTGAATCAGTACGGAGCTTCAGAACTGGGGCTCATTCCCATGCTTTTCTCCAAATCCAACCGTGACCCGATGGATTGGAAATACATTGAGATCCATCCCGCCATGGGGATTGAGTTTCGGCACGTCGCCGATAGCCAGCATGAACTAGTCATTGTACGGAATGCAGACCTTGAAGAGAATCAGCCAACATTTTCCTACGGGGGTGGCTTCACAGAATTGCAAGAATATAGCAGCCGAGACTTGTTCATACCGCATCCAGATCCAAACAAGAAAAATTTCTGGAAATGGCATGCTCGGAAAGATGATATCGTTGTCTTTCTGAACGGGGAAAAAACCAATCCTATCTCTATGGAACAGCAGATACTGTCTCACAACCCTCAGGTCACAGGTGTGTTAGTTGTTGGTGCACAGCGCTTCCAAGCTGCGCTTCTGGTTGAAGCCGACACTGGTGGGAAGGAGTTATCGCCATCTGATCGCGCCAGTCTGCTCGAGGCTATCTGGCCCAGCGTCGAAGGAGCCAACAAAGTATGCCCTGCATATGCACGGATTGCCAAGTCACACATCTTGTTCACTCATCCTGACAAGCCAATGCTGCGCTCCGGCAAAGGCACAGTTCAGAGATCAGGAACCATCACTTTGTATGAAGAAGAGATTGACAAGCTGTATATTGAAGCGGAGGCTGTTTCTACCCAGCCTGGCGGTTACGTCGGCCCAGGTAAAAATGCAGACCGTGGCGCTGTGTCCAAATACATCAAATCTAGTGCTGTTGCTGCCACAGAGTGGCCTGATCTCGGTGATAATGACAATATGTTTATCCGTGGCATGGATTCTTTGCAAACAATCACCATCGTGCGAACCCTTCGGCATGGACTCGATATGAGCGATATTGATGTCCCGCTAATCTACGCGAAACCTTCTATCACTGAGCTCGCAGACGCGATCATGCAACTTAAGGAGAATGCAACGGTTTCTAACAAACTAGATATTGAGAATCAACTTCGGGAGAGACAGGAAATGTTCAAGGTGTTTCAAGAGAAGATTGATCGAATCCCAAGTCCATCGTCGCCAGCTGTACCTGGCAGGAGGCATAATGTCATTCTCACTGGCAGTACCGGCGTTCTGGGAACTTATTTGCTTCATGACCTATTGAATGACCATTCGGTTGAGCATGTCTATTGCCTGAATCGAAGGGACAACAGCCGCTCAGCGCAAATCTGCTCTTATAGAACTCGTCACCTTGAAGCTGACTTCGATGAATCCCGAGTGACCTTCTTGAAAGTCGATATGTCCAAAGAAGATTTCGATCTTTCGGCAGATATGCTCCAGAAACTCCGAGACACCACAACCGTTGTACTTCACAATGCCTGGCCAGTCAACTTCAACTTGTCAATGAGATCCTTTGAGCCTCACCTGGCTGGTGTGGTGAATCTCATCTCCTTCTGTGCTTCTGCACGGAGTCATCCACGGTTATTGTTCATGTCATCCACGAGTTCAGTCGTGGCACATCGCACCAAGTCAGGTATCAATTCCGAAAAAGTCATTATCACTGAGACTCCTGCGCCGAACGGGTATGCCGAGAGCAAGTATTTGGCTGAAGAACTTCTCGACTACGCCTCCAAGAGATTGCCAATCCCGCTATCATTCGCTCGTATCGGTCAGGTTGCTGGCGCGGTGAAGAAAACAGGCCTCTGGAATCCAGCTGAGTGGTTTCCCAGCTTAGTGTTAAGCTCGTTGCATATTGGCGCGTTACCAGAGTCCCTGGGCCCATCTATGGGTCGAATCGATTGGGTCCCAGCAGATCTACTCTCTGAGGTATTGATCGAGCTTGTGCTTAGCCCATTTTCTGAGTCTGAGACCAGGCCAGTCGAGGTTTTCCATCCTCTAAATCTCCACCCACAGACTTGGACTTCAATTCTTCCAACCATAGTGGAAGAGATTGCTGCAGTCACCGACAAGACTCTAGCAATCGTTCCGCTAAGCAACTGGATAGCTCGTATTCGCCAGGACATGGAGGCTAAAGGCCGAGTGAAATCTGGAGGCAGTGAGAACCTGGAAACATTGCTGAAAGCCAACCCAGCCGCGAAGCTGCTACACTTTTATGAAGGCCTGGACGCGCAGGACAAGACACAGAACCCTGAAGATGGGCTTTTGCCTCGTTTGCCGAATGTTTTGGATGCATCGCATGCAGCCAAGAAGAGTGACACATTGCGCGCCATACCGGCAATCAAGGGGTCGTGGTTTGCCAAGTGGATCGCCGAGTGGATGGAGCAGTAGATGCTGGAGAAAGGGGGGTCTTCTGCAACCTTTCGGGTGGTTATAGATAATGCTTGTAACTATCTTTCAAGTTGGGAATATGTTAAATCGGGCAATTTGGGAAACTGGACAGTACTGGAGGTTATCTAATTTAGGTGAGATGATCTGATTGATGATAAAGACAGAATGCTATTGAAGCGATCCCTAGCCCATAGGCCGATTCGGACTAAACTTTGCCATATCCTGTTTCCGCCCGCCCACCACTGCCCTTATAAATGCTTGCCTGAACGTACGCCCCAGATACATAATCTGAAAAGAGTCCCTCTTTTGCTAGCACTTCCACTTCACATAATAACCTTATTATTTACCGTACGAAGATAATTCTTTAAGACCTTTTACTCCAATATAATTGAGTCGCCTGGATATGTTCAATCGTTCATCTTTTTCCCACAATATCAACAGAACCCGTTTAATGTTATAAAGACTTTTTGAGACTCGCTCTTCGACTCTTATGCTGAAAATATACTCGTGCATGCCTATATAATTTGAGACATTACCTTGGTATGTTCAATCTGTCGTATTCCTCAGCACTCGGATTCCCGCCAGTATGTTAAGCTGTATTATTCAGTTAATAACAACGGATTTTTGTTAAGCATATTACATAACAGATAAGTAGCGCTAGGTCGTACATCGCTGTACATTGCTATTTATATTAATTCGGTGTTATTCATTTCGGCCATTGTTTTTTAGAGGAAATTCTGTCCAATATTGCTGCTATATCCGTTAACCAATCTCTCTAGTCTCTGTGCTGATGGAGCATCTATTTGCTCCAGCAAATTCGCCTGCAGGCACCACATTGGTCTCTGTATCCCTCAATGCCCAAAGGACTGGTGGCATCGAAAAGTTTGTGGGATAGTAGAGCGGGTCGGTGAATTCTCGTTTGAACTTGAGAAAGCCTGGCGGCCATAAGTCCAATTTCGTTAAAGTGGACTCTTTTCATGCCAGACAGACGGAGCATCACGCACCACGCTTTCCAAGCCGTCATCAATGGACAGTATATAAGTAATCTGTGTTCCACAATTTATAATGCAATAGAAAGCGAACAAAAATCACTAATGTGCAGCTCAACTATTGGTCAAATCCGTTTCGTAGAAATCCGGAACCATTATTTGCATCAAAACCCATCATCAAAGCCCATCATTTGACTCAATTTAGCCAAAGCGGTTGACCAAAATTGCGGGCCTTGTAGATGAGTAGCAATCGCAGCCGCAAGCACAATAATCAAGGCCAGCACCATAGTGCGGCCAATTTTGGGGGAAGTGGGCCTCTGGATTGGCTGTCAAAGTCAGCGAAGAACTTGTATATGGAGAGTAATATGAGATAACCTTCAATGTCCAATCCGATCTAGTGGGAAATAGGCTGCGGTACCAGTAATGTGCCTGCGACCAAGGATATGTCATTGCGTTCCACCCCTTCTTATTTACGTACCACTATGGTTTGTTAGCAGCAAACCGCTATTTGGTGGTCGATGGCATTCATACCGAAGCACATCCTGCATTCCAGACACGGTGACGAAGGGTTTCTTGAACTTGGTAGACATATTCATCTTCAGCTTCCTGTTTCAGATTAATAGAGCTTACTTTGCCATCCAGAACAGGCTTGAGAACCCGAAGCGCATAGTTCACAGAGCTGGTTGCGTTAATAAACCCCTTTGCAGCACATTTTCCGCCACTGTCACCGTGACTTACTTTTCGGCTGCCATCAAGGCAGACGTATGTCCTGTTGCTGTGTTCGGTCCGAGCAACAGGAAAAAGTTCGGAAATCCACTCATAACCGAGCAGTTGTAGGCTCCCGGACCATCGTATCTGTTCCAATGATCTGTGAGCGTCCCTTCACAACCGTGAATCTCTGTATGTTGCAGAAATATGTTCGTCTGGAATCCCGTCGCAAGCACGATGACCTGAGCGGGATAGAATCCATCTGTCGTCCTAACGCCGTCTGGCAATATTTCGGTGATTTTCGTTTGGGTGAGATGCAACTTCTCATTGTGAAGTGACTTGAGGTATCCGTCGTCGAAAATCCGCCGCTTGCACCCCACATCGAAGTCTGGGATAAGGATGTCATGGTAGTTGGCCGGCGCAGTCTCTTGCATATACTTTTCGACGTGCTGCTGGCACTTCCGTCGAAGTTTAGCGGCAGCCTTGGTCATACGAAACAGACGGAAGTCATTTTCGGCTATCAGAAATAGGTGCAGACGGTGGAGTCGCATGGCGAGCGGAATATAGTGAAAGACCCACTGCAAAACTTTCGGGTATGTGAAATTAGGAGCTTGAAACACCCAGTTCTTGCTCCGAATGATTTGGGTTAAGGTTTTGGTACTGTCCACGATGGCCGGCACGATCTGAGCAGCGGTACCTGCATTTGTCAGTATTTCTCGCTGCCACCGCGGAAACTAAGAGCACTAACATCCATTCCCAATGACAACCACATTTTTACCCTTCAAATCAACGCTGTGGTCCCATCTCGCGGAGTGAAACAGGGCTCCGTTGAAGGATTTGGCTCCGGGAATATCGCAGGGCTTAGGCTCCGCGAGCTGTCCAGTGGCCGCGAAAAGGATGTGGCATTCGTGATAAGTAACATTGCCGGTGATCACGCTGCGAAGCTTCATCAGCCATCGGGAGGCCTCTTCGCGCCAAACACATGACTGTACTTCCGTGAGAAAGGTCATCTTATCACGCAGACCGTAGGCGTCCACCACACCGTCAGTGTAAGATTTTATTTCTTTGTTTGATGGCATGAGCTTGGTCCAGCGGTCGCTCAATGCGAATGAGAAGCTATAGAGCGCACTGGGAACATCGCAAGCACATCCTAAAAAGACAGCCAGTCCGTGAAATATTCAAAATCAAAAGGGCAAAATTGGACCAACCAGGGTATGAACTGATAAACCAGGTACCTCCACAGTCTGGATAACGCTCAAAAAAATGGATATCATCCATGCCATACCATCGCTTCAGTGTCGCTCCGAGGGCGATCGCGCTCAGACCAGTGCCTATACAAGAAATCTGGCTGTATGATGCCAGGGCCGGGCTGTGCTTCTGCACCATGGTAGGGAGAAGGGGTCTATGGAATTGTATTTGCTGTTCTGTGGATCAAATTCTATTCAGAGCCATTCTGTAAATGTACAATCGCTTTACCTTTAATATAGGGTCCATAACACCATAGAGTTAGTTATACGGAGGTTCACGCTGGACCTCTTTTGCATCAGTGGTTACACTAGATGGGCGAGGCTATCCGATTGGTGGGAGACTATGAGGTTGTACAGTCTCCTCACATGATAATATCGTGTGAGCTGTCTTCCTCGATGCATGATTCATCATGCACAATAATGATATGTGGTTGCACAAGGTTGCCACGTGCTTATTTTATAAAGAAGGATTGCAACGCTCCTAGACTGCCAAGACGAGGTTTCAATTTATTTCTCGGAACAGACATATATATTTACGGGCTTTCAATATTGTTAACTAGGTCTATTGTCCATAGATAGCGAGACCTAAAGCTATGATAGACCACGGGCCCAAGGCAGCGTCTATCACGCCTAGCCAGGCTGCTTTTAGACGTCAGGTTTGTTTGAAGCCCGCTCATATGCAGGTATGACCCCATCTGGTAAGATCGGACTGTCCGAAGCCAAGCAGGGTATAGTAACATTATATTCGTCACCTTCAGAGCTGTGTGTTACATTGTCTATCTCACATCGAAAGGTAATGCTTGGCTGAAAAATTTACGACAAGTTAGGAGGTCCTTTTGGCATCCACATGAGGCTGCGTGCAGGAGCCGATCTACCGGCAGGAGTTCATGTACGCAGCCAAATCTTTGCTGTTGCACAGGTCCATGCATTGTGACATGTACTAGGAAAGCCAATGTCGAGGAACAATGACCAGAAGCACGGAGGCTAGGATCATGTTCTGTACGCATGGTGAACACGGTGAATGCAGTCGTGTGGTCACAAATAGTTGAGCCGTCCAATCCATACGCTGTGGAATGGAGCGCTCAAAACAATGCGCAAGAACGAAATGCGACTTTTTACAACCAGAGAATTCGCATGATGACCCCTGCACAGTGTTTTGATGCGGCAATTGAGAATGGCACAGACGGCGAGGCAAAAGCAAATGATCATCCCCAAGCGAAAGCAAAGGGCTCGAAGAGCAGTAACCCCACGCCCCCCGCCAACCAGAACATGTGGGCAAAGGGATTGCCCGCGACCGTCCCAGAATCAAAAATCTCGACCTTTGCATTTTCAGGTCCGGCCAAAGATACTATGTGCGATGGAAAGTTGGGACTTTACTTATTGAACATAGCTGATTATATCCCAGTCTGGACTGGATGGAAGCAACAATCACCTAATGAGGTTTAGGGCCCGGACCAGATCGTCTATAAGTAGAACAGAGATTCCATTTGCTGTGTTCCGTAATGTATATTGAAATATCGGGACCGATGATCCAATTGGTTTCGATTTAAACAAGCCTAGCAGTTTTAACATTATTTGACCAGAAAAGCCCGATAAGACAACAAGATTATCCCCTGAAATTACCAAAATAACTACATAGCTTCCGAAAGTAAGTTAAAGGGGATGGTGTGGGTGTATTATAATTTCGATTGTTGACTACGTGTAATCACCCATTCCATGGCAGAGACCATCCTCTTCAATTCTGCCATAGAACGTGGAAAGTTATGTTTGGCGTTATGTTCGAAATTTCGTCGCCATCTTGGGAGGCAAAAAGACTCGCCCAACAATGAGCACTCTTTCAACGCCGGCGGGTCATTTCTCCCACGAACATGAAGGGTTGGAATAGGGAGACGTGCTTTGTACAGAGCTGGATGCAGCACGCATGGGACTTCTAAAGGCTGGCGATCTAGGAAACTCGTACGTGACCGACGGGTCAATGGCTCTAGTGTATCGATGGCTCCAACTAATGCCTTGATCGCAACTTGAGCTGGTCCTGGCAGCTGTTCCAGCTGATCATCTTGAGCGGAGCGAAGACGGTGTTCATCCTCTAGAGAGAGCGAGCCAAGCACAGATCGGTGGTAAGCTGGGTCTGTCGCAAGTATCGGTACTGGCGAGCAGAAAATCCCAAATTTAACCGGCAGAGGCCTTTCCGGATATAGGGCGATCTGCTCGAGCAGATAAGCAAGTAATATCGCGGCCCCTTGGCTAAAGCCAAACACCCCATCGAAGGGCCCTTGGCTCTCAAATGCGTCATTAACCAAAGCGTGAGCGGCCCTCATGCTGGCAGGGTCGAGGTCTGCCGAATAGCAGAGGTAAGGGCCAGGAATGGCGGGTGCGATACCTACCAGCAACATGAATTTGCTAATGTCAACGCAACGTGGAGAGGAGGGAACAGTAAACTCACCTGGAGTTAGTGGACAATTCAATTTCCCTGCCAGATAATAGAATTCCCAGCTAGGATCACATAGTTTCACTAACCCTGACATCTGGTATTTCATGATATGGGGACTTGTCCCGTAACCATGGAGACAAAGTATTCTCATCTCGCCGCGTTGAATTCTTTTTGAGATGCAATATATGATTGAAGTTGCGGAAGCAATTTCTGGTCGAGGTATAAGGGCCAAATAACTATTAATGAAAACCTATCAATGTCGGTGAATGTCGTTGAGTGACAGACCATCTGCCGCTAAGAAACCTTGTCAAGCGTAGCTGATGCGGTGATACCGTCGATCACAATGAAAGTGATAAAAGGACGTCTGCAGTCATTTATTTGAGAGAAGTAGAGGGCTGGGTGCGATAATCGTAACGACATGATATATGTAACAGACCTACAGGGGATGGTGGTAGAGCGGATTGACGGGTTGAGAACAGGTAAAACATGAGATAGAATAAAGCCTTAAACTCATCTCTAGCTTAGCATCTTTTGGTGGCTGCATGTGTATCTTCAAAGCGCAGGATCTCCGCTATCTCTGCCGCCATCTTTTGGCTTAAGGCAGGCTTGGTAGTCCCGCTGTAGCCGACTAGATCAGGCTCAAGCATCCTGTAGCCATTTCCGGCGAAGAATCTTACCTGGCGGCACTAGTGGTATGGATGAGTTGAAGTGATTAGTGGGGATGTAACCATACCTGTATGTATGATTTGTAGAGATAATAAGCTTTTGCTCCATTGGGTAACACAATAGCTGCCATAATCTTGTTGGCTGACCTAGGTGTTTGTTTGATCGGGTAGTGATTTTAGAAGATGTGTTAAACGACGTAAACATGCCGCATAGGAGGAAGTTCAGCACGCCGTATGTTTTAGACTATGAGCCATCTGTCTTGCTTTTCCCTAGTTCAGTCCAACTATCTAGTAGATCAGTTCAGCATCCCTTTAAAAGCTTCAGACTCGCAAGGCAACTTGTTCAGCTGTATTGCTGGTTACAAAGTGGGATCATGCCGTGCAACCATGTTTCTAACTAGTGGCAGCTACAAGCTTGTTGAATCGTGATGTGTCACTCAGGCATGCAGGGATCGACAAAGTCACAATAGCCCATCTATACCCACTCTATTCACGTCTTCTAAATGGTAGTGCATTAAAAACAGCTATAAATTGGCTTTTCCCGAGTAGTAGAACCCCGCGATTAGCACTAGGGTCACTGCCATGACTACTCTTTTCTCTGTCCCGATCGCCTCAACCGGCGGCTCCATCGTATGCGCAAACCCAACAGCCAACAAAGGCCAAGAGCAATATAATATATACCTGTTGACCATCACTTCGCCGAGAGATAACCGTTTGACCCCAACATTTATTGATGCGCTTCTGCTGTCACTGGACATCATTGAGCATCACTATCCGAAGGGCGTTATAGTCACCACTAGCGGTATCGCTAAGTTCTACAGTAACGGATTGGATCTCGAACTGGTTGTGAGCACGAAGGGATTCCTCGAAAAGTGGATGTGGCCATTATTTCGGCGGTTTTTGACGTATGTATCAATCAATCCCGGTGGCTGCTAGGATAGCGAAAAATAAAAGTAAGACTTTATTTCAGATACCCCATGCCATCTGTATGCCTTTTGAATGGTCACGCCTTTGCGGGTGGATTCATATTGGCCATGTATCACGACTACCGGATTCAAAATCCAGAACGAGGATTCCTGTGCGTCAACGAACTGGAATTCGGCGTGACGCTCCAAATCCCCGTGATGCGGATGCTCCTTGCGAAATTGAACCCAGCCACCTTCCGTAATATGGTTTTGGGATCGCACCGATTTGGTGGGAAGGACTCGCTGCAGGCGGGAATTGTCGATGGGGTGGGTGGACTGGATGAGGTCCTGGGATTGATTCGCGACCGCAAACTGTTAAATAAAGCTGAGACAGGCATATACGGTACCATGAAGGAGGAGATGTACGCAGGGGCGTTGAATAGTCTTGATGATTATGCCGGGAACCTAGCGTGGCGGGAGAAGATGGAAGGAAAAAGGGATGCTGCGCAGAAGAGGAGCCTGCAAGCCGTAGCGGGCTGGGAGAAGGACAAGGCAAAGCTGTGAAATCCTGATCCGTGTAGATCTGAGTTGTTTAGATTTTATGTCTCGCATTGACCTTTTGAAATGCATTTTGTACATTTTGCGGTTTCGGCGGTCATTTCCTTAATGAAGCTGCAAAACCATGTTGTGTCCGCTTCACCTCACGTAATTTCCAAATGACCATAATTATCTTCCTCTCTCTTCCTATTTCTGCCCATTTGTTGTTCCACAAGTATTTTATCAAGTTCCAACTACCGAAGTGCTCAGCAGGCTGATATAATTACAACTGCTATACCGTTCCTCTCGGAGGGGAATGATAACTCAATTATACGTAGGCGCTTGAAACAACAATCTACTCTTCTTGCCAGAGGGCTGTTGGCATTGTCCTCTATTTAATTTTCAATGCATCTAGGAACGGGAACGACAGTGTATCAGCTCAGTCAGGCAACCATGAAGCGAATTTTATTGTACATAAAAGGTATTCTAACTATGGCGTCCGGAGGAATGTCATATGTCTTCTTCAGTCGGCTAAAATCATTGTCATAGTGGATTGTCTAGTAGGAACTAACAGACTGTACCGTCACATTGGCAAAGTACAAACTCCAGTACCAGGCACAGTAGAAGGAGAAGGAGCTATCATAACCTCGAGCAAGCCATGACAAATGCTAGGTTGTCGTGTTCTCATCTTGTAGAGCGTATAAATAATGGCGGAGCGGGTTTATAGACCTCTGGGCCGTGTTGTCGGGCCACATGCTTTGTTTGTCAACGTCGGAGGACGTAGGTGTCTGTCTTTACTGTGACATGTGGAATTAAATATTCTGGCCCAGTTTACGATAACGGCGAATGAAACTATGGTCAACGATAATATCCCCCGCAGTCTTCTAATTTGAGGCCCTATGGTGAAATAAGAGCCATTTAACCAACCATCAAGAAATGCAGGGCTCAAATACCTCATCGGTTCTTTCTCAGCGTCGAATCAGGTTTATCAACGAAGTGTTTTCAATTCATCAACGAACCATGATACTACAACCAACATAGTTGGGATACATCACATCAAAATCCTGGACTTTTATCGATCAGTCCCAATCTTTGGAGATACCTATTTGAATGCAAGAGTATGTAATAAGCCTGATCTATGCATGTTCAAAACTATCACACTTTCTCGATCTACCTCTGTAATGAGCTCCCCAACCACAAGCAATCTATGCTATACCCTTTAGTGAATGACCATAACCCTATATGTCATTGCACAACATTACAGCCTTGCCAAAGGCCCGTATGCATTAACAATAGCCAAAAGCTCCGGGCGAATCTCCGAAACCGATTTACAGCCTGTAAGCTGCATGCATCGCTTGAAGTCGTCGTACAGAATCTTAAACATCAGCTCGACCCCCTGCTGACCATCATGCTGCCGAAAGTCTCAGTATCCAATCATCAATATCGATAGCGCAGCAATAAATACTTACCGCCAATCCCCAAAGCACTGGACGTCCAACCCAGCAACACTCTGCGCCTAGAGCCAGGGCCTTGAAAATATCAGCCCCAGACCGAATCCCACCATCAATATGAATCCTAATCCGTCCTCGTGCAACCTTAGCACAAGCAGGAAGAGCATCAATGGTAGCTGGCGTCTCATCTAGCTGTCTACCACCATGGTTGCTAATAATAACACCATCACAACCGTATTCAACAGCAGTCTCAACATCCTCCGGCGTAAGGACTCCCTTAATCCAGATCTCCATCTTGGTAATACTGCGCAACCACGGAATCTCCGTAGCCCAAGAATGAGAATCTGAATTAGTCGAAGTGAACCCATCATCATGAGATTGCGCCTGGATCTCATCCGATGTCTTTTCATACATCGGATACGCCACGCCAGGCGGAGGCTTGAATCCATTCCGCCATTCATTCCAGCGAACACCAAGGACGGGACTATCCGCGGTCAAGAAGATTGCCTTGCAACCCGCAGCTTCGGCACGACGCACAATACGCTCTTGTTTAGCTTTGTCGTTCAATGTGTAGAGCTGCATGACGTGGTTGACAGGCCCCACTTCGTTTCCCGCCTCGGTGATTTGCTCGATTGGATAACCGGTGTAGGAGGAGACTCCCATGTTCACGCCTGTCTTGGCACATGCTCTGCTTGTTGCTAGTTCTCCATCTGGGTGGGCTAATACTTGTAGTCCGGTGGGCGAGGCACAGAGTGGGAAGAGGATGTCCCGACCAAAAAGGGAGATGCCCGTGTCCACTTGGGAGACATCTTTCAGGACTCTGGGGAGGAGACGGTACTTCCTATACGCAGTGTAGTTGTCGTGGAGGGTTACTTGGTTTGTTGCGCCGGAGTTGAAGAAATCTAGTCCATAGTTTAGAACTAGAGATTGTTATGTGAGGGGATGAAAATACCTTTTACGGAAACAGGGAGGGATTTGGAAGCTGCCTCCTGGAGGTCAGCTATGTTTAGTATTTTGTTGGACATTGCAGATAGCAAGGATTAAAACTCGCTGGGAGTTGTGAAATGTAGAAAATCCCATGTTGATAGCAGTATGAGGGGTAAGAGTGGGGGAGGCTTTTCCGATAGCTTTCCCGATCCGCTTTAAAACACTGGCGATGCTGAATCACAGTACCTAAAGCCAATCCTGGTGCAAACTCTGGACTTATTTTCGTTAGCACAAACATATATGTCTCCATAGGGCTGAAACCTTGTCACTACAACCTGTTATCCTTGACTCCCAAACTACCTTGAGCACGAAGCCTAATTAGGCATAGTGCATTGAACTAGCCCTAATCAGGATATAGACATTGATCTCGATATAAAATAGCCTCCCATGATTCTAGACTCTACTGACATCAACTGATGCCACTTTTCCGAGATTGTGGGGTTGTCTACAATCTGCAAATGGTCATTATGCATTTATTGTTCTTGATTGAGATGGCATGTACTCGAATGCAGCGGTCGAAAAACTCCAGATCTGGCTTTTTCTCCTGAAAGTTGTGACGCAGAACAGCAAGCTCGCTCAGTCGGCTTGCATCCCCCTGTTGCTCCACCAGAAGCTGTAGGTGGTCGAGTTCAGCTTTGCTAGAAACAAAGTTCTGGTACGCATCTTTGCGCAATCTCCAAAAGGTGGCGGAGTAGTCCTTCAGATTGTCTCCGTCTGTCCTGAATTTCTTCAGTTTGCTGAGTATTTAGGCTCTCCGTAAGGAAAGTTAGGTTCTGCTGATTGTGAAGGTTGGTCTCGTCGGTACCAGGAATGGCGGCAGGGGACCGATTCTCGATGTGTTTAAGGCGGGGATTGCTTCTATATTGAGATACATTGCATGATCTGAGCCTATGCGAGGGGAATAGTGGGAGCAACAGAAGAGATCGAATGAGAATTGGGAGAGGATCATTGAGCCATATTCGTCATATACGGTGTGCTCTACCTACCAAGTAGACCGAAGAAAAGGGAACTAGACCCACTCGGTAGTACCCAATCAAAGCCTTCATCTTCCTCAGTTACTTTCGTTGTGCTCGCTATACAAGTCAAAAACAATAAGCACAAAGTAGACAAGAAACCGTGCTACGTTGTATTCGCAGAAGGGAAATATAGTGATCAGTCGTCGTCGAATACCAGGTCAAAAGACAGATGAAAAGATACTTGGGAAAGGAGGTTGGAAATACCTATGTACATACTCATCTTTGAATGATCATTGCAAAGCTCGGGAAGACAGCTCGTACATGGCCACTATATTAAGAGTCAATATCCCAAGAGTCCAAAGCATCAAACAACCTGTCCAATTAGGCTGAAACCCCAATGCAGTAAGCATATCCAGCCCACAGCCCCGAACAATCTCCATTAAGAGCCGGATTAAGCTTGTATAATTCCTCAAGCGCGATTCCAGCACTAGCGGCCATGTCGTAGCAATATACCCCTTTCACTCCGTCAGTCAAGTTCAATCAGTGATAGTAGACCACTTACCTTCTTTTTGCATAACCCAGCTGTTGCAGTTCTTGGGAACACCATCTTGAGTCGGACCTGGGGCTGGCACAGAGGTCTGTGTCGGCTGATCTGCTGTGGTCGTGATTTTCGATGTTGGTGTTCCCGCTGTTTCAGTGATGGAAGTGGTGGTCGTATCTGTATCGCCCCGAACACAATAACTGTAGTAGATTAGCTGATTTGCATATAAGAAGGAGGTACAATGCAAAAGCTTACGCGACATCAAGGAGCAAATTGGAACACTCCTCGTCGAGTTGCGGGTTCCAAGTGCGAAGCTGCGCGAATGTGATTCCATACACGTTCTGCAAAAGCGAGCAAGAATCCTTATCGACGATGGTATGCCTAGAAAAATTTAGCTTGTGAATTTATTGCGTGGCATTTATCATTTACTTACCAAGTGTAGCAATTCGAGGTTGTCCCCGTCGGGGTGGGAGCAGGAGGCGTCACATACGTCAACGTAGTTGTTCCATTGGTAGTGGCATTCCAATTTGCGGTCGGATAGACACAGTAATACAGACCCGGAAACAGGTTTGAGCAGGCTGCGTTGATGGCTGGATTGATTGAAAGGAAAAGATCAAGGCTGATCGAGTATATGAGGGAGATCTGTTCGCAGTCATCACCATCAGCGGCGGGATAATAGCCCCCACACTCTTTCGTGGTTCCATAACCTGTTGGACCGGCTGCTGCCACGGTGCTAGCTGCGTATTGAGCTGTTTTTGTAGCAGTGGCCCCAGGAATGGTGGTTGGTGTGTATGTTGGACCGGAGGCGCCTACACAGACATTATCACCGGAGTTCAGGTTCGAGCACGCTCTGTTGATGGATGGATTATAGCTTATGAGGTCTGCAATGGTGAGACCGTAGGAATCGGCGATGGAGTTACAGCTGTCTCCATCTTGGACTAGATAGACGAGACAAGCTCGTGGAAGGCACCTAGAAATGTAAGTAATAAATACATTAATAACGTGAAATGAACCTACAAATACTGCCCGGCAAGCAGATTCGATCCGTCCGGGAAGATCCCGTTTAGCGTTCTCAGTGGGCCAGTGGGGACTTTCTGGGCCTTGGCAATGGACTGCATGTCGTCGCCGGACTTGGCAGAGTAGAAGTTGCCGGAGAGGCAGGAGGCGTTGGAGGGAGTTGAGTAGTCGATGCCAGGGATGGCGGTCATATTGGTAGCAGGAGGCTGCACTTCGGTGGGCAGTGCCCCTGTGTTGCAGGTGTCCTGGATTTTGACATATTCATCCACCAACTGCTCGTCGTAGTTGGAATACGCCGTCTTCTGTATTTGCTGTATCAGATTTAAAACACATGTCGAGCATAGTTGATCTTTTGATACTGCTGCTAAGGCTGTATCAATGTCACCCAGGGCTGCTTGGATGTCTCCGATCGCATCTAGAAATTGTTAATCGGGTGACTGCATTTTAGTAGTAGGAATCGGGGCAGTTACCGGTGCAGTATGTGTTAGTCTTAGGGTCCTTCAGGCAAGTCCTGTTCCAGGTCGACCATAAGACGTCTCCCGCCCACACAGCTGGGACTCCATCCCAGGGCTCGACGTCGCCGGCACATTGTTGTTTCACAGAAGAATGATAGGTCTCCAATGCGCTGCCGCAACCTTCATCACATAATTGATCTTGGAAGGTCTGATTGCCCACTGGGCCAAAGTAGTCCGACATGGAAAGCGTAAGAAGATAAGGATCACAGTTTAGCTCTTTCTTCAACGCAGAAGTGCACCCATCCGAAATAGAGGCCGTGGCATTGGTTCCATATTCGTATAGATCGATCTGCGCAAAGACAGACGCGACGTAAGTGATAACAAGTATAGCAGTAAATTTCATGGCTGCAGGTATTCTCAAAATCTTTCTGAGGTGTCAAACAGACCATGGAGAATTGGGATCAGCAGGTGGAGGGTGGGTGGATGTATACCCAAATCACCCAGCTCTCACTTCCCAATATCAGAGTGAGGTATTTTCTTTCTTCGCTGACAAGAATGACTTCACAAGATTGAACTATATGATAGTGAGTATGTAGATCGGAGATCTGAAACGACTAATGTAGCCAAGACGAGGGGAAACTAGACCCCATAACACTAAAAGTGTTCGGTGGCACTAGTGCGTTCTTCAAAAGGCAGTGAACTTCCGAAGGAGACAGGGATCGCAATCCAAGTGATGTCAGACTTATCAGGGGAAAATAGCATTCTTCCGATGATGTTTTCATTTGTTCATCTACAAGAGTTGTAGATGAAAGCAAACTTGGAAAAGGATCACCTAGAGATTTAGTGCTTTGTGATGGAGGGTGTGATGAACAGGGATTTTGGGGCGAAAAGTCCCGGCCTACACTAGGATGTGCTAATGCATCTGCAATCAGGGTATTTAGGCCTGTTCGAAGAAGTCAAGGCCCAGAGCTAGTAGCTTCGTGTCTTTTGGATACTTCTTTGGCAATCTTTTGAGTGTGCTTTAGACTCCCGTTTTATATTTGATATCTTGCATTGTTATATGGCCCCCAAAATGAAGTCTTGGGCTATACTTCTACTTGCACTATGGTGCTGTCCCTGTCTTGGTCAGGACTATACCTGTAGCGCCGACAAGCCATGTGAACTTGGCTGCTGTTCGAACACAGGAGTCTGTGGAATGGGACCTGACTTTTGCGGAGAGAGCTGCATATCCAACTGTGATAGCAAGTCGGATTGCAACCCAGGTTGGGGCATGAAGGTAATTGCCACTCCATCTCAAGTTAAATCCATTGAAAAGAACTGACTTTGTAAAGTGGTCCGTGGCAGACAAATGTCCCCTCAACGTGTGCTGTTCTGAATATGGCTTCTGTGGAACCACCAAGGACTTTTGCGGCAACAAAACCATCGAGTCTCCCAGCTGCTCCGGATCTAGCGCATCTAAGCGTACAATTGGATACTATGAGAGCTGGGGCATTACCCGCAAATGTGACAAAATGTACCCAGAATGTATGTTTTCCCTTGCCCATATACGTCTTGCGCGCACTCGTGTTGATATCAGCCAGCTATTCCTCTTGGATCATATACACATCTGAATTTTGCCTTTGCCTTCATTGATCCCACTTCATTCAAAGTGGCTCCGATGGATAGCGGAGATGTTGCGTTATATAAAAGATTCACTGGGCTCAAGAACCTCTATCCTGACCTCCAGACTTGGATATCCATTGGAGGCTGGAGCATGAACGACCCCGATCAACCCACTGCTACCACCTTTTCAGACCTGGCTGCATCAGAGTCGGCACAGAAGAAGTTCTTTGAATCCTTGCTTTCCTTCTTAGAGACATACGGCTTTGATGGCGTCGATCTTGATTGGTATTTTCATCCCACGCCCTTAGTTGGTAACTACACCACTCACTATTCAACCTAGGGAATATCCAGTAGCTGAAGAGCGCTCAGGCAAAGCCGCTGACTACAATAATTACACTTTTTTCTTGAAGAATCTCCGTAATGCCCTCGCATCAAGCGGGCATACATACGGGCTCACCATCACCATCCCATCTTCTTACTGGTATATGCAACACTTTGACATTGTCGAGATTGAAAAGACAATTGATTGGTTCAATATTATGTCCTACGACCTACACGGTACTTGGGACAACACCAATAAATATCTGGGCCCTTATATCAATGCGCATACCAACTTGACCGAAGTTAACTTGGCATTGGAGCTACTTTGGCGCAACAAGATTGACCCTGACCACGTCGTTCTTGGTCTGGGCTTTTATGGCCGGTCATTCACTCTCACTGATCCCAGTTGCAATACCCCCGGGTGTATTTTCACATCAGGGGGCAATGCAGGGTCTTGCACAGACTCTGTCGGGACACTCTCGTACTCAGAGATCAAGCGTGTGATAGATAAAGATAACGCCAAGGTGACTTTAGACAAGAAAGCCGCCGTCAAGATGGTCACTTGGGGCGAGAACCAGTGGGTCAGCTATGATGACGAGGAAACTCTCAAGCTGAAGCTGGACTATGCCAATAACCACTGTCTTGGCGGTACCATGGTATGGGCCGTATCGACAGATGATTCCGAAGGCACAGCTTCGGCGGCACTATCGAAGTTGACGGGCCGTAGCACCATCGCATTGTCAGCCAAATCACTTGCTTCTACCACTGACCAGGTTCAATCTTGCCAATTGGGCGAATGCGGCCAATCTTGTCCGAATAGCCTTAGCCCTGCCCAGCGGAGCGATGGCAAGAACAGAGGTAACACGGGTACCAATACTGGATGCTCCAACGGCAAATCGCGTCTTTACTGCTGTCCAACCGACAATATGCCCACTTGCCAGTGGCGTGGCGGGGCTCCATTTTGCAATGGCAAATGTCACAAGGGAGAGGTCGAAGTGTCAAGCAGCATCAGTGGGACAGGAAAGAGTTGCTGGACTGGGCACAAAGTGCTTTGCTGTACGCAGACTGCGGCCAACAAAGCAGTTGCTGAGTGTGGCTGGTCAGGAAGTGCGCCTTTCTGTGCTGGAATTCATAGCAATGCAGGCTGTCCCTCAGGACGGGAGCGACTAACTTATTCCAATTACGGTGCTGGGGGAGAGGAGCCTTGTATTGTCGGTTATAAGTCCTTCTGCTGTGATCAGCCCCCTCCATACGAGAACTGCGACTGGTACTACCATGGTGGAAAATTCTGGGGTTCTGTTCCCTTCCAGTGCTCTGGAACGTGCCCTGCTGGGAAAGCTTCCATCGCGACCGATCCTTCTGGGTGCATGTCAGGATATGGATCATTCTGTTGCGATTCGCCAGCTACGAGTGTATGTGGAAGTCCCTTTGTGGTCCCTGTTACTTGCAATCTTTGCTAACACAAGTAGAATGATCCCCTCGTTACGGCTTTTAAAACTCAGCTACAGAAGTACTCCAAAGATCCCGTCTGCGACAAAGGCCAGCGCCAGTATTCAAAGCGGGACACCATCGAAATGGGTTTGCAAAAGCGCCATAGTTTGAACAAGGCAGACTGGACTAGTCTGCTAATTCATTTGACCGCCATTGCGAAGGGCAACAGCCCGACCTATCAGATGACGTTGATGGAGAGCGAGTATAATTCTAGTGATCCGTTGGTGACCCTGGACGAGATTGTTCAGTTCCAGGCTGAGTGGTAAGTGCTGTATTTATTTCCTCTGGAACATTAAATGAACTGATGGTACAGGCCTAATGCTGAGCCTATTGCACGGACCGAAAGTCTTCTGTGCTTGGGAACGCATGGGAGAAACGAGGTCGCGGACTCTCTGGATGCTGGGTCCCAGCTTTGCACGTTGGCTTGCCCTGCTGCAGGCCTTGATAAACGTTCCAACGCTACAATTTTGCTGTCAGCGGCGAAGAGTGTATCTGCTAGAAACATTGCGGAATCAGAGGAGCTTTATAGTTCCTCGGAAGGATTTGGACAACCAAGCTGGGGTATGACTCCTACCTCTCACACTCTGAATGCGCACTAACCAAAATAGGTTATATAATGCAAGGAATTATGGACGGTGCATTAACCCTAGAGTATGAGATGTTGGTCCGTACTAGAGGAGAGGAGTATATTTTGGAAAGTAAGTGACATTATCTTGGCCAGCAATGTACAATGTAGACGTCTGCTTATACGATGCAGTTGTATGGCGACTGCCTGATGGCCCGGGATATCGAGAGACTAACAGCGATGAATACGCGGTGTTTCATTTCCACTTCGACCATATCATGGATCGCGATGGTGTACTCCGGGCTGGAATATACGCCATAGTGGCCTTCCATGGCCAGGAGTATGTTGAGCAAAACAGGTATCCTCGTGTGGATGGCAACGACAATCAAGGTGACAATCGACGAGCTCACGTGTTGAATTGCAACACGGGCAACGAGGTGACTCCCAACACTCGTTACTTCTATCCTGGGGGCGGACGGGAGTCCGACTATGATAATGAGCATCACCGGATGATTTGGCGTTTTGCAAACTATCTACACGAGGAGGACTTGGTAACGGAGCAAACATTCACGGGAGCTCAACGGGGTCAGTTGACGAGATATCGCGATGAGGAGGATCCATGCTCGACGCGATGGTACTTTAGATGGGGACGCTATCGGCAGAGTCGACCCTTCACCCCTAATTATATTTTGGGTGAAGCTGCTGAGGACGACATAATGGATGATAATGACGATGTGTAGATACACAGACCGTAAATATAAGCGAAGGAACCAGGATGGATTGACTCATATCAAATAACTCCTATGATATCACCGAGAGAACCCCGCACTTGAGCAAGTTAAATATAAAGCAAGAGTTCTCTTCTTCTCCAGCCTCACCACCATACCATGTCATATAAACTCACTAGAGAAGACGTCACCTGGGGAGTTGAGGAGTCTGCGGCCATTCGGGCTGCCGGTAATCCCAATCCAGCCGTCCTTCGTGCTCTGTTGGATTACCATAAAAGAAAACTTCGTGAACTAGCAGGGTGCTCTCCCAATGCAAATATCAGCGGCGGCAACATGGGCACCTACGAATCTCCGCTCACGGCTGCCATTCGCGTGAATTCATCAGAAAATGTTCGGACGCTTCTGGCCCGTGGCGCAGATCCCACAGGCATCCACATTTGGGATTTATCTGACTACTCTGCGAGGTTCATGCGTGGTCGAGACGCCAAAGTCGACGTCTCGAGTTTTGGCCCGTGCCCTTCACGACTACATATTCTAGAAGTCGCAAAGAGCAAGGGAATCACCGAGCAGACACAGCCATTGACACAAGCCGAACTGGATGAGCGGCGCACCAGCTTTCCACGATTTTGGACTGAGCCAAATGTCCCAGGCCAGCGACTGAGGATGAACAAAGGCATCACAGCTTTAGAAGTGGCTGCTGGCCTGGGCTTTGAGGATCTCTTCGCGCTGGTTCGCGAAGCGGGAGCAGATGGGTCTGCCTGGATCAGCGCTTCCGGCCAAGCCAACTTCGATGACACTAAGCCATCGTCCCTAAGCATCACATCCCCTATCCACGAAGCCATTGAACATGGTCAACACGCTATGCTCGAACGGCTACTCAATACATATCGCTATTCTCCCAATTATCGGGCAATGGCAGCTCCCACAGTTGCCTTTCCGCCGCTTTCTTTTGCACTGGGTCGATGCGATCCAAATGATCCCAATATCCGGGCCTGTATCAAACATCTTCTCGCGCACCCGGATATCGACTTAAATCTCCGCACGCCTATCTTCGAAATTCATCCACTTCATTTGGCAGTTGCTCGCCATGACCCTGAACTCCTATCCTTTCTCCCTATGCCACTCTCCAGCGCAGGCACGACGGCTTTGGGTCATACATTGCTTCACATCGCCTCGCTCCCACTTACCTCAATGTCCATGAACCGAGAAATCCCAGATGCCGTGCGAAGTGTTCACTGCGCCCGCACCCTAGATTCTCAGTGGCTTCCGCATTCACAACCCAGCCCGCTGCACTTGGAAACAACAAAAGGAGTCGCCATCGAAGTGCCATTCACCCCTATCGATCCACCGACACCATTGACTCCTGCTGAGCAGGATGCACAACTCAGCACTCTTCGCGTGCTTGCTGATGCGAGGATCGATGTACGCGCCCAGGATGTGGATGGAAACACTGCATTGCACTATCTTTCCACTGCCTTGAATGGTGATCCCAGAGCCATGCAACTATTACGGGAGATGGAAGGGGGCGAAGAAGTCTACAATAGTTGCAAGAATCGGGAGGACCTGACGCCCCGTGCCCTGTGGGAAGCTTGCAACGCTTCGTGATACGGGCAACAGATGTATCTAGAATCATATCGGTAATTTCAGTTCTCAGGTGGCATTTCGTGACTTTAGATGTTCAACAAATGCATCAGGAGAATAGACAAACAATGGGTCTAGACTTTAAAGCTTCTATTCTAGTCGATCCCTTGTAGCACTACACAAAATCAGTGTTAATATAGACCACCCTATAGAGTTATTACCACAATTTATGGTCGTGGAGTATGTTACACGGGCTCCACCAAACCCTAATTCAACGCCCCTTCCACCCAACTTCCTCGGGTTGCCTAATCTGTCACTCCGGGGATCCCGCATGTAAGCAGAGCGTGCCACGATTGATTCGCTGCTGATAGAGACTAGAGAGATATGCGTGAATAGCCGGGTTGGAATGAGGTGCGGGGTACATTGTAAATGGAGGGGTTACATGTCCATTGCTTTGTTTAGTGCGCAAATCTGTGGGGAAGTCTGGGGTATGATCTGAGCTACAGTACATGCATGTACGGCTAGGCGTGTTTCCATTTACTGCTATGACATGTTGGTCTGTGGAGACCACATGGCTGTTCAGATACATGTGGAAACAGACGCAAGTCAAAGCTATGAGCAGAGATTTTACAATTTCCAGATTTGTCTTGGTTCATTCTATTTCAAATACATCATTGTTCATAATGGGAATCTATGATTCCGAGTAAGATAGTAATCCACCCGAAATATCCAAAGTTATAAAACCGTATCACGACGCGTAAATGCAGAAGTTCAGGACAACTGGGAATCTTATAAAACAAGCCGCGAAGAAAGATGACAATAGGCTAGTAAACACACCGGTTGATACACAACAGTGTGATTGGGAACAATAAAGTCATGAAAAATAGATGGCCATATAACATAATAGTTGCTTATTTGGCAACTTCTCTAACCTTCTGGCTGGTATCATCGTTGAGCTCGGAAACCGTGGAGCCCTTGCAAGGCTTGTTGTGCTCACGCTCGATAGCGAACTTAACAGCCTCGAAGACATTCTCACATGTCTTCCTGGGCGGGTACCGCGGGACAGTTCCATCCTGGTAAACGCCAGTCTTAACGAGGATCGAGAACCAGTCGTTATCCGTGGTCTCGTTGAACTCATTCGTGCCACGGATATCGGACTCCGGCGTATCGCCAATGAAGTACACAGTCGACGGAGGCTTGTTGATACCGCAAGAGTCACTGCGCCATTTCTGTAAAAGCCGGGTGGCGAATTTATAAGTGCCGATTTGGGGCTTGCCAAAGGCAATGGTGTTGAGATCCTTTCCTGTCAGGGCTCCGTACACAGCTTCCAGGAGGCGCGCAGCGCACCCATTCCAAGACGCGAGTGTTCGTGTGAGGTAGACCACACAACATCGGTGTGCGAGAAAAAGACAGGTGGGCCCTCTTGGAAGGTTTCCGACCGTGTGTTCAACCACCCGTCTTTTGTCATGAGGCAGTCTAGGATGATCTGTTGGTCGCCGGCCCAATCACGGCTGTCGGCGAAAACGAAGATCGCTTCGATGCGGAGATTGTCGAGATCGAGGAGGCGCGAGTTCTCGAGTTCCTCGTCTGTTAATGTGCGGAACGGTGTCGTGTCGTGTCGCGTCTTGATGATATCGCCGGGCGTGATTACATCTTTAAATCCATATCCCTCAGCCACGATACGGCACTTCTCGCCCTCGCCACCGACCACTAGGACAGTGTGGTATTTCTCTGCCATATCACGCATGGGTGTGTGACCGCAAATGAATTGGCCAGGGTCGACCTCGAGGTCGAGTTGGCGACTGAGATCGAGACATCGCTCTTTCTCGGTCTTACCACCGCCGTTGGTGAGGAAAATGTAAGGACTAAATAGAATGCGATTAGGATGTTTTGCCTGAAAGGTTTCCCCTCACCCCTCACTCAAGAGTGCGGAGAACAGAACACACAGGGCAAGTACTCACACCTTGACTCCGTACGGGTTTTCACCATTGATGTATTTCATCGCATCGACGGCTGCAGGGATAGGCTTTCCGCCCTTGATGAGGACGCCGTCGATGTCAAAGGCCAGCGCAAAGTCATCGCTAGTGACAGCGGGGGGTTGGACATGGGAGTAGGGATTTGAGAGTAGTCATCTTCAGACGAGACTTCTTCTTCGTGGTGAGTTTTGGTCATATTCGAGTGGTTGGAGATATGTTCAGAATCAGAAGCCATTAAATGCTTGGGAGGAACGACAACAGTGGGTCCGCCATAAAGGACTGACTGAGCAGCATCCAGGCTGTCGAGTCGGCGGAACGTCTTTGCGTATCCGTCAGATGTAGCCATTGTGAATGGAAAGTGAGCGAGTGGGTCTGAAATGCGGGTACAATGACGATGTTAATCGCTGCCTGTTGAGTTGCGATATAACCGGTTGAAAATCGTCAAACACACTGTCAAACAGACGCTTGAAAGTTCAATGAGATTGTGAAAAGATTGTGATAAGCGTCAACGATTATGCAGGCTGCAGGAGGATCAAGTAGATCACAGCAAAAAGTAGAGCAACTTGAGTCAAATGAGTTAGGGTAGATGGAGCCTGTGGGGACGAAGGGCCATTTATATAGCAGACTAAGGCCCAAACGGAGTAACTACAACATCGTCGATCCTGTTACCCAAGGGCAGGGGTCCCCACACTTGAATGACCTTCGTCATCGGCCATTTTGGGTTGGGACTGCGTATCTCTAAGCGTTTTGAAGTCGAACGTAGCTGTGGATACACAACGGCGCACTCTTGGCGCAGGAATCCGTTGGATAAGCTGATTTGTCCAAGAGACATCCGAGTTCAAATGGTGGAGCCCTGTGGAAAAGAACAGTTGACGTAGGGGAAATCAGTACTAATCAAGTATCTGATTCCTTTGGTTGCAGCATTCGAACTCATCCAAGCCTTTCGGCGTGGCGTGATCGGTACTACCGAAAGTACTACCGAGAGGCGATGTCTTTTCGGCGTCTCGTATTTCTAATCTAGCCAACCCGTGCTCAGCCATCAAAGTCTCCGGAGAAAATTCAACGTGCGTCCTCCGACTGGATGATGTCGAGCCAACGAGCGTCACTGCGGGACATGTCGGGATATTGACGTCATTATGCTGACTCATTACAGGAACCGGATTAACAAGAAAAAGGGCACCACAAATTATCTCTGGATGATCAATGGAATCAGAGTATGCTAGGCCGTATAAAGACCATTGTGCGCCATAGTTAGAGCTGAGTGGTCCGCACCAAGGGGATCAAGCGGCACGGCGCCGCCACATGTCGGCCGGTGCCACCTCGGCCGGTGCCACCTCCAGGGGGGAAAAAAAGAAAGAAAGAGAGAGAGAGAGGCGTGTGTAGAAGTATCCACAGTCTTGATATCTCAAACATCCAGTGAAATAGTACATACAAGGGCCCCTATCCCCTAGCCGGACATTTCTCGGACAACCAAAAGTTCGCGCCAAAGCCGGCCAGAGCGCCAAATGCTGTCACTGTGCATGCACCCGTGGACGGGCCGCGAGTCTGTTTTTATGACGGAAGCAGCCCATGATCGAGGGACATAAGGGTTCCAAGAGCAGAGGTGGGCTGGCGTCATGCGCGGCTGTCGGGGCACAGCTCAGCGTGCGGAGAATGGTATCCTGGTAGTTTGTATAGAAGAGGAAAATATAAAGTTGCCTTTTTAGTTTGGGTCTGCGCACAGTCTGTACACATTGATCATTAATCCTCCTGAAGCAATGAGGAGGTCACGATGGACAGGGTGTTAATGATATGGTTCTGGACTCGATTTTGGGCTCTTTCACAAGCTCTGCTGAAGAGACGGTTTCTCTATCATATAGGTCCTTTGACTTTCATGTTGTCGAGGGATACATGTGGAAGCAAGCATGAGATCTTGACCCATAGAGGGGGTTTGCCGACACATTGAAGATCGTGATCGACCGAGTCTGGGGAACCCTGTCTACGTCTCCACTCTGCTGTTATGGCTATCATGATCCGAGAATCCCTTTGATATCGTCGATAGTATTGCATCAAGGGAGTATCCACAGAGAATAGCCCCAATCACGATTCTTTCGGGTAATAGAACCCTAAGGAGATGATTGGCAAACCGTCGAGCCTTGACCTTAAGTGCTTGGATCGTTGGATCTCGTGTGGCTTGCGGCGGTGGCTGCCTTATTACGTGGAAATTCGAGCGCGAAGTCGTTAACACGTTGTCGAGCAAACAAGGAAGGTGTTGATAAAGGAGACGGTTGACGACTGCCTGTGATCAAAGCTTTGTGAACAGGGCAGTCAGGCCACCATGAATCTTAAATCGATTCACGCTCATCCATTTTCAACTATATGCTTTATTCTCGCTACCAGCTCCTTAAAGTGAATGTAAAGGTGTGAATTCTATATATACAAGTTACGTTTCATCAACACGTACAACAACAAAAGAAAGGCCAAAGAGAACGAACCACCCATATCAACAATATCAACAACAATGGCAAAGAAAGAAGAAATAGGAAGGAAAACTTATAATCTACAAGAATGAAAAAACAGGGACAAAACACACCAACCCTCAATCAACCCTCAAAATCAAATCCTCGCCCCTCCTCGAAGGCGTCAAATTCCGACTCGTAGGAGAAACACGATTGGAAACCGTAACAGCCTTTTTCTTGGGACTATCAGGGTAATGCACATCCCCAGAAAACAAATCGGAAGGATAAGGCAGTTCTCCAGAAGGATTTCTCGATTTTGGCGGCACAAGAGTGCGTCCACGCTCTAGCCAGAGATCATCAGGACAGTAGGGTGCGACGACTTCACTGGGTGGGCGTGGACTATTGCGGATTTGGACTCTTTTTATATCCTTTCCCTGTACGATGCGGGGTTTGGAGACGATTTCTGAGCCTGCGGGGAGGGTTGAGGAGGATGGGATTGGGGACGGTTGGGGGGTTTGGGCTGGGGGTTTGTTGGCGGTGCGGTTTTGGTCTTGGGCTTTTGTGGTGAAGGGTGGGAGGAGAGTGTTGGTGTTGGTGTTGGAGGTGGATGTGTGATTTGATGTGTTGGCGGTGTCGTTTGGTGCTGTGCTGCTGTCTGATGTTGAGGTTCTGAGGGTTGAGGTGTGGGAGAATGGTGGTGCGAGGGCTCTTGGGGGTCCTGGTCTTGGTCCTGCTGGGATTCGTACTCCTCCTCCCTTGTATGCACGGGGGTTGGCTGGTAGACCGGCGAGCTTAGGTGCGACTCCTGGTTTTGGACTGTTTCGTGTTGTCTTCCCTGTTGCAAATGCAGCTTGTTGACTTTCGTCTTCTTCGAAGAGGGTCTCTCCACTGGCTGGTCGGTGGCTCCATTTAAGTGGCTTTGGATATAGTCCGATTGAGCCCTCGGGTATCAGTCGTGCCACGCTGTGCTGTGAAGATTGGGTTCGAGGGGACGTATCCCAATCGGAGTCTGAGCTGATGGCGAACCCTATTCGCTCTTGTCGACTGGAATGGTTGTTCGGAGGTTGGTGGGAAGCTGAAGCATAGCCAGGAGAGTAAGGTGACTGTGGCCGGATGAAGGCCATCGGTTGAACAGAACTCATTTGCTGTGTATTTCTTCCCTCGGAGCTCACTGGACTGGGTGAGGACCCGGGGTCTAGGCCAGATGTTGGGAGTCGGGGCATCGGTTTCGAAAAGTCGGGAGGCTCAGTCATGGCACCTCCAATCTCGAAAACATGGGGGTCTGACACGCTTCTTTGTTGTTTTCTCCGTCTCTTGCAGCAAAAGAATACAGCGACGCCGATGATGAAAGACCCTGCTAAGCCTGATGCGACTGACATTCCAATGACTGCTGCTGCACTGATTCCATGGTGATTTTTCTTGTTCGTATCTGCAGAGATGTCACTAGAAGGGACAGAAGTCGGCTCGGTGCTAGTTGTTTGTTGGGTCTCAGATGCTGAAGACAAAGGATTATAAAACGTTAGATCCGAAGACGCACTCGAAGTAGTTGAGGAAGTAGCCGGTGTCGGCGTCAAAGACATTATTGAGGTCATAAAAACCACAGTCGTTCCCGCAGAGTCAGTCGATGATGCTTCACCCGTAGTTGCTGCACCTCCCTTCATCGTGATAGTTGAGTCAGATAAGATCGTCGTGGTATGCGTTTTACGTGTTTGCGAAAGAGCACCGGAAACCGAATCACAGATCCGATATGCATTGGAGCTTGTAAGCACTTCCTGCGAACACCCAGAAAGCACGCAACTCAAAGCCGCACCCCCCAACGACTCGCCGCTGGTTGATTTATGCCGGCAAAGACACGGGATATTAGACGGCGATTTGCATTGTTCGGGTGTGAATTCGGATTTGATGAAGCTATTCAGGCAGTCCAGCGCACAGTCCGGGACCATACTCAGTAAAGATGAGTCGGATGTGTCATCAGAGGTATCCGCATCGGCTGCATAGCCGACTGGAAGTAATAGTAGGATCGCAACGAGTATCCCGTGAATAGAAAGAACGGGCATACTGCGCTAGCCCTATAGACGGCAAACATCAGCGAATCTTCAACCACAAACAACTTCAACCCTTCTACCAACCTTGTAAAATCATGAATGGGAATATTACCCGCGAACATCTGCAGTGTATATGGTTACCATCGTCAGTGGTGGTAGTGTAAACAATGCGAAAGCAACAGAGCGTCGAAGTATCGAACAATCAACACTCGAAAGACAGTGTCAAAGTAAGCCAAAAAACCCACCAAGAAGGGACGCAAGCCTAATTAACCACAACACCAAAGCGCAACGCCCTCTTACGCGCGAAGGCAAAATTACTCATGACGCTGGCCATGTCCCGGGCAGACCCAGAGGCTGAGTCTCCCGACCATCCTGAAACACAGTGCTGGAGGCTGTGCCTTTGTAAGCGCTACAGTGAAACCCCGTATGACATATTATATGATCGGAGTAGCCTCGAAGCAGACGAATGGCTGCAGTGGCGTAGCGCCTTGGTTTGGTGGGCGTCCCTGCAAGCGGCTGCGATACGCGCCGGGCCATCGTGGGCGCTTAGGCTGCAGAACAAGTTGTTGATGGCGCCCAGACTAGGTTTCAGATCTTGGATGCTTAGTGGATGGTTTATTTTTCTGTGTCTTGGTTGGGTTGTTGCGTGGTGTTGTGGTTGGTGTCTATTTCTTCGGTCTTCTACCCGCCAGCGTTGGACTGCATCTTAGGATTTCTGGAAGACTTCGATTCTGGGAATCATATGTTCGGTGAATCAAGTGATTGGCCTCGGGTTACCTGGTCCTAAAGGTGCATGTGTTGCATTACTCACGGCCAGACTTGTTCGTTGTCGCTGTACATAGGCTTTGGCGTGCATCCTCGGATTGTACGGTCTGCTCAGACCTACTTTGTGCAGAGCCACTTGATGCCAATCAGTTCGACATTTTCAATAATTTCAATAATTTCAATCAAGACGTAGCCCCACAAGGCAGGCTCATCCCGGGGTCAGTTTGTCCAATTTATGCAACTGTTATGCTCCGACAGGTCCCGCCAGGTACCAGAAGCCATAGGAGATACCTCTACGTAGAATGAAATGCGTTTAAACCGAGTTATAAATTCATACCCATGAATCATCAGGCTAGCTAACGGGCATTGATACGAAACAACGATGCCCCAGAACATGGTATGAGCTGGTATCAATCGAAACGAAAAAGCAAGAACCCGCAGCAGAACAAAGGAAACAACAAAAGAAAAGCATGCCACAGAACAACACAAGATTAGGGAATTATGGACATCATGCCGGATCCGATGCCAAGTGGCGGAGGCTGCATCAGGCTAGTCCCAACCGGACCTCCTCGGGCCCACGCTGACACCCTCATATTGAATCGTACCGCCCCTTGCTTGAGGGGAATGAAGGTGAAATTGGTCACAGGACTTGCTTTTCACGAAATATCGAGTGGCAAGTATTATTGGCTGCGACGGTGTGGGGAACGTGGGTATCGCTAGTATTTGAAGATGATGTAGCTGCGAGAAAGAGTCAGTAGGGTGATCGCGGAAAGCCGGAAGAACTGTCGTCACAGTGGGAGACACGTACATGGCGTGGATGATACCAGGGATCCATCCCAGGATGGTTAAACAGATGTTGATCAGGAGGTCAGCACCACATCCGCGCTCCAGGAAGACACCCAGAGGAGGCAGAATGATGGCGAAGATGATCTTGCAGATGTCACTATCAACAACAGTTAGCAGACTGGTGGATTTTCTCTTGCGAGCAACACCGCGGCAGGACAGAGCGACATGACGACATGGCGCAAGTCGGATCCAAGACAGGGAGATGCCGGGGTAGACTGAGGCAGACTGGGAATGCGCAAGATAAGAGCAACTTACGAAGCGGTGAAAGGCATTTTGAAGGATGGTAAAGTTGGAGCGAGAGAAGGGAGACGGGAGAGAGGAAGACTTAAAAAGGAGAGCAGCCCTGGGCAGCTTGGGTCATTACATCATGCCGCCGCTCTGTGTGGCGCATGTACTCAAGGCACCGTTGTGGCTGTACTTTCTCTTTCTTTACTGTAAGTTATCTCTGCACTTTTTCTTTCCCTGTTTCCTGTTTCCATTTTTACCTTTCTTCTCTAATTCTGATTTGCAGACAGGTTGAGATTGTAACTGCGATCGTTCATCCCGTCCTCGGCTCAACATGCCAAGATGATGATTAAGGGATTTTCTGCGCTAGCGGCTGCAACTCCAATCACCCTCACTCTGCCCTATCCCGTGCAGCCTTTTGCTGGCTGCCTGGTTGATGCTTGGCGGCGCCATAGGCTGCATTTTTCATCCTTCTATGTTTGACCTTTGTTTTGCTTTTATTCAAATATTCAGCCTCCATCTTTGAGGGGCGCTAGGTCTCATGATTGACGATCACTTCGAATGGTACAGAGTAAACTTTGTCCCCGGGGATCATCGCTCCAAGTACCTGCTTGTTGTACAACTGGTGGCGCTGCACCTTCGAGCCAAACAATGCCAGCCCTATAATGGGCCCTGGCCCACCTGCCAAGGCGCTTGCAACCATATGTCATCGGCCTATGACTTCACATTTCACTGGGTGGCTGGGACCGTTGTACTTGTGTCTGTCTAAACAGGGAGGGAGGCATTGACGCAATCAAGGGAAGCACTCGCGTACTTTTGTTTTGTATAGTACGGTCCGTACAATAAGAGCAAAAGTAGGGAATAAGGTAAGTTATTTGAATGTAGAACACCAAGTAAAGTTGGTGAGCTTGTCTATACAGAGCCGTCCAGCCAGCCTGAGCCAAAATCGATATCGTCCAACAAGGAGTTCCACTGTGGGACGTCTAGATCTGGCGCGACAGCCACAAAGTCAGACCAGAGCTGCTGCCAGCCTTCCTCCCCAATACCATCTGTCAAGCCTCCACTTGGAGTGCACCCAGACTGCATCTGCAAGCTCTGATCACCTTCATTGGCCATTGACAGTTCACCGGGCCCACCAGTCAGCATATTGTTCAGTCCTGTTTCGCGAGCCGCCACGAATGGCTCCTTTATCCCTGTCAGATATCTTGGCTGCGAGGTTGATAGTCGTGGCTGTTGTTTCTGAAGCGTCGACATAAGAGTCTGCATGTTTCTCTGTACGCCCTCCACCAGTGATCCGGACTCTTGCTTTGATTTCTCCAAGGTCTTGTAGGCAGCAAGGACCTTCGCCTTGCGAGCCTCGGCGTCTGGCGCATTGGGGTGGAATGAGACGTCCGTTGCTAGGATAAGCGCTGCGAGAAAGACGTGCTGGCTGACTCGCCAAAAGCGCGCAGGATAGCCTCCAGCTTCGGGGTCGATGTCGTCCATTGCACGTCTTAGCTCTAATACGGCCTGGGCTGAGCGAATGCATGCGCTGTGGGAATAGGCATATTTGGGATTCGTCACGCCTTCAAGATGGTAGCGTCGATGTAATCGGCATAGCCGTGTATGGATGCTGAAGTGAAAATTGATTCGCTGCCATGTGATGTATGGTCGTTCTTTGCAGATGTCCTGACTTCTCTGAACGCTCTCAGGGTCCATTCGGTAGAAGTCTGGCATATTTTCAAAGCATTCATGGAATTTCTTGTCCAGTGCAAGTATCACCTCGTATTCGGGTTCTTGGGCATCTAGCAGGATAGAGGGTACAGCATCAACCACTTCGCGGCAAAGAGTTGCCAGCCGGATTCGCTGGATAGGTCCTGACATTGCTGTCGGAACTGATAAGGGAAAATCCTGCTGAATCCCCGTAGCCGTAAGCAGCTCGTCATCGATGTTGCTTGGGTAGTTCACTTTCATATGTCTTGGTTGGAAGATATATGTGCCTTCATGTGACCGTCCAAAGAAGGAAGCGAGCCTGCGGCTGTCAGCCATTAATCCGATCTCCAATATCATCAGGCTATGTACCAGTCAGTTGCCACCATGTTCCACCAAAACCGTCTTTGAACTTCAATATCGATCATATCGCACCCCTTGACCCTTCGCTCCTCCTGGGCTTGTGCAGTGTCTAAGCGATGAATCTGCAGCGCTTGGGCCATCAAGAAGCACCGAGTTTGCAGGAGACCAATCTTTATAGAGAAACCAACGGTATTGGCAAGCAAATGGCCGAGAGTAGCAATGGCCACTATGGCAGTGGTCGATGGCTGCACAGGCTCAAGTGGATGTTCCAAAATAGAGGTAGCCAACAGGCTGTAAGTATTGAAGGCTGCCCTGGCTTCATCTTGGGTGGCGTTCAATTGCCCCAAAAGATAAGGGGACCAGACCAGGGCTGCACCGGAGAAGATGCTGAACAGCAGCATTAGATTGGTGGGAGTGGGTTGTTCACCATCGAGCATGCCTTGGTAGGTCTGTTCCATAATTGATCGAGTGGAGGGTATATGTAGGATTCCAAATGTCGGCTGTAGGGTATTGACGAAATGATTAAACATGTGCCTTGCCTGTCCTATCGGAGGGAGCTGCTTTATTGCTTCAGTCATGTCGGCCTGTTCTTTGGTACTGCCAGGTTGGTCATCTGGCGTCGACTGATGGTGCAATGCGAAAGGAGTGAACAATGCAGGCATAGATGTCTTGGAGTCCAGATCAATATCATTAAGTGAAAATATGAAAAAATCACAGGACTGGAGCAAATTTACATACTGTGTTTGCAGGAGATCTTAGCGTTGTATAGACTCCCCGGTTCAATTCTCGAGATGCATTTGATTTCTCATACACAGTCTCTTCTAGCTTACGTATTCGATTCAAAATATCATCATTCCTTTCAGGTGTCAGTGAGTCCGGTACAAACAGCTCGAAAATAGGTTCGAACGGGGCATACTGCTTACTGAGGTGTAGACACAGTAGCGGGAGCCTGGGACTGGGCAATAGTCGACTGGCTCGAACTAGCCATACCTAGTGCTTGAGAGGCATCCCTTTCTGAGCTCTCGGGATCCTGTCCAGGGTATTCGCATGAGATGTTCCTTTGCATGCAGTTCGAACATGGCTGGGTGCGATCACAGCGGCGTTTCTTCTCGCGGCAGGCTTGGCACGACGAGGGTGCTCGGTTCCCTCGATGCATCAATATGATAGGATAGCCATCTCTAGTTCGCTTCATTGTGTATATGGCCCGCTTGAAGCAGGTTGAAGGGTAAGGTGAGGATGTAGAATGAGGCCGCGGTGGTCCGCGGACGATTACTTGGATAGGCTTAGCGTGGTTGAACCTCTCCAAGAGGCACAATTTACTATTTCTTGTTAACAACTAGTTGAATTAGGTGTTGCTCGCTAGAATCTCGCAACATAATATTAGAATAAACGGTTGACCGATGTAGGCGTATAGTCGTGACACTCAAGTTATTCCGCTCCGGCCCACCTCCGCAATAACTTCCGCGTTTTCCTGATTGGAGTTCGGATTCGATGCTTTAACGTTCACGATTCTCGCGTCGCAAGGATCATGTCAATGAGGGGGGCCTCAATCTACAACGTCAGAGGCTCCAATGCTCTCATCAAGCCCTAAGAAGCTTGGGGCGCGCACACAGATGGTATGCGACTCAAAGCCCGAAAAGTGGGCGACCTTTTGCATGCACATGGCTCACAAATACACCAGAAGACATAGTGAGTCAACAACATCCCTTTCTTGTTGGATATGAGCTAAACTATGACAGACACCAGATGATATCCTATCTAGTCTTCCTTCGGTCCCATCTTCGAATGCGCCCAATTCCGTTCCTCTCCTCCTCGTCACCCCGAGCTTTGCCCACTGGCTCGACCCTAGCAGTCCTTTCCTGTCACAATGTCTAGGCCAACTATATGGGACTTCTGCGGACGCAACTTCTGCCTACGCTGTCGCCGCTGTGGTCGACACACTTCCAGATACCCGTACGATATCCACAGCACTTGCGTCTCATAATTCCCCTGTGGCGTCCACAGAATCAGAAGGTCTGTCGCTTTTGGTGACCGGAGAATCAAATTTCCACGGAAAGGCTGCACCGCCTCGTCTCGTTAGAAGCTCTGCCAGCGAGGAGACCAACCTCTTGGTTTCCATTCAGACGGGGAGTCCTGGCCAAACCAACAACAGACCTGCCCACGAAATTGGACTACGTCTTGCCAACACCGTTTTTGTCAACGGGAAGGAAACGACGATATCAGGCACGCAATGGCTTCGGGATAGCGGCTCAAACGAGTACGTTTTGGAACAATCGGTCGATCTCACAAGCTGCATGATTACGGCTACTGCGCAAGCTGTGAACACTACACTGGATCTTCCATTACACCAAGTGACCGAACGGCGAAAGGTCATCTCTAGCATGGGAAACATTCTACGACAACTGGGCAAATCGACTGATCCCGCGTCCAATGAGCCAATGCCTGCTTCTTCGGAGCTTGAGAAAGAGCTTCCGCGTTATATTGCAGAGCATAATATTGTTGACCAACGGGTATCCGTATGGGCGCTGGTCGAGAAGCCTGAGTTAGTTGTAGCCGATGCAGCTGCATCGACCCATGATCGCTTGATCCAGTCTCTGCACCAGGGTGGCAAGTTGCACCGTGTCATGAGTGGCGGAGGGGGATGGGGCAAAAAGCAAGGCCTTCTTTCACTGGACCCTGAAGTCAGCTTCTCGGGGACAGCTAATCGCGACGAGCTAGTTGCCTTGAGTCAGATCTTCGATCCTGATAATTTGCCCACCGACACATTGCCTTCTCTTGACAAGGGCATAACGGTGGATGATTTGTCTCTTCTTTCACAGGTCGCTACTGCAGGTGATTTCATTCAGTTCTTTGTGGCAGTAGAGCCGACTTATTCACAAAGCAAAGTCTCGGATGAAGCTGGCTCGCCAGAAGTTGCTGTCAGCTATCATTTTGGTATGGTATCTGACTCTATGGAACTGGATACGTATGAGGGCAGCTCAAGCGTGAAAGATCTCGTTGCTATGCCTTATCGATTCGGCGCCCTGTCTGAGAAGGCAATTGCGTACTCCCAACCGATGAAAGGAGCTGGGTCAGAGTCCACCAAATTGGACATTCCAGGATCTCGAGTACTCCTTGAGGCTATATGAATAGACTAGACCATGTACAATAGCTAAATAAAAGAAATCTATCACAAATGCATGTCTAACATGTCATATAATGATCGAGTACCCGTCTCGGTGGAGAAATGCCAAGAACACGTGATCAGACCTGAGGCCAGCATGTTTGCCGTCAACGTCCAAACCTCTGGTCTCTCCATCCTTCCCGACCGCATCCAACTTGAACCTGCCGACCTCGGGTCTTTTCACATCTCTTTCAAGCTCCAACTACTCCTCGAGTACCTAGCTGGGTCGCTGTCTATCAAAATGGCCACAGAACTCTGGTAAGTCGTCATCAAGACCTCTCCAGCCCCTGGGTGCTTGACAGCTCCCGATTGTCACTTGATTATCATATTCGGCATTCCCCCGGTATCACGAGTGGAGATAGATCAATCTTGCTAACATATGCATTTTTACAGCCCCGTCTACGCGGTGAGTCTATCTACACATTCCATTCCGACCCGAGCACGATTACGCAAATCGCCCGTGTCTCGACCGCCTCTCCGCATCCTTATCAACATCTGCATGAACGCATCGAATCATAGCTGACTTCTTCATTCTAGCCCTTCTTCGGCGCCCTGGGTTGTACCTCCGCTATCGTCTTCACCTGCTTCGGTGCCGCCTATGGAACCGCTAAGGCCGGTGTCGGAGTCTGCTCCATGGCCGTCCTCCGTCCTGACCTGATCGTCAAGAGTATGTTGCCCTCGAACAAATGAGATATTGTTATGCTGCACGAATATCTCTATGCCGGCATTTGAATAATTGGACGGTTCGCTGACAATGATTGATAGACATTGTCCCCATTGTCATGGCGGGTATTATTGGTATCTACGGTCTGGTCGTGTCGGTCTTGGTCGCCAACGACCTGACCCAGAAGCTCCCTCTTTACACTGGTTTCATCCAGCTCGGTGCTGGTCTTGCTGTCGGTCTGGCTGGTCTCGCTGCGGGGTAAGTCACTCCCCAAAACGTCTCAAGTGTCCCATGTGGAGCGTCATTTCTAACTATGTTTGGACTCCAGTTTCGCTATTGGTATTGTCGGTGATGCAGGTGTTCGAGGAACGGCTCAACAGCCCAGACTCTACGTTGGAATGATTTTGATTCTCATTTTCGCTGAAGTCTTGGGTCTGTACGGGTTGATTGTGGCTCTGCTCATGAACTCCCGCTCCAAAGCGGACTGCTAAACAAACGACCTCCCGCCGCATATCGGGAATCGAACCTCGAATCGCACTATGGTTTGCATCACCCTGTTTGATTTCAGGCTCGATTCTCCGACGTGCTTCTTCAACATTTCCCTGACGCAAATCAAAGGACCTCTTCCGCCGGGGAAGCTGACATGACAAATATGATTGACGCGGGCGGGTGTAGGAGAGAAACTGATTTCGGAAAATGATACATCTATCTCTGTCTTGAGAAAGAGGTTTTCTGATTACTGTTGGTATGTAGAATCGGGGAATCTGTGCAGGCATTCGACCTGGACTGTGGACAGCTTTGGGTAGATATTGGATTTTTGGCTTTACATTGCATTATCGCGCTGGACTCTGTACTTTATATGAAATTCGCTGATCCTGACTTTGGTTCTTTACCTCACTTCCATCACAGTGGCTAGGCGGGTTCTTCTGTAAGGAGTTTCGTTTCTTGCTAATGTTTCTTTTTGTCTTATCTATGAACATTTTGCTCAATTCTTGGATTTGGCTTTCTTGTCTTATGAGCTTTCGTCGGGTCCTTCTTTTCCGTATGATATAGCAATTTCCAATTTGTGTAATATGCTCCTGCGCAGTTTTTGATTCATGTCATCAATTTATGTGTAGACCTGTGGGTTATAGATCCAATGGACTACAAGGCTAGTGTTTGAAAAGGATCTACAGTCGTAAACCTTCTCTCTATTGCCAATGGCTATTTCAATACAAACAGACACTCAACTCAGAAAGCAGAAAAATGCACGAGACTGAACAGCACATGAACATAATAATCTATTGGGTAGGCCGCAATACATGGGATGGAACGCCCACATGCATAAAAGAGAAGCCAAAGACTGAAAGTCTCCATGAAGAAAAGAGAACCCAAGGAACAAAGATGTATGTGAAATTTGGTAGAGTGTGAGTTAGGGTGAGACAGGGTAGAGGAAAGAGGAGAAGATGTGTAAAGGGAAAAAAATAATAGAACGTATACGAACAAGGATATATGCCCTGAACTCTCACAAGACTAGCCTCAGCCCAAAATGCACAGGAGCAGGCGCAGACAAGATGCAACTGACAACGCAAAGGTTGTATAAAATCAAACAGGAAACCCAAAGCACGAAGAGAGGTAATCTACCTCTCGAGTTTCCGTCTCAAGGTCCGCGTGCGCTTCATCAGCTTCTTGAATTTGTGCTTCTTCATCTTGACCTTGCGACGTCTCTTGGTGGAGATTGCATGCATGGTGCGGTTGTTACGCACACGCTCCATGTATGTCATACCAGCGGTGTTATCAGCCGGGGCTTCGATGCTGACCTCGTTCTGCACGCCGGAATCCTCCATTTCGCTGCGGACGAAAGGACCAGTGTGGGCCTCGTAGGTCTTGCGGCCGTCAGCGTGGCGAGCCTCGCGGATTGTCAGGACGGTCGAGTAGGTGGAGTACTCGTTGTCGACCTGGGAATCTTGAGACTCGGTGGCCTCGGCGGCGGCTGTGTCCATAGGGACTGGTGGGGGAGGAGGCTGGAAGGGACGGAGACGGCGGGTGAATTCCTCCACGGACATCTTTGCGTCGGGGCCGTCCAGCATACGGAGTTCACCGTCCTGCTCGCTGAAGCTTCGGAACTGGTCTTCGGATTCTGAGATGCCCTGTGCGCCGTGTTCCATGTTCTGCACAGCCGAGGAAAGAGTGAAGATGACGTCCTCCGGTTCGTTCTTCAGGGGCCGCTTTGACGAGAAGATCGCTTCGAAGGCGTCGGTGCTCGAGGTCGGGGGCACAGTGGTTGTCACCGAGATTGGCCGGTGGATGGAGAAGAACGAGGCAACATGGACATCTAACGGAAAAAGAAAAGTTAGCTTCGGGCATTTCTTCACGAGGAATGAAATCTTTGTAAATCCGGACGCTGCTACTCACCATGGGGTTGGCGGTGCTGTGTCGAGGGAACACTCGGAAGCTTCGAAAATGCCGCATGCTGCTGGCTAGACTTTGACGAACCGTTACGGGCAGAGTTGTCCTTGCGTCGGCGGGTAGCTTTGCTCTTCTCGCCAGACGAGTTGACTCCCTTTGCCGGGGCAGAGGCGTCCATGCGGCGGGAGCCATCGCTGGGCGGGACTGGGGGTTTGGAGGATGAGGAGGAATACCGGCGCTGGTGCAGAGGTCGGGTTGCGCCGAGCAGGCCGTTGGTAACATTCTGAGCGGGGCGAGTTATCCCGGGCAGGGGCATGGGATACCATGCCGCCCGGCGTAACGATGTTGACAACATGGTTGGCAGATATAAACCCAGTCACTGGGAGGTGAATGAGTCTGAATCGGAGGCGAAATCAGTCGGGCCGGAATTCGGTGTCACTGATCATGCGGATGTGGTTATGTAAGATTGATGCCTCAGGTGTTGCTCCGAACACCATGGAGATATCTATTCGCGCGATTTGACTTGAGAACTGGATTTACTGTGCATGAAATCTGTTCTTGGAAGGTCATCTGCCATATTCTATTTCTAGGGTCTTGGTGGTAGACAGTGCATGAATGACGCACGAGGCACGATCTACATACCAGGAATCCGAGAGTAAGCGCGTGCAAGGGAAATCAACAGACACTAAAGCATATACAGAGCAAAAGAAAGCAAAGAGTGCTCCTCATAGAGCAGTATATTGATATCATTCAGACAGTAGTAGATAGGAAATCCAGAATGATTGTGATGATACAGGGCAGAGTCGTCAAGTATAACACAGCTGCAGAGACAAACAAGTGGTATCATCCTGCATTACAAAAAAGTGAAATGAGAAAAGAAAAAGACACCGTCGCTGAAAACAAAGCGAGGCATTAGTTGGCAAAATCGGATGGGCTTTTGGATGCAACGTGATAGACCCAAGGATGCGAGCAGAGAGCCGACAATAACCTCTCAATCAAGACGCCTTCGTCAACACAATAAAAAAGAAACAATGTAGAAGAAAAGGTACATGTGGCAAAAGTCACAAAGGAGTGAAAGAAGACCCGCCCTGCAATGCAACCGGAAAATAAAAGGTAGGCTGAGGAGCTCGGAGTGGAAAATGAAGAGAAGAGAAAAAGAAATCATCGTCACAGAGAGGCTCGTCTGGGATGCCTCTGGAAATGGAAGGTCGCTGCCTTATAGTATTAAGGTATGCAGATTCTTCTGTATGATCATGTCCTGTACTGAATCCATAGTCGCCTTGAGCAATGTGGTGTCTGTTGCATTGGTGTAATGGATATAGATTTCGCGGTCTGGGATTCGGTTGATGCCACGGAACCTGTCCGCAAAGTACCGCGCAGCAGCATCATAATCGGTGTCAGAGCCAGCGTAGTCTGGGAAGTGCTTCGAGATAGGAGAGATGGCAAGCTTCCCCTTGAACAAATCGATCTTGTTGAGGAAAAGGATGATTGGCTTGCGCTTGAACCATTCACCGTTGACTAGAGATTCGAATAACATCATGGCTTCGTGCATTTGGTTCTGTGGTGGCGATTAGCGCTGGTCGAGAGAGCATGGGAGATATTGCGCTTACAGCGTTCTGGTCTTCCACCAGACATTGGTCGTATCCTGACAAGGCGACCATGAACAGTAGACACTGAACACCCTCGAAGCAGTGGATCCATTTCTTCCGCTCTGATCGTTGTCCTCCGACGTCCATCATTCGAAAGTTCATTTGCCCAAGTTCGAAGAGAGTTTCCGTGATACCGGTCGTCCGGAGTCGAGCTTGGAGCATGTCCTGGTTGTCCGGAAGCCAACCCGGTGTAAATATGCGATCCAGGGATTCGTAAAAACTGCGATGGTTAGTTTGGGCCCATGTAAGACACATGTTCCGAAATTGACTAACTAGTACAGGTTGTCATGGAGAGCGAACTCGTGCCCTCGCGCAACAGCTGTCTGCACACCTGTATCCTTCCACATCGCCCTCATAGCATCCCGAATCGTCAGGTCTGAGAAAGCCTCGTCCGATCCTACATCTGGGTCGGTGTTGTCTAATAACTCCGCGTATGACTTTCAAACTCGTTAGCCAAAGCACACTTCTTGTGACAAGAATGTCAAGTACCTTGGTCTTTTCCTCATTCTCGAAATTGATACCCTCGGCATTCATAATATCCAACAAGACCTTGAAGGCGATGACAAGGTTCGAGTAAATAACGGCGCGCGTCGTATACCGCTCCTCCTCGGGAAATCCTCGACTGTGAATGATGCGCATCTGCTTGATAATGGTCGATTTCCCAGATTCTCCCGCGCCTGGCCAAGTTGTCAGTACTGCACTCAAACAAACCGACATGGATTCACTCACCTAGTAGCAGAATCTTGATGGTCCGGTCGAGCGTCTTCTTGTCATTCTTGATACCCCGTTCTATGCGCGCATTGCGCTGCAGCGCCTCCTTATCCGCCTCCGCCGGTGTTGAAACTAAGCAGCCCATGATTCAGGTTGAGGATAGATTATCTAGCGCGATGGTTGTTAGTAACGATTCATTGCAAGCTGAACTGGTGCGACGACAGACTCGACACATTGGGTGTGCACGATCTGAGTCAGGGATGCGACTGGATTGCGCCACCTCGGGTGTCGACAGTCGAAGCTCAAAGACACAAGACCCGAACTCGACCATCGGGACCGAAGGCGTGGAGGTCGCCTACCTTCACAAAAGACCCGCGATTATACACCCGAAGCCTACCTTCACTGAGAAATGTGATAGGCAGAAGCTTGAAGGTTCGATTGTTCCCCACACCTTGCGACCACGTTCCGTTGTGAATTCGACTGTTGTGTTTCCAATTAGACCAGGTTATCCTCCGAGACAGGCGAATCCGTGTGGGCGACACAATGTCGAGGCCAAGAGAGGTTCGGGGGGAACGACAGGTGACAAGATCGCGTTGCAAGGGTTCGAGAGATCCGGGTGCCGCTAAGTTTCCTAAACCGGCGTTCTTCAGTTTTCACTGAAGCGAAATAGAGCCGGGTCGACAGCCGAGGGCTCCGGGAAAGACAAGGGGCGGAAAATGGAAGAGAGGAATGAAGGTCTCTGCCGTCCCACGCGCATCCACAAGCGGGGAGAGAATGCCGAAGTCCTCTCTATCATTCTCTCGCCACTAAGTCTCGTACTTTTGTGTAATCGGAATTACACGTACTTTACTCTACATCTGATTGCAAAAGTCCTCTCTGGGATCCCTGTCACTCCATCTGTCACTAATATGACCTGTACATGTATAACTGACACCTACACAGAACAAGGAACTATGCCAAAACCCGAGACCGAGATCAGATGGAACTATTGAAAGCGTCTCGGGCCCAACCCAATCAGCACATCTCGAACAACCCAATTGTTTACCCACCTTGCATGTGTCTTGGCTTCCATGTGTTCAAGGAGCCTGCATAATACATGTATTCTATGGAACATGCACACAATATTCCACGCCAAGAGCAAAGCCTGAGATCGACGCTGAAACCCGCATGGACCACAAGGAATGTCTGAAACGGCGGATTTCTGTCCCGATGCTCCTTATTACCAGTGTTTGCTCTGTCTCGTTTTCCCCTGGGAGTACAAGTTGGATAACCAGGTCCGTGGTATACGAGGAACACGGAGTTCGCGCTTGAGGGTTCCCCCATAGCCCAATCAGAAAGCTCCTACTCGACCTCTTTCGCTTACTGCCTCGGACCAAACCAGAAATCGGACCGCTGTCAACTCCACAATCCACGAGCCGCAAGACTGTCACTCGCAAGATGAACCCAATGTTTTCTTCTTACTGTACAGGAGGGCCATATCGCCCTCTGATACCCCCACACGGTAAAGGTGCAAAGACCCTCCACTTGAAACAAACACGGAATGTCCCGTCGGTTCGCATGCGCCGGTTTCATGATTTTCATTACAGAGTACATGGACGATCCATCCCGCGCCGTCCACCTACTAAGGCAGGGGTGATCGCTTTGGGACTGGCGCCAGGCCTTAGTGGAGACTGATTGACCCATTACGAGCCTCGCATCACCTCACCAGAATCCTGTGAATACGCAATTGTCCATTCCCGATCTTCAGGCGACATTTCTCCGTCCCGGTATAGTGTGAGATTCGCCTTTGGTAGCTTGCGATCCAGACACTCGCCTGCCACGCTCTGTACCCGGTGGGTTGACTTCCCTCGTCTATCCAAACAGGGAGTCGCCTCCCCCTGAATCTGGCATCGCCTCCACATGCAACTTCCGAGAAAACTTCCACGTGTGTGGTGGGGTGCACCCGTTCGCTTGTGTAGACATTCAGTTCATTGTTACATGTAGTCACTGGTGCCATGTTTATGCATAATCCATGCTCCACCAATTCCTCGTCTCGAGTTGTACATCAAAGTCTACAGAACGACATGTTTTTTATTTCTTGTGTCTGCTTCTCATTGTGAGAATCGGATGTTCTTACGACTAACACACAGTCCTCTTCTCCATCCAAGATACAATATATCAACCCCAGACTCAGAAAAACAGCCGACAGCTCACATGTATACACCGAATATAGTTAAACTTTACCCTTTACACTTCCCCGAAGTCAAACGTCACCCACGAGTCGGAAAATCTTCGTGAATGACCTATCAACCCGGCTCATCAAATTCTTCAGAACCTTCAGACTCCGCAGCCCCTACAAGAAGGCTTCCCACCCTCTTCACATTCTCCATGTACATTTACCATACGCGTACGGAGTATATGTACGTACATGCCAACTTAGGAAACCCCATATCTCGTCGAAAACTCGGACATCTCGTGCCCATACAGTAATGTATTCGGCATCTGCCAACGGTCCAGAGGAGGGGGAGGCGTGGAGTAGTGGGACCTAGCAAATTAACCGTTGTCGATCAACATTTTGACAAGTCCAAATCCCGGCCTGTCCATGCCCCGAGCGCGAGTCAGCGGGAGAAGCTCTTCAGTGATTTTCCCCTGTGTACGTCGACTCGGATGGGATGGGTTGGTCATCTGGTCTGTGTGCATGTGTATGTACATTTTTAGCACATGTAAAAGGGGGAGGGGATAGGGGAAGGGCCGAACAGAATGACAGTGCATTGTTCGAGTCGGAGTGGCTGTTTGGCCAGTTTGGCTTGGCCGTTCAATGAATCTATCTTTAGCTTGGAATCTTGCAGGTGTGCAGGGATACAGTATCCAAGTCGGAGCTCTTCCGAGCAGGATCGGTTGGGAAGATAGTATCGTTACGGAGAACGGAGTACGCAGTCTACTACTGGACTTTTTGGATGTGAGCGGGGTTTTGGCACTAGTTTCCATGCTAAACTTCGGCTGGCTGGGAAAATGTCTTCTTTTGTTGGGTTGGCCGAGCATGGTGGGATCGGTTATTCGTCCGGTGTGCATTACTGCAGGGTTGATCGAAGGCTAGCGGAATAATCTTGGTCTCTTTGCTGGATTCGCTGGATAACGTTCAGGGGCTTGAGAGGTCTGCCTGGGCTAGCGGTTGGGTGTCCTAAAAAAGGCCCGCTCCGGAAGTATAATGGCGCCTAACGCCGTGATCTGCTGCACACATTTCCTAGTCGGCGAGGCTATGACAATGCGGCTTCGGGGAGGTTCATGTAGTCTGCCGAATGCTCTTTCTTAGGGGGTTCTGCGGGATATGTACGCAATAGGATGGAGGATGTGGAATTTTTGTCATGGATTATGCCATCTAGATCTGACGGAAGGTCTCATTTTTCAGTCCCTCGTATTCATCCTCAACTACTTCGTTAGACTGTCAGCCTAGGAATAAACATCCGCAATAGAATAGTCAGGAAAAATACATTCAAGATAAACTGAGCAGTGTGGTAGTATGCAGAATTATTATTGTCAGTGCCACATGCGCCTAAAGTTTAGCTTAACGTTAATTCCACCTTTGGGCTTTCTGAAGAAAGGCGGGCTCCATTGCTGAGAGCTTGGGCCTTTCATTACTATGGGTTTACGGATATACAAGGGGCTAAAATAGACAAGAGCGCTAGGCCCCGCGCTTATCATCCTCGGGTAGCACTCTACAGGTTGGGTTTTACCCTGAGCTGTTCTGCAATAGACGAGCTTACATTCTTCTGCTAGAACGCCACTTTTCAAGAGGGAGATATCCGGCCTTAAGCACAAACTCCGTGTATAGGCATCCGACTATGAGAAGTAGATTGTCCCCACTCTCGATCAAATAATATCCTACAAGCGTCGTAATTCCATTGATAATGTTTTACTGTTTTTTGCCTTGAATGCAAGTTCAACTTGGAATTGAAGCTACCATGACGTTATAGAGCTCACTGAGAGTCCGTAGAACAAACTTCATGTGGGGTTGTGGAAATATATATACTGTATCAAGGTCTGACTGATATAAAAGGTCAGAGCCGGAAACCTCCTGATGACTCTAGTCGCATTATCCATTATTTACCTAACAATCGCAAGATCTGTCAAGATAAAGAAATATTCTAGTTTGGAAGCAGTAGAATTGCTGTGGTAGCTTCTATAGTTGACATGACACTAGTCCTGATCTGGCAGCCTTCTAATTGGATCATTTCGGCCCCAATCTAAGCCATTGGCTTTCGCTGGTGCCTGGAGTCTCAATAGTGTACATTCAATTCAATTCATGGCTCTGAAATAGACACACAATGTCGCAAACTTTCCTGCGATTTGCAAGTCCGTTGTCCCTTGAATGGTGTGCATATGCAACACTAACCATGATGCAGGTCCCAATGAGCGCCGTACTATCAGTCGCGAAGACCTCGGCTTTTACCACGCACTCATCATAGCAGCAGTGTACGAGCACGAGAATGAAGTTATAGACCTCAATTCAGCTCAGACATTCTTCCCGCCCCTGAAACACTGCATCCAAGAGCACGCTTACCTGAGTGTCGTCGTCAAAAATAGCCACACCGAAAAGCCAGCTTATGAAGGAGTCTCGACTATCAACCTCGACTCACATGTGTCTATCCTCCACAATAATGCTCACAGTGACCCAAACAGCGATGACGAAACAAATATCATCCAAAACGTCCTGGCGCCAATCCTCGACAGGCCATGGCCAGTTGGAATACCACCCTGGCGTATCATCGTCCTCCCACTATCATCGGCGCGTGATTCAACCACGAAACGTTGCTTTATAGCATTCTCGTTCTCTCATACGCTCGGAGACGGTATGGTCGGAGTCGCATTCCACCGCACTTTCCTGGAGGCATGGCGACAGACTAATAATGCGAATGACAACTCCTCCCTGGTATCCATAAATCCATCAGACCAAACCCTCTCAGCACCATTCGACACCCCGGAAAGACTTCCTATATCATGGAAGTTCCTCCTGGGACCACTTGTAGCGGTCTACCTACCAAAATTCCTAGCCGAGTTCCTCGGACTTCGCGCAGCGGCTAGCACAGTTGATGCTGGTACTTGGACTGGCTCACGCATCTTCGAACCGGTTCCCAGACTAAACAGCAGAGTGAGGATCCTCAAGATTGAGGCTCCGCTCGTGCAGAAGGCTCTTCAAGCTTCGAGAGAGCATGATACTAAGCTCACCGCCACGATGCATCAGTTTATTATTCGGGCTTTGAGCAAGGCTATTCCTAACAGTGACGTGACGAATTTCGTTTCGGGGACACCTGTTGATATGAGAGCGTCTATTGGTATACCAGCTTTAACTTGGGGCCTTTACGTGTCTGGCTACTATGAGGTGCATCCTCGTTTACCTGGCCCCCATGCTAGCGAATCTGTGTTGTCGGATGAAATGTGGACGGCTGCAAGTTCGATGACGAAAAGGCTCGCTGAATGTGGTACGAGGCTGCAGGATCAGGCAATTGGGTTACTGAGATATGTTCCCAGTATTCGGAGCTGGATGTTGGGTAAAATTGGACACCAGCGGGATTCATCGTATGAACTGAGCAATCTGCTTGCGTTTGATGGCGGTGATGTCAGTGACAATTGCAGGATTAGCAAGATGGTGTTTTCGCAGCCTGGCAATTGTCTCAGTGCACCGCTTGTGTTCAATATCATTAGCGTCAAAGGGAGTAGCTTGGTTTGTACGATCAGTTGGCAGGTTGGAGCTTTAGATGTGCCAGCTGAAGAGGAGATGCGGTTTGTTGATGAGATTTGTTCCTCGCTTCGAGCTGATTTTGAAGCTTTGAGGGGGTGATGTCTTGTATCTGTGCAATCTACAATTTTGGGATTGAAATGGGTATTCAAGCGACTTCGCGGAGAAATTGGGCCCAGTAAGTGGGCAAGCTTGTGTATGTTAATACTATCAACCTGTGCTAATTTTAATATGATTGTAATAATTTGACTCTCGAGAGCTTACACATTGTGGATAATTCTGCTGGTAAGATCACATCTATCGACGTGTTCCTTGAACAAGACATCGAACACATTGTTGATGTACACGGTAGAAAGATTAGGCGAATATTGCGGCGTTCGGTTGACATGACCCACCGCGAAAGACCCGGAGGAGTCATACTGAACTTCACATACACGCGCAAAAACTGTATAAGACCCCGAACTAAAGATGGCAAGCCTATACTCCCCGATCCAAACCTAATGTATCCCCTCATTAATACTCGAAACCAGGCCACAAGAACAGAGGCCCTCTACCTAAACGATGCCTCACTCCGAACATGGACAACAGAGATCCTCTCGTCGCAATCAATAAATACACTCCCGGAAGGAGAGAGATGTCTAGCAAAGAACATTCCAGTAGAAGAAATCGCCATAACAACCCGCCAGACAATATTCTACGCGCAAGGCGGCGGCCAACCGAGCGACAGCGGCGCAATCGGGCCACGAGACCACGAACCAACCTTCTCAGTAACGTTAGTGCGCAAAACGCCTGATGGGAAATATCTCCATTTTGGAAGATATGCAGACGCATCTTCTACTTTCACCGAAGGCCAGCTTGTTGTTCAGACAGTTGATGACTCGAAGCGCAATTATCATTCGCGTCTGCATACTGCTGGTCACATTGTTGGATTGGCAATGCAGCTTCTGATGCCGGAGATGAAGAAGGTTAAGGCGAATCATTTCCCTAGGGAGGCGTCTATGGAATATGAGGGGTTATTGTATAATGAGAATAAGCCTATCATTCAGGAAAAGGTTGATGAGTTAGTGAAGCGGGATTTGGAAATTCTCATTTCTTGGGAAGAGGACTGTAAGGAGTCTGGGGATGGTGATGATGAGGAGGGTCGGTCTTTTGATGGTCGGATGAGGATTGCGAGTATTGGTGGGCTTGATCATAATCCTTGTGGTGGGACACATGTTGGGACGACGGGGTTGGTTGGGGCTATTGTTATTCGAAAGATAAGTCGGCAGAAGGGGATTAGTCGGGTTTCTTATGATGTTTCGCCCGGGATTGAGGGATAGACATCGTTGTTGATGTTATTATACAATTCGAACCTATGTTCTAGACTAGAAGTACATGCTTGAACGCTCTGAGATCTAATGTGCAATCGTGAAATTATACAACGAATTCGTTATCCAGCCAGTGCTTCATCACAATCTTGCCTTCCCTGAATCCGTCTTTGGGGCTTCGAACAATGATGGCTGCGTGACTGTGTCGGTGCTTCTGGATGTGAACTGGATATCTCTTTATTCCCACGGCGTTGAGCGAGTCGATGATGGCAGCTTGATCGGGTGACAACGCAAGTTTGGGAGAGTGCGGAGAGACTGCAGTGGCAGAAGAAAGAGTAGGCGATCTGGACGCAAATGCACCATTGTTCTCTGCAGACTTCGAGCCAGTGTCAGACAAGTCGGCATCGCTGTTAGACAGATAGGCCGGATCTTGTCGAGCATTGACGTTTTCAAAAACCTCCTCCACAACATGCTGCACATCTTGAACAATAACAGGCACTCTGTATCTCCCAAAGAAAGCGCCATAATCGCCTTTCTCGTGTAGGCGAATGCGCTTGGAGCTGCGGAAAGTCTGAATACCAGCATTGATCAAGAAGATTACAATAGCCACTGGCGCGAGGACAACGAGAAGTACCGACAAAGGTACCCATAATGCCACAGACTTGCATTTCTTCCATAGCTTGGCGGCCATTGTTGCGGGTTTCTTTTGGGCGGGCGGTAACACATAAAGGTCAGGGTCGATAATCACATCCTCATAGCCCTTAACATAGTTGATGTTAAGATCATCCAAAGTCCGGAACGGGTCCACTTTGGACAAAGCAGACGTGTAGAAGACAACCGAGCGATCATTGACAATATTTGCATAGATACTGCGAGTTTGGAACCGCTTTAGTCCCTGTATGAAAATGCTCTCGGGATCAGCCAAAACGCTGAGCAGCGGCCGCCCAGTATCCCGGAACGAGTCGATCAACCACATCTGCCGTCCAGACATTGATAAAGTCCGCGGGCCTATTTCATTCCAAATTTGGTTCTTGAACCCCTTCAGCGGTGTTCGGACTCCTACATGGGGAGTCGCAAAGGTCGTAAAGTTCATGGGTCGCAGCTTGTCCAGCCATCCCCGCGCATTTAACAGGCCGATCGCATAGCGCGCGACGAGACCACCGAGTGAATATCCGATGACACTGATCTTTGTGATTTTATGTCCCTTTTTGGCTAGGGAGTCGAGTGTCTCCTCGACCTCGCGCACTAATCGTTCTCCGCCCAGCTCGATTCCGTCATATGTGTAGTTTCCGCTGTTTGCTTTCGGACAGATGATGTAGAGGCTGTCGTCGCCGTATCTTTCCCGTAGCGCAGAGGCGACATAATCGAGGTGGGAAGGGTTACCCCAGAGTCTGTCAGAAACCGGGTCGCGTTAGTTCAGGGTCAACGTCATTGACAAGGGAGCAGAGTAGGTACCCGTGGACCAGCACACAGAGGTGGTCTGCTGTGGATGAAGTGCTAGGCATTGTTTCGCATGGACGTATTCACAAATGGAATATAAACAAAAAATGAGAAAAAGTGTTCTTTAAGGCTGGACGCGGATGTCTGTTCGTCCGAAGTCCGCTGTCGTCCGCCACTGGAGCTATCGGCGATAAGGACCTGTCTCTGCCCGCATGCACAGCCATTGCTCGATAGCATTCCATGTGTATCTGCCTAGTTTCAAGCTGAAATGCAAGCCTAGACTAAATTCTCAGAATATTCAGACTAGACGTCCAAAGAAATCCAAATTAATAGCAAATTATCCAAGGCAGAGCAATGATGTATTCCTGCCTGCAAAGCCAGGCAACTGTTTGACTACTTTGCACCTGTCATCACAACTTCGTATCAATCGTTGCTCTTGCTCTGCTCAGTCTGATGTCTTGATTTCGTATGTTCGGCATATTCGAGTCAATTTATTCGCAAATCAATGTCAGAATGGTCTGTCCATAATCTCTAACTCTCAAAGACAAGGCTTAAATGATGCCGCATCGGCCAAGCAGCATTCACCTTTGATCCTTTCATTACACGTATGACAAGCAAACATGTGATTCCTACGAATAAGTCGCTAATATCTGAATAGTGTGTGGTCTCATTCTTCATTTCGTACCTATTGTCTCAAACAGTAATTAATGACTGTCTCGTCTTGCTTTATATCGAGAGACATAACAAGACTCGCCTAAGCTATCCTATTGTCTGACGGTCACCTGAACGTTACTGTCATCATGTTCACACCGCTCGGACTTTTTGAGGGAATCCCTTGTCCGCAGGGAGAACGATGTGCTCTTTTGAGATGTCTCTTCTCCCATGAAAGCAACGAACCCCGTTCAGCTGGGGATAGTACTCCGAAAATTCGTGCCTCAGGTGACGATGGCCCGCCTTCAAAAAGAGCCAAGTTGGACCAGAGCGCTGAAAAGGCGCAGGTTCCGTGCTCGAATTCGTCCGACGAAAACACACGTGAAATGACGAGACGTCAAAGTGGGGTTCAAGGCATCTCGGAGCTTCAGTCTATCACTCGAGAGGTTACACCACCGGCTCCAAGTCATTCTGAGCTTTCAAGGTCTTCGTGGCCTGTACCTTCGAAAGCCACCACTGCTGTGCCATCCAAATCCAATGCATCGAAAACCGAGTCCAAACCTAACAACGCTGCACCTTCTGAATCTTCAGCCAAACTACCTCCTCGAAAGGCTCCGAAGGAAACATTGAACCCGCGCATGCTCACTAAAGCACCAACAAGCCATGTGGGCCGCACTGCCATCCTGAAGAAGCTGCACGGTGCGATGACGGCACACAATGAAAAGCTTCGAAAGGACAAGAACAGCGCGAACAAATGTTTCATCCTGACTCCGGATGAACTGGTGACAATGGCACTGGACGAGGAGGAAAAGACGGCGAAGGATAACCCGGGAGTATATGGTAACGTGATCAAACTTCGAATCGTGAAACTGAGCAAGATGGGCATCGAGGAGTGGGTGAAGGAGGTGATGGATCACCTGAATACGCGATACTACAGCATCAAGCCCATCCAAAAGCCGGATACCAAACCCAGTACTCTCGCCACGGGCATGACCGTCGAAGAAGAACTCGCGACTGTCCCCTTTCTCATCACACCCATCACTGGCTACGAACAGTACGGTTATGTGACGAAAGCGCCTACGGAGACCGAGATAGCAGTCGCCAAGGAAGGAGTCGATAAGTCCAATGGCTGGGAGAAGTGCGACCGATGCGGTGGCCGGTTCCAGGTCTTCCCAGGTCGCCGCGAAGACGGCGTCTTGACCACAGGCGGCACATGTACCTATCATCCATTTCGCCCCCTCTACCCTCAGCGCAAGAAGACAGACCATGTCACCGGTTCTCAAGAGCCATACTACCCCTGCTGCAATGAGCCAATGGGGACCTCGAGTGGCTGCACAAAAGCTGACAGCCACGTCTTTAAGGTGTCAGAGACCAAGCGTCTTGCATCAGTGCTCCAATTTGAGACGACCCCACGACAGCCCGAGAAAGGACCCCTCGAGCCAGTCTGTGTTGATTGTGAGATGGGCTATACATCCATGGGAATGGAACTAATTCGACTCACTGCTGTCAGCTGGCCTGAAGGTCGTGATCTGCTCGACGTTCTCGTCCGACCAATAGGCGAAGTGCTGGATTTCAACTCTCGCTTTTCCGGTGTCTTTCAGCAACATTATATCGACGCCAAACCATACGGTACGACAGTGTCCACCGCAGATTTACCTACCAAGGAAGGAATGGGCAGACCCCAGCCACCGTTGCAGCTTGTCAAATCCCCCGCTGAAGCGCGAGATTTGCTGTTCAAACTACTCCAGCCTGAGACGCCACTTATCGGCCACGCAATCGACAATGATCTGAATGTCTGCAGGATCATCCACCCCACAATCATTGACACTGTCCTGTTATACCCTCATCCAAGAGGTCTTCCCATCCGCAACAGTCTCAAAAGCCTGGCTTCCAGGCATCTTGGTCGTGATATCCAGACTGGGGTTCATGGGCATGACTCCAGGGAAGACTCGGTCACCACTGGTGATTTGGTGAGAGTGAAGGCGCGCGAGAAGTGGAAGGATTTAAATAAGAATGGATGGAAGTTTGAGAATGGGAAGCTGGTTCCTCCTGGCTAAGGTTCATCAGGCTCAAGTGACCAGAGGGGACACAAGAGGAAGAGCTCAGTTGACAGTTGAGAACTGAGCGAGGCTTTCATACAGTATTAGTATTTACTTAGTCTTCTGGTGTTTGAATTACTATCTCGAAATAGATATACTCTTGCATGACGCAGGCTTTTTCAGCATGACAGCAGCCTCAGTCGACGTCAGCCGTTAAGTTCCAAGCTTAATGGTGTAGCTCGTGTGACTGCATTAAAAAGACAAACGTCCATTCTACACATTAAAAATCTACAATTCAAAAAGATTTGAGGGTATAAACTTTTTTAGTTTTATTCGTGGCCTCATAGACCAATCTATCCCCCCATGGCTCTCGCTCTCAATCCAAACTGAGGTTTCAGACATATCGAACGCGACACACACAGACTAGAACCGATCGATCCCAAGGACAGGTGGAAGAACATGTCGAGAACGACACATTTACTCCTCATCCTCCTCAGCCTCGTCGTTGACGACGTTGTAGAAGCGGAGCTCGTAGACACCCTTGGAGGTGGAGACGACGCGGAGCCAGTCACGGAGCTGCTGCTTCTTGAGGTACTTCTTGGTCCTGGAAGAGGGAAATGGGTGGTCAGTGGGAACTCTTGCGCAAGATACATATTAGATTTCGGATTGACTCACAGGTACTTGAGGTAGCGACCAGAGAAGGGGATGTGGGCAACGACCTCGATCTTGCCATCGCCAACCTGGGAGATGACGACCTTGTCACCGAGGTTGCCGACACGGCCCTCGACCTTCACGCGGTCGTGGAGGAACTTCTCGAAGGCGGAGACATCGAAGATCTTGTCGCTAGCGGGCTGCGAAGCGTTGATGATGTACTGTAGAGCAAATGCAGTTAGTTCCGAGTTCCAATTTTACACGGCCAATACATGCATGCATGTCAGCGGGATAAGATCAAAAAAACGTACCTTCTGGGTAACCTTGGGGGCCCTGCGACCACGAGCCTATACCATATAACAATTCAATTAGCCTACTGCTCCATTATGTCGAGCCCCGATGTTGATATCTCGAGTTCGTCTGCGACATGGTGCATCGATAGATTTTTCAATACCGATGTTTCCAGTCGAGAGAGCGAAGCCGAGATCCGATCGGGGGGAACAGCAAAGCGGTTTTGGGCTTTCAACGTACAGCAACGGGAGCCATTTTTGATGGATTGGGGGGAGATGAACTTCGATTGGAAAGGTCGCAAAGAGGTGTATATCCTGCGCCGGCGAGAGATGGTCAAGACGAGATTCCCGAGTGGAGCCTTGGATAGCGAAATTCAACAGGTGTGCCGCACTAGTCTGTTTTGGGTCGAAATTAGGGCTTTGACCTTGCAGGTGTAGGTGGCAGATGTCATGTGATGCTCAGGGACTTGGCACATGGAATCTCTGACTCATAGATCCTGATTGGCTCGCTTGAAATCTCGGCTAAGCTTGGTTAGCTATGACTCATCGGGATTAGCGTTGATCCTGAGATTTCTCTTGGGTATAAATATCTGCTCCTCCCCCCAATCTTCCTCTTCTTTTCTTTCTTCTTTAGCTCTCTTTGCCTATTGGCTTAGATCAAGTGTAGTATCTGTTCTTTTCAGTTTAATCTCTGAAAGTTTCCTCTTGGAAACACTTTGATTATTCTCATTTTTGGATCCCGCAACTTGGCCTCTGTGCTTGCGCATGCCTTGTTGCACTGTGTCATCGGGCTTACACTACCCTCGATCGACGCGAACCCTTTTTCATCAACTGTCTCGGCTTGTCCGAGCGCTTGGAGAAGAATTGTTTACATTGTTATGTTAATGCAGTCGCGTCATGCTCTGTAGCTATATTTTGAGTCGTACTGTTCTGATAGCAGTCCATATCCTTCGTGAGGAAGTCCTATGTCTTCGTGCCCTCTCTGTGCCGGGCTCGTCGCCATGTAGTCGTTCCGACCGCTGTCTCCGTAGGTCTGTCCCCTTCTGAAGGCGTAAACCGTGACCAACTCTCATCTAGAATTTGAGCTGTAGTTCCATGACGGTGATACTGGTGCCACCAAACCGGCGACGATAGGAATTATACCGGTCTTTCTTAATACCACCAGTCCCAAGTCCCTAAGCAAGAGACTTGCGCTGGTTAGCAATACCCAGGACATCATCTGCCTCTGTAGGGACCTCGCTGTCGTCAACATCCAAAACTAGCGTTTAGTCACGTGGTTCGGAGCTTCAATCGCGGGGCCAATCGATAAGCCTCCATTTTTTTCCGCTCCGTATCTCTTCCCACTTACACAAAGACAGACGTCGCCATGGGTTCGATCGTCCTCCCTCACCTTCAGACAGCGTGGCATGTGGACCAGGCCATCCTCTCTGAAGAAGAACGCCTGGTGGTGATCCGGTTCGGCCGTGACCACGATCCCGACTGTAAGTCTCTCCGACGCCATTCCGAGCGCCACGCCAACTAATGCATGAACGCCCAGGTATTCGCCAAGATGAGGTGCTCTACAAGATTGCCGAGCGCGTAAAGAGTGAGTTCCAGGCATTCCACAACCAGTGAACAGCAGCTGACGATTCTCCCCAGACTTCGCGGTCATCTACCTTTGCGACGTGGACCAGGTCCCGGACTTCAACCAGATGTACGAGCTCTACGACCGGATGACGATCATGTTCTTCTACCGCAACAAGCACATGATGTGCGATTTCGGAACCGGAAACAATAACAAATTGAACTGGGTGTTGGAGGATAAGCAGGAGTTGATCGACATCATCGAGACTATCTACAAGGGTGCGAAGAAGGGCCGGGGTCTGGTGGTCAGCCCCAAAGGTATGCGCAACCCTGTGATCCCCGGAAGGGATTGCCATTCGCTAACAGCTTTCCTCTCAGATTACTCTACCAGATACCGATACTGAGCCTCATCCCCTTCCGCGCATGTCAGCACTGACAGCGACCAGTGTGTGTGTCGCTTCCTTACGACTCTTATGACGATCGCTAGCTTGGTCTAGCAAGAAGATAAAACCTGGAAATATGGTCATGGGTCTGGAGTTTTTCTGTTTCTGGAGTCGCCTTTGCGATCATTTTGGTTGAGGGTGAATAAAATCATAAAGCGTCTCCATTCTTTAGAGATCAAATGTTCAATTCGAAGCTCGTGGTTTTTCGGAAGCTTGTTGTAGAATGTATTAAGTTATAATCCACAGCTGTAACGTTAGCTCGTATCTCAATCGTAGTGAAAGCACTTCCATTCACCTTCATCAAATAGAAATATCGCGTTTTAAAAGGAAAATATATCGAACAGAGTATCAAGCAGCCCAATATCCAAAATTTGAGCCATAAATACCCAATGGTGCGCTGACAGCAAGCTCCATCATTTTTCCATCGTCGATTTTGACGTAACCCATGCACCGCACCTCTCAAACCCGCCTTACCAATTTTCCCATAACCATCACCACCCAACATCCACCGTCAAAAATGATCGACCAAACAATTTTCGAAGATCTCCAGACAAAGATCGACGAGGAGAGCACCGTCCGCGACGTAAGTCTGACCAGCGCGTCACTGAGCTGGACGAATTCTTCGCGCGCCAAGCCATCCTCAAGCCCACCGCGGAAAACCGATAGCTAATCATTCTTAACAGGAATTGCATGAGATTGTCCAGACTCTTGCCCGCAGAGGTACGTTTTGCAATTTATGATCATCGCTGGAAATGCACGGTCTCTGCGCTGGCCTGCTCAACTCGGCGATTTAGGTCTATCTTTGAACTGGAGATCTGATGCGTTTCTCTTAGGGCGCTCTACACAAGCTATCCTGTCGCGGGCTCATTCCACGCCTGCTGATCAATGTAAGTTCATACTCCAAGCTGCCCGATCAACAGAGTTGGACGTGGATTTGCTTCTATTCACATTTCTATTTTTGCTCTTGGGGTCGTGTGACGCGCAAAACATCCTCGAGAACAATTTTGCTGACTTTGATTATAGTGAAGCCCGTGCTTGACGATGTGACTACTGAGATTCTTGCTCAGAAGCAGGAAGTCGCCCGTCTCAAGACTGTGGCTGACAAGCACCCCTTCTATAAGTACAACGGGGTGTGGACCCGTGAGCTGCAGAACCTGGTTCGTTCTTAAGCTTCTGAGCTCTGAAGGATCGTACTGATGTGTGTGGCAGGTTGCCTCGATTGAGCTTTGCGCGTGGTTGGGTGGATTGCAGGAGCACAAGGGACCTAGCTCAGCTTCTTTCATGACTATTGAAGACGTTGGCAAGTTCCTTGAGAGTATGTTATCATCATTCAATTCTCGTGTCTTCAACTGCACTTCTAACATGCTGTTTCTCATCTAGTCCCGGTCAACCTGAAGGAGCAAGATGCTTTCCACTTGACTATAGAGGAGTATCTCCTGGCATTGATTGCCATGGTTGAGGAACTGGTTTGTCGCTTGATCCCCAACTTCTGTCCTTATACTAATTTAATTTGCAGTCTCGCTTGGCCGTCAATTCCGTCACTCTGGGTGATTATACACGTCCCATGCAGATTAGCAACTTTATCAAGGAGCTGTTTGCTGGCTTCCAGCTCTTGAACCTGAAGAATGATATCTTGCGCAAGCGCAGTGATGGTATCAAGTATAGTGTACGTCTTCTTGATTGCGAACATATCAATTTAACCCTCGGTTACTAATATAAAGGGGTTGCAGGTAAAGAAGGTTGAGGACGTCGTCTATGACCTATCCCTGCGGAATCTGATTCCCAAGGGTGCCGCCTCTGCTTAGGAGACCACACTGGGAAAATGAAGCTTGTGATATGATTGAGCACCTGGGCAGATCTAGAGAACAGGTCTAGTGGTTTACGAATTCTAAATATACCACTGGAAAATGAGGGACATGGGCACGAAATATCATTACCACTTAAAGGAATTCCCTTCCGAACCAGGAAAAACAACCAGTATGTCAAAGAGAGAAACACCGGGAAATAGATACAAAACCGAAACAGGGTAACGTTACCACCAAATCAAATCAAATAAACAAAGCTAGTTATTCAAGCCAACTGGGCCTTAGGAGCAGCATCATCCTTCTTCAACGAAGCAAGAGTGCCGGCCTTCTTAGCCTTCTCAAGCTCCTGCACAATAGTATCCTGCAAACCCTCAGGCTTAGTAGTAGTAGCCCAACGACCAACAACCTTTCCATCAGCCGAAATAAGGAACTTCTCAAAGTTCCACTTAACACGCTTGAGGCCCATAATACCAGGCTGCTGCTCCTTCATCCAGGTCCACACCGGCGCAGCGTTATCGCCATTCACGTCGAGTTTGCCCAGCACGGGGAACGAGACGCCGTAGTTAAGTTGGCAGAAGGACTGGATCTCATCGTCGGAACCAGGGTCTTGGTTGCCGAACTGGTTGCACGGGAAGCCAATGATGGTGAAGTCTTCTGGGTACTTGCTCTTCAGGTCCTTATAGAGCTTCTCCAGGCCTTCGAACTGGGGCGTGAAGCCGCACTTTGAGGCGGTGTTCACGACCAGTACGACCTTGCCGGAGAGCGAGGAGAGGGGGAAGGGGGTGCCCTTTTCTGTTTTTGGTGGGTTGTTGGGTTAGTTAATTTGTTTCCAAGGTTTTTGGTTTGCTGGTTCGTGGAGAAGAACGATGGAGATGGATGGGTGAACGCATGGTAACATCGCGATACACGTACTGTCAGCGGGATCGAAGTCGTAGAAAGAAGTAGCAGAAGTCATCTTGCTTTGATACTGTACAAGGGGAGGTTTCGAGAGTATACGCGGGGAGAAGTGGTGCAATGAGTGGTGCAATGAGTGGTGCAATGAATGGTGCAATAAGTGGTGCAATGACGTCGCTGATAGACGGGAGGACTTGGCAGTAAAGGAACACCGCAGACGCGGAAACGAGAACATGTCTTCTTGTACTCTGCGCTCAACCGAGGTCAAACCACTTTCTTACCAATTGGCCGCGGGTCTGGGCACGGAGTGTTCTAGCGCCGCCGGAAGTAGCGAACTGTCCGAGCCGACCTCTTTTTAGGTGCCACTTTATTGGTTGCATTATTGGTCATCTTGTTAACCTAGACTGTCTGCGCATAATTTTGTGCATTCTTTGAGGCTAAATGTTTCGGATTTAAGCTTAATATGTATAGAGACTGGGCATAATTCTTTCTCTCTTCACGAGATACCGGTGATCGTAGATCTTGCTGTCCACTAACAGGGTATTGCAAGATATATTCTCAAATTAATTTTCTTCTAAGCAGCCACACTTCTTAGTAACAGCCAACCGGCCGACACGCTATACTTTCTCAAGTACCTGGGAAGACAGAGCATACTGCGAGTGCATTTCTATTGCTTGTTTAATGCAATGTAAAATTGGACCATTTGAATATCCATATTACTCACATTGCTGGGGATTCCTGCTAGTCCAGGCTAAGAGCGAAGCAAATCCAACAGCAGATGAAACCTGCGATCCAGCAATAAGGAGCAGTCACGTAGCTGGAACCAAGCAGTCGTTGTGCCTAGTCATTCTTCTCCGATCTGCAATGGGGGCTCTCTTGGCGTTGCTCTTCCCATTAAGCGATAATCAACCTTGATGGCATCGAAAAGGCCATTCAATGAATCAAGGTGTAACTCACTGCCCAGTGAAACTGTGAATAGTCTCGAGCGATAGTGTAAAACAGTAGAAGTATAGCCCAACGCCGGAAAGGACGAAGCCAAGTCTGAGTCTGAGGATGTTGCCGCCCTCGCTGTAGACAAGTCCAAGATCAAGATCAAGACCTAGCAACTAGCACAGAGCCCTGGAAGCAGACAACCCTTCATTCAAGCATATCTTTCAGTGCCATAGTGTCATCCTTTCAACCCTCCATCTCAGCCTTCAGAACATCAACATCCAATTCAGTCATAACCCCAAGTATAACACCCAGACTCTCCATAAACCCATTAACAGCAACGCGTAGCATGCGATTAGTAGTCGCGTAGTATGTAGTCTTCAACACGCTCTTTGATTCATCGGGATCTTGCTTTTGTTTCTTTTCTTTGGGCTCCGAGGGAGGTTCGGAGGTTGGAGATTCGAGACTGAGTGTGCGCCGCACGAAGGGGGACAGTTCTGAGTCGACTTCTAGGGTGCGCAAGGCGGAGGAGGCGAGGCGATTTGTTGGGAGAGGGAGGGAGATTGTTCTAGGGTTGGGTGTAAGTTTGATCAGGTAGATCTAAAATTTAGGTGGGGGATGCGTTCGTACAGTGAGTAGGGGAACTCGTGGTTGTTGGATTCGGGAGCCATGGTATGTGAGTAGGATTGGTGGTGGAAAATATGGAGAGGCGCTCGGTGAGTGTCTCGAAATGCGTGCTCGGGGTTCTTCTGGGCAATTGAAAGTGTTGGTGATGTGGTTGGACATTTAGTGGGCGAAATCGTGGAGGGACGTAATGCGATGACTCAGCTTTTATATGGTCTCTGTTCGCAGAGAACAAACGACCTTGGAGATCCGTCTGAGGATACAAGATATTAAAAATTGTCATTAAATCAAGTGTGGACTGAGATAGTCGCAAATTGAAACGCTAAAAGAATGAATGTTTTGTTGTAAAACTATGGCTCCCATGCAAATTACTCATGTGAAGTCGTGAAGGTATAAAGGTCACTCATGGAGGTATGGTACATAAAAACTCGATCATAAAAAGATGTAAATCAAAATAAGGAATCCAGGAGGATTACCCATGAGGGCACGAAGAATGGAGTTAACACGAATGGATTTCACGGCGACCTAGGTCATGTCGTCTTGATTTGCTTCTCGCTCCAAGCTGAAGGTATAAAGTGGTAGCTGGGCGAACTTAGAGGTGGATGAAGGAAAGCAGCACCTGGAGAGCAGGAAACTCGGCAAGCTGGTCGTTGGTGATCTCACCAATGTCGGCAGCGTGCTTGAGATCAACGAGGGAAGCGATGAGGGGAATGGGATGGTCAGTGATGCGGTAGAGAGAGCTCAGAACAGTTGAGTCAATGCCGTTGGCGAGGCAGTTCCCACGCTTAGCCAGACCACCGAGACCAGCAGTTGCCTCTGGGAGAGAGTTAGTTAACAGTCGTTGAATGGATAAGAAAGGGTACTAACGACCAACAGTAGCAGGGACAGTGCTTCCAACAGTGCTTCCCACGGTGCTGCCGACGGTGCTGCCAGCAGAGCTACCACTGGTACCAGCGAGGGTGCCAACGATTCCATCAACATCACGCTTGCCGGCGCCGACGCCGGAAACGTCCTTCTCCACCGTGTTAGCACCGCTAGAGACGATGCTCTCAACAGTTCCAACAGCGCTGCCGGCAATGTCGGTAGCACCATTAGCAACACTAGGGACAGCCTCGAGGGTCTGTCCAGCGGCATCGGTGAACTCCCGCTTTCCAGGAATGGTGTTACTGGCAGCGTTCTCCGCCGTGTAAACAACGCCCGAGCTCGTGCTCTCAACGGTTCCAACAGCACTGCCGGCAATGCCAGTGGCACCGTTGAGAACACTAGGGACAGCCTCGACAGTCTCACCAGCAGCCTCACCAAGGTCACGCTTCAGACCGCCTGTCAGGCCGCCAGCAGTGGAGGCGACAGGAGCAATGAGCTTGGCAGCGGCGCCCTCAGTACCGCCCAGAGTACCCTCGACACCACTGAGAGCGCCTCCGGCGATGGGGATGGCACCGCCATAAGACAGGCCAGCAAGGGCGAGAGAAACGGTGAATCCAGTAAACTTCATTGTTGCGATATTTGATAAGATCGAATGTTTTAAAGAATGACTTGGTGAGGGAGGTATGCGTACAAAGATAGAGGCTGAAAAGAGTGACTGGAAGTGAAGGATTGACTCGTGTACGACAGGAAAAGAAATGAGAGCAGCCGGACCTGGAGGTAGCATTATATACAGTTCTCGGGCTTTGTTTATTCTCCCCACAAAGGGTCCTCCCTAGCGTTCGAGATCCTCAGGGGTGTTGTTTTGACTGTGCTTGTTATTGTTCGTTTGGATCGACAATTATCACGATCGGCGCTAATGTGCCACCCGTAGAGCCGCGAAGGTAGTGTCAACTCAGCGGAAATTGCACGAACGAAGGGGTTTGTGGCGCGCCCACATGGGCTCCAATCAAACCGATTTGATGCAGTGACAGGAGGCGTGTATGACCGGGGAGAGTCCCTGGTGCAGCAAGGTTGAGCCAGAAGACGCGCTAGTAGAGTATGAAGCTTTTCCCATCAGGCATTGGTGCCATTTCAGTCACTTTAATACGGTCCGAGCCAGGGAAGGCCGTGTAGTTCCTGCTTAGACATAGCATAGCCGAAGTACCGGCCTGAGCAGGTGGAGTGTTCGTTCTCAGAATCAATTGCTATGTTCAATGGTTCATTAGCACGAAAGGTATACCATCGACCATCTTGAAGCGCTGAAGTGAGGGATGATGGCTTTGACAACGTAGGGCGGATAGGCTCAGGCAAGGGTGGCGCTTTAAGCGGGGACTCGACGAATCCACAGTTCAGACTATTGCCGATCATCTCGACGCTCAGCAGGGAGTGGCGGACCAAACGTGACTTTCGCCTAGTGGAACTTTCGAACTTTAGGAGAATATAGTTCGTTGTCAACTATCCTTGCATTGAGTTCGGAGTTGATCCAGCCTTTACCGAAGCCATTCAGCCCCTTGGATGGCGGAGAAAATGACACGATTGAAAGCGCCAATTAAGTTGAGATGATATTTAAGATGATATTTGTAGATAGTTGAGCCAATAACGTTGAGATGAAGCAGTCAACTGACAATTTGAATGTCCAAGTCAAATAGTGGGTCCTATATACAACCTGCATGATCAGTCAAGTGTGAACTCGGCACAAACAACAATAGAAGATGATAGCCACAATCCTGGGCCAAGCAGCAAATCCCGAACAGTTGCCTTTACCCAACAGGGATCCCCTATGAAGGCTTTTCCGGGCAAAATCGTCTACCAGATCGATCATTCTGCATCTGTTACCCGCTAGGACGAAGCGGCCTGAGCATGATCTCATCTCGCATCTGAGCCAGGATGTGCTCAGTAGTACAACTACTAATCAGATGCTCGGAAGGCTAATGTCAGTCAAGGTCGGACTGTCGAACGACTTTGTATTAAAGCATCAGGAAGGGCGACCAAATCCGTATCTAGGACTTGAAGGCATCCATGGCAATCCGTCATGGGACATTAAAACAGGCAAACATGTGGCCCATTCAAGTGTTTGCCTTGTGGAATGTAAGCAGCGCAATGATGAAATCAAGAGTGAAGTCAGAAGAGAGCGATGTATGAGAGGTTGGATGTTGTGTTTGTGCTGTTTGTATGTTGTGATGTTTTGTTTGTGGAATGCCACAGGCATCCATATTTATGCCTGAGGCCACACGGTTGTCACGTCAACAGCCACCGCTATGCCCAATCAGGAAAGGCACAACATAATGGCATGGCAGTTGCCCCAAACATCATGAAACTCGGACTTGTTGTTGATTTTCTTTTCTTCTAAACCCCTCCTGTACAGGCTTCCTTCAGACCTCTTTGTTTTTATTCTTAATCTTGGTCGATCGGACCATGAACATTTAGTTCTCCGAATCTCTTACAATTGGCGCCATCATTCGAGACACACCAACGCAAGTCCCTGCAAACGGCACATTGACAAGATACGTTCAGTTTGAACGTTACACAATCTCTCTCAGCTCTGTCAACAAACAAAGAGCAACATGACTACCGACTTGAGCCACGGCGGCCAGATGATCGAATACATCCAAGGTCGGTACAATGTTTTTTTCAACTGGATGTCCATCAGCCAACATTGGAAACTAAACATGCACATTATTTAGATCGTCTGTATTTGGCATCCTACGATTCTGCTCCGAGCTCGAGAACTCCGTTTCCCTTCCATCTGGATGCGCCCAAGTCTCCGAGCAAGCGGGCACGCGCCCAGCCCTCCACCCCGAGCAAGCGCCGCTCCCCCGTCTATTTCACGATTGACGATACGCTTCTATACAATGCCTTCCATGCCGATTTTGGCCCGCTTCATATTGGACACCTGTACCGCTTTGCCGTTTTGTTCCATGAGATTCTCGGCGACCCAGCCAACAGCGATCGCCCAGTCGTTTTCTACAGCAAGACTGATGCCCGCAGTCGCGCAAATGCGGCCTGTCTCGTCGCATGCTACATGGTTATGATTCAATCGTGGCCGCCTCATCTGGCTCTCGCGCCTATTGCGCAGGCAGACCCTCCTTACATGCCTTTCCGTGACGCTGGCTACAGTCAAGCCGACTTTATCTTGAACATTCAAGATGTGGTTTATGGCGTTTGGAAAGCCAAGGAACAGTCACTCTGCGGACTTCGTGATTTCAATCTTGAAGAGTATGAGAAGTTCGAAAGAGTCGACATGGGTGACTTCAATTGGGTTACACCGGATTTCCTCGCCTTTGCCTCTCCTCAACAGCAGCCCGTGGCACCCATTCCCATGAACACTCCTGAATACGATGCATTGCCCTCTACGATCTCGGAAATCTCCTCCGCCAAGATTCCAATGCCATTCAAGAATGTTCTGGCGCATTTCTCATCCCGCAACGTCGGTCTAGTTGTGCGATTGAACTCGGAGCTCTACTGCCCATCTTATTTCACCGCACTTGGTATTTCCCATATCGATATGATCTTCGAGGACGGCACCTGCCCTCCCCTGCAGCTCGTTCGACGCTTCATCAAAATGGCGCATGAGATGATTACCATCAAGAAAAAGGGAATCGCAGTCCATTGCAAGGCTGGCCTTGGCCGCACTGGGTGTTTGATCGGTGCTTACCTGATCTACAAATATGGCTTCACGGCCAATGAGGTCATTGCATTCATGAGATTCATGCGCCCTGGTATGGTAGTTGGACCACAGCAGCACTGGCTGCACCTCAACCAGGGCTCTTTCCGTGAATGGTGGTTCGAGGATACCATGCGCGAGAAGCTTACCCAGTCTACTCCCGTTACTCCTCGGGTCTCCACAAAGAAGCGCAGCAGCAACGGAGTGGTGTCCACACCACCCAACAACAGTCACTCTAAGCGCGCGGCCCTTGGAGAAATCGATCACAATGAAGCCAGTGCTTACCCAGAAGAAAACCTGCCGGCACCCACTCCCGGTCAACCCCGCAAGTCACACCGCAAGGATTCACGACACCACCCCTACTCCCGGACTACCTCTGGTTCCCTGACTGTTGAAAGCGAGCAACGACACCGCACCCACCGAAAGAGCAATGAGAGCAGCGAAAGTGAGGAAGAGATTCAGCTTCGCAGGTTAGCCAAGCGGTCATCGCGATCTCCTGTCGCATCTCCCACTTCGCGATCGATCAGTTACTCTGCCACTGTCACTGCCAGCTACACTTTAGCTGACAGTAACCACGAGGACCAGGAGAACTACAATGCAACTCCCAAGACTCCTGTTAGCCGAAAGAGTGGCGGTGGTGCACCTATCTCTGTTAGCAAGGTTCGCTCCAGCCCTCGCCGGGCAACGGACAGCACCCGTAGCAGCGAGTCTCGCGGAGTTCGCAAGGCCAGTGGTCGTGTTGGGAGCAATTCCATCAGTCCCGCACGGGCAACCAAGACCGTCCACTGAAATTGTCATGCTTCCTTTTTAGGAACCTTGCACGTTCACTATATGCGGTTCCTCTTCTATTCTTATCGTCCTACTTGGACAAAGTTTTCTGCATACCCCTTTTTCAAGTTGCATCTGGATGCTGTTTAATGTTCTACTTTTCTCCTTTCGGTCTGACTTGTCGGCTTGGTTTTCTCTGGAGCGAATGATGGTTTCTGGGCATGTTTTGCACGGCGTTTGGTTCTTCGGTTTCTACATTGTGAGAGACGTTTTGCAAGCTATCACGATTTCTCGTGTCTGTTGCATGGTATTTTGATTGCAGGTTTTTCTGTTCTTCTTCCTGTCAATTCTACGTCGATATGACAATAACGTTCATGGGCTTGCTCGATTCTTCTACATATTTAGTTCTCAGTAAATCGTCTATTCAGAAAAATTAGAATGCTCAAGTTGCATTTTGCAAGTTCTTCCTTGGAAATAATCATCAAGTGTGGCTGGATGTGCTATGGTGGATACCTACACCCCAACAGGATATATATAGTCCCGACAGACATAACAACCGGCGTATCATATGGTGGGCTTTGATTTTTCTTTCTTTTTCTGCGGGCACACCTTTCATTGGGTTCATCATACTCCGTTTGGACCGCCGGATCTAAAATAAGAACTTCAAATGTTTATTTTGGCTAGCATCATATGTTCCAGGCTCGAGAAGTTGACACCGAATTGGGGCGGTGGTACGAGCAACTAACACAATTACATACTTTTCTTTCTTAAACAAGGGATACATGAAGAATCGCAAGAAATTACGCCATGGCCCCTATCACTTTCATTGCTATCTTATTCATAACTAGAGTGAGTCCATAACAACTGCAAGAACTCATAATCAAAAATTTAGTTAGCAGCAAGGAACTATACACTACATTAGCACCTGAACCAAAAAGCCACCCGAGAGGGCAGAAAAAGAATAAACTCACCTCCTGAGCCTCGACCTCAGAAACGTCCGAACTCTCCACAACACTCTTGTCAATAAGACCCAACTTATTCCGTCGAACAAGCCACCAAAACTCCCTCCGATCCCCACCAAGTTCCTCCGCCAATAACTTCCCTTTAAGCCGGCGCAGGAAATCATTATAAGAAGAAGGCTCTTCAAAATCCACGAGTTCCTCGCGCATAGTGCCAAGTCCCTCAACGACTCGGTCATAGTTGGCATCGCCGAGACTGTGCTTGATTTGATTCTCGATGATGTCGGCCATTTGCTTTACGGCGTCGTGGATTGCATCGACGCTGTCGGCGCGTGAGAGTGTTTGTTTGAATTCGGGGATCGCGTTCTCCGCGGAGATCTTTGTGCGTTTGGGTTCTAGGTTTAGGAGGGCGTCCACGTCCAGACCTGAGAGGGGTTTCTCGGTTTCGCGTTGGCGTTTACGGCCCTTTGTTTTTGGCGGGACTAGGTATGGGATTAGTAGTGCTTCTTTTGGGGATTGAACTAAGTAGAGGGAGGGGACTTGCCCTTCTTGATATCTGCTACCGACATCAATCTTTCGAGGTAAGATTTCGACTTCTTGACCAGTTCTTCCGAGGGTTGGGCGAATTGGGTGAGACGTTCTGAGGGATCGAGGACTGGGTCGTTGGGGTGCACTGCGCGGTATCGAACAGCTGATTCCAGGCGGTGCAGTAATGGGGAGAATGACTCGTCGATTGGAAGTTCATTAGCAGGTTCACTGGTTTTAGTCGTTAGTTGATGAACAGTATTTTATGCGACTTACTCACCCTTCATCATTCGTAGTTTCAAGCTCCATGCTGTCAACGTAATCGCTCATCGCATCCTTCAAGCCATCGCTCGGGAGGTTGCGGTGTTCAGTAACCACCTTACCAGAGACTGTGATAATTTTATCCAGAGGCGGGAAGCGATATGATCGTACGTCTTCAGCGAATGGAAGCT